TTATGAGAATAACACATAGTCAACGACTGAGGCCACCGACGAGGAGTTGGTCGTCGTATAACACGAGAAATCTCAGTAAGACGAGACGTGAATGCAAGAAAAAGAGAAGTTGATAAATAAGAGTGAGAAAGAAAAAGCATCGTGGTGGGTAAGTCGAGAAGAGAACATGAAGAAAAGGAAGAAGAGGCGGACGAAAGACGGTGGGAGCGAAAAGTGGCGGTAACAGGTGCAGCCGCACAGCCTAATTGACTCTGCGGATGCTTCCCATCCATAATGCATCGACATTCTTGTCTTCTAAACACATTCTAATAGCGTACAAAGCTCTCTTTAAACAACAACACTCCAATTTCAACCAATTCGCCAACGGATTAAAGTAAAACTAAAAAATACCTTCCTCCATGTATTCCCAAAATCGATCTCTGATGATCAGGATCAAAGCACACATGCCGGAAAACCTTTAGGAGGATGTTGCATTTAATCAAAATTCCAAATTAATCGATCAACTGTTCAAAAGTTATAACTAATAATTCAAAGCAATCAAATTCACTTTATCAATTAATTTCACCGTTTAGTTTAGCAATAATAAATGTCTAAAGTTGAGTAGTACTATACTATTAGTTGTGCAAGTACCTCCTTCAATTATTTCTATTGAATCGACAATTTTGAAAAAAAGAGAAAAAAGTATTCTCAATACAAGTATATGTATATTTAATAATATAAAATGTGTTGGTGGTATATATAAGTATAACCGTACCAACTTCAGCATCGTCCGGTCCTTTTGCTTTAGTTCATTGTATATAAATCCAACAACCTTTTTCTTCTTTATCTCCCATTTCATCTCTTCTTCGTCTTCGTATTACTATATTATCATCATTATACGTTTTTTTTGGCTCAAAATTTAAGTGGCCGCCACAGAGTAGTCTTAAAGTACCCGACAAAGTTTCGCTTATATATAAACCTTCTCACAAAGTCTGATCCTCTCTTGGAGCAACTTCCGGTGGTATAGCTGGCGCCCACCTTTCTCGTAAAAAGCAACCATCAGAACCTCACTTAACCTGTAATATCCGTTGCAAAAATTCATTACAATGGATAGATGAAAGATAGACCCACTATAAGAAGATTAAAGGATTTAAGATGTTTAAATTTGCTTCAATATTTTTAGTTAATCGAATATAATGACATTTAATGTGTCTTACATGCTAAGAGTGTGAATGTATTCTTGTGGTAGCTAGGTCGGAACTAAGAATGAAAACTAACTAGTGTAATCTAGGTAATGATCAATTATGCATTCAATTATCAAAGAATTATTTTCATTATATAAATATCAAATTAGACATGCTAATTAAGTATAATTATCCTTAACTGTTTTTCAATGAGATTTCAAAATTTTTAATTGTTTCATTTAATTTTGTATAAAACTTATATTGACGTAATGAGTATTTTATTTTTATGCTCTGTTGTACAATAAGTTGACTTATCACAATGATCCATTTGCGATATAATATTAAAGGTGGTGGTGGTGGTGGTGGTGATGATGATAATGATGATGAGAGTGCAAGTGCAAGAGTGAAGCAAATCTGGCATCTGCCGTTAGTGGTCCTTGATCATTAGTGATGATGAGGTGACCATATGACGCTTATTCGTATGGCAAGCCACCGTCTCTCTATACATACCAAGATCTGTCTACAAAGCAGTGTGTATAAAAAGTATAAAAAAATCAAGAGAAGCCGGCCACCATGAGGAATCAGGACGAGGTCACTTTTTGCAAACTCATACTCATCACTGATCGCGTAAGTTCACAAAAAAGCCAAGAGACTGCTTATTATGACATGAAAAGATGATTGGATGTCTTCTATCCTTCATTAATGACCAAAATGATAAATTTGAAGACTGGAGATATCATTTAGGACTGAGCTACTCATCTAAAAAGCATTTCAAGATTCACAGTAGATTAAATAATGATATGGCGATGGGATTTGAAAATTACTAAGCTTTCGTGCTGTGTTCATTTCCACCTTCTTTTTTATTGTTAGCCTACTAACTACTACTCACGACAAAAATAATTCCTTTATTGTCATTATACCGTGATGACATAATTTCTTCATTTTAACAATTTTATTAAACAAATTTTTTTTTTTAAATAGTCCAGATTGTCATTATTATTCATGATAATTTTTTTTTCTCTAGACTTAATATTATGACGAATTGTTCCCACAACTTCCCGTCAACTAGACGACACAAAATAGTCTACTTTATGTTTGATCATACCAATTACGACTAGCTGTAATGTATTCCAACGGACGATGCATCATTTTGAAGAGGCCAACGAACTACAACTTGAAATCAAGTTACATTAACTATTTTCCGGCCATCAAAAAATCTATGGAATATGTTGAATTGTATTTTTTTACTGTCTTAAGATTGATTAGTGAATAAAAAAAAATGGTTGAGTAGCACGTGTTGTCTCTTTTATGAATCAAGTAATGAACGAGGGGATTTATGAAAAAAGGAAGAAGGAGTCTATACGAGAAAGGAAAGTAATTAAATGCATTGAGATTGTACTAGAAGACAAGTGAACGTAATCATACACTTCCGGTGTTGCGGAGGGAAAGAGAAAATATTGATAGAGAAAAAGACGTGTAGGCAAGTGTAAAAGAACAAATGGTTATTAAAATTCTATTGTCGTCAGAAATTAATTAAGATATAAAATATTTTTATATTATTTTAGATATGATTGTCAATGTGGTTTGTTTTTATTGATGAATGAGTGATTTTAAAGAGATGAAAGACGATTTAGTGAGGTTACTGAGGGCTAACGAGAAACGCGAGATAAACGAGGAAATACGAGGGACAAGTGTGCAAAGCAACCAACACTCTGGTTACCGTGGCTATTTTACTCTGCGGTTGCTCAATCTCGCCGAGCGACACCGCACGAGTTGCTGACGTACACTATGAGTCTGTTAAGAGTAACGAAGGTGGAATTGCAAAATAATCCAAGACATTCATACTAACACTATTTGAAGATTTTTCACAAAAGAAATAAAATAATAATATTGTTAGTACTTTTGTACTTTTATTTGTTACCACTACTATAACAGAAGCAAAGATTGGAGCCAACAATTGAAATTTATATTATTTTTTGCCAATTAAAATCATAAATTAGAGTCATTAATAAAGTAAATAAAAAATATTCCATTGAATTAAATGTTAAATTAATGAATACAAAGTGGTTGAAAAACAAATAAAAATAAAAATCCGAAAATTATGAGGAGAAGCATGAAAAAGAAATTTATTTGGATTTTTGGAGAGTATAGAAAAAAGTCGATTCAACTTCCGCCACAGAGTGATTCTTGACGTGATCTTTAATGAAATCAACATCGACAGAACTGGTGCTGCAGCTTTTTACAAGACTCTTAAGATTTTCTACCTGTGCGTTCATTCGTTTAACTCTACACGTGAAGTGTCTTGTATTTATTTATTACTTCCTGTTGGCGGACAATTGAATTTTATTTCTGTTTTTATTTTCTTAAAATAACGATAATAATAATAAAATAATAATGACAACCTACAAATGATTGAAACTTGGTAACGTATAATTCAAGAAGCGTAACCGAAAATTGTCATTCCCACGGACAATCGTCAAAAAATAATTAAAGAGGAAATAGAAAAAAAAATGAGAAATAGAATCCAGGAAGAATAAATTGGACCTAACAATTATTTCGTCTGCTATTCTGACAAACAATAATCGGAATTCTCGCAGAATAAACCTCAATCCTTACTCACCATCATGTTCTCTCATACTCTTCTATTAAAGCTTCAACTTATTCTTAAATGAAATGAGGATAAAAAAAAACCTACCACAAAATGAAGACAAAAAGGTGGAAGAAAAAATTTTGACGTTATTATCGCGTTCCGCCCAAATGATCACACGAAACTCTCAGTCATTTCATGATTGACCGTCCAATTCAAAAGAAAAGAGAATCAACTACCAATATCATCATCATCAGACCCTTACTTTTTTCCACCTTAAATATTTTTATCTTTTCATCTGAGTATGAAGACACCTCAAACAAGTCACCCACCATACACACGTTTGATGCACTTGATGTATGATGCCTACACTACGTGACATCAATAGTGTCTCAATTAGGTATACACCTAGTGTATAATGTGATGATTTTGGTTTTGATTTATTTTAATTAGCTACATATAACCTCAATATGTTATTCTTTCGCATGACCCTGTTTATATCAAGTCCAGTGCACTACTATGTATAATGTTAAAAGACTCAGTTCATTCGACAGTTTAATTAATTCGTATCCATGCTCATTAGTTGTAACTTTTCACGATACCGTCAGATAAGTGCATACATACACCTGCCTTTTGATAATCTCCAGATTATTTATCAGCATTTATGAATCATCCAGTTATGTGCTCTTCTTTCAGTAATCATTTTACAATCTTTTTACTACATTCCCACGCACTTCATTTATATTTTATTTCATTAATTATGTTATTTTTTCAAGAATATTCATTTTATTACAATTATTGTATTAACTTTTTTTTAATACTTTATTTTTGATTAATTACCGTCATTAATCATTTTGAAAATTCTTGCTATACTATTAAAAAATATTTTAATGCCAATTAATTTTAAAACGAAAAAGACAAAAAATTTTTTCATAAAATATAGCACAACTACATTACTTAAATTAATTATAGAAACATTTTTTTTTTCTTTAAAAATATGATTATTAGAGTGGTTAGTAGCAGGAACTTGGTGGAATGGCAATTTTTAATTTACATTCCAGAACAATTTGTTAGTTGAACTATAATTATATAAAAATGAAACGCTTCTCTCTGCGTATATAATTAAACAGAAAATAACTGATTATTAATTAAGTAAGAATTTTTGATTTAATTATAACATTAGTTACATTTTTTTTTTAATGCAAGACAATTAATAATCGTAATATTTATAGATGCAATTATTGTTTCAGACGTTTCAATGAGCCCTGCGGATATTCTACCGAGCTACGATCCACAGTTTATGGCTCGATGTTACTTCCCAGCCGAATTCCAGGGCGAGTTCGTGATGCAGGTGAGCGGAAGCGGCGCCAGAGGCTCTTCAAATACCATCGAGCCCATTCAATACTCACCACTCAACATCACCTACGACGCGATACCTGTTTGGGGATACTGTCATAAGAGAGTTGGCGATAATGTTCTTCTCGTCGACAGGTATAATGAGCTTTTTTTATCTTATCTAAACTATATACTTATAGCTCTGCACATTTTCATCTTAATTAATTACCATATTCTTGATAGATTTTAATTCGATATTTGTCATTGATTTATTTATTTTTATTCTTTATTCATTAATATATTCTCTGTTACATAATAGTGGTATTGAAAAATTTTCAAAATATGTTGATTCATTTTTAAATCAAACAGATATTAAAACGTGTTAATCATCCCATAATGTTAATAAAAATAATAGATTTTATATATTATATTGTACTTAAAAAGGGAAAATAAAATTGATTGGTATTAAAAGAATGAGAAATTTAAAAAGATTGAAAATATGTAGCATGCTAGTATTTTATCTGACTCACTAAAAGCTTAATAATTTATCAATTCAATAAATAACTCATGTTCTTATTTCTTAGGCAATTTATCATCTGCCAAAAATAATTCACAGGCAAATTTATAACTTAATCCTCTTCTGTTAAATTTTTGGTTTTATATTTTATTTTCATTGTATCCAATGTCTTCTTCATCCCAATTTAATTCTCTGTCATTATATATTTTTTTCTTTTAGGGTAGAAACTTAATTATTGATAGTTTAAATCGTAAAATGATAGAAATAAATTTAAGAGATTTATTGACAAAAATGGCTTTTAATATAAAATAGAAAATAAAACCCAATGAGACAATGAATTGAGTATATTTAGAGACATTAGAACGTGGAGTTGGCTTGTTCAAATCCTCTCTACAACTTGAAAGACTCAGCAAGGAATCGAGTGTAGGTGTCGTCTGGGCAAGAATGCATAAATTGCCATCCACACACGCCCCTGGCGCGTGCTTATATATACCCTGTGTTCAACGTAGAATCATTAACGAGACTCCATCCCGTGTTTTCACAACAAATTCGCAATGTCCTGTCAAATATAAGCCAATAAATCACAGACTCCTCCCTATAGCATTTACTTTATCATGATCAAACTTTTATTCCTTTCTAACTAATAAAAAGAACCTTCTCAAATGGTAATTTATTTTAAAAACAAATCATTAAGTTTAAACTGATGTAGCATTAATTAGATTATTTTGTCACCAGAATTGGAGACGGTCAATGTATCAGATGTTTCCGGCTTAAAAGAAGATCCCGCAACATCATTGAAGTCTTCTACGAGAATCTCAACAGGTGTTATACATACGAGAAAGGTGCTCTTGAGTCATGTGAAACACTAAACTCCACAGCAATTCTTTATCGTAAGTGGCTGAAATAATTTACTTATATAATTAAATAAAAATAAAGTAAATTGACTCACACTGATAAGTTATCATTCATTAGGAGGAAGTTAACGAGCATTATTGCATTAAAAAAGCAATTAAAATTATAATCAGACTAAAAAAAATGTAAAACCAAAATAGGGGACATTTTTTAATAAATTCATTATTTTAAAAATGTATGAATTAAACATAAATACAATATCTAAGGAAGTTGAGTGTATCCAGCTCACGTATGACCTCACGCACGCGCGTGTAACTTGGTTTTTCTCACGAGTGCATCAATTAAAATACCTGCGTGCGCGATCGTAACAAATATTTGCATAATCACTGGCCGATTATACTTGATGTGATGCATCCAGTTCGACTTGGGGTTCACTTGTTTCAAGGTTGCACTTACATATATGTACCTACTCTTACTCCACAATTTTACATCTTCACCTTCTATCAAAAATTTTTCTTCAGCTTCATTTCCGGTCATTCCTCTTTTACTTAATGAGATAAAGACCCAAGAGTCTAAGAAATAATCAGTCAAGCGGAAGTTGGAATTACTTCAAGATTTCTCTAGAGTACTACAAGTGAATCGGGCTTCAGTCTATTGATAATACAATCGATAAGCTTCTATGTACGTAACTACTAAATTACTGTTTTCTTTTGTTTTTCAATTTTTAAACCGTAACGAGTTTGTTCCTCATGAACAGTTCTATTCTATTACGAAAATCATTAAGATTATAATTAGATAATTATAACAAAAAATATGGAATGGTTTTTTTTAAAGATGTATAGTTTTTAAAATTCATGAATTAAATCTGACCGTTTAAAAGATTAAAATTTTTATTATTTGATTTTTAAGCGTAACAAGCTTGTTCCTCATGAACGATCCTATTTCTTCAAAGCAAAAAAAAAAAAAAAAGGATAAAAAAATAAAATTCGAAGCTGGTGGTTCGATGGTTAATTTGAGAGAACCTTGAGCAGTTGAGGTATCGGACGCGTCAACAAAATACCCTGAAGGACCACCAACGCTATGACTGTTTCTTCTTTTCCTTCTCATCGTCCTACCTACATTTCTTATTCTTCTATACCATCAGTTTCGCGTTCATGTTTTTTATCCAGCCGCACCCTAAGTTGCCTCTGCATTCTCATTCAAAGCGTGGGAGTGCTAGCAACGTTGGAGATTCTTCATCAAAAAGATCTACTCAGGACCAAGTGTACAAGATAACCAGTTACATTATCAAAATTTATCAAATTGTTTATGAATAGAAATTTATAATTAATTCACTTTACACAATGGATTTATTTTTAATTAGTTACAATCCAATTTTTAATTATCAACTTTGGAATTCTTTCATTTTCAAAACATCCTGATTTAAGCATGAAGGAGTCGGTATGTACACTGGAGATCAATGAAGCGTAGGAGAAAAAATTGAAAAAGAACAGGTAGTTTGAAGAAAAAGATGAATGAGAACTGTCTGGTTCAATGCTTACATTTGTGCTGCTACCTGTCGAGTTACGACCTTGTCCGTGACCAAATGAAATAGCTTGGTGACGTCCGGTTCCCTCTAACTCTGTCTCAACCATGCAAGAGTGAGAAGGTAAAAAAGCAAAAAAAAAATAGACACAAATCGCATTCCTGTCGCCACAAGTTTAGCCTTGCGATCCAGATTTCTTCATCAGATAAATTATTTAAAAAACAACAAAATTATTTCAATTATAAATAATCTATAATTTTTGCTAAAAAATCAAATAATCTAATTATCAGCTCCTTTATTTGTTATATAATCCAAAGTATTCTCTCTAAATGATGTTTCGAAATTCAGATTCTTCGATTTTCTATTGGAGTTTTAAAATATGATACAAGGCATCAATTTCGCTCGTGCTCGATAAAACCAATAAAAGTATCTCGAGTTTCATTGTGGGCAAGCAAGAAGCCTACGTAAAAACAGGAAATCCCACAAAAATGTACCCTAAACACATATCTACGCTCGTGGATTGGCATGGGTTAAAGAAAACTGAGTAAAGATGATGGGGACGATATAGGCCGTATAGACGTGTATGACAAGAGAATTGAAAAAAAAAACACGAGACCCTTTTTATGATTAAATAAACGGTGTGTAGTTTCAGCAACTTCCTGTCTAGAAAAGGTTTACCTCTTCCTTATCCCCCCTAAAATACGAATCCTCTAATTTTTAAAAGAGCTCACTTGATCATCTCCAGTAAAACTACTTGATTTATTATTCGGCGTGTCTATTCTTGTATCTTCTTGTCACTAAAAATATACAAGAAAATTCAACCACCAGAAGACTTCCTTCATTTGACAATTCACGTCTATAACAATTGTTGGTCACGTTCATTCCTATTCCTCGAACAACCTTGTATAGGACTTTCTAAACATCCAAACATTTTTCTAAACTACTCTTTCCTTTTTTACCTGTTTTATTCATGAATGATTCACATGCGACATACACAATAACTGTACTATAATAACTCTTATTGGTTTTATGATGACTATTATACTGAAGCAACTATATTTCAATTCACTTTTCTTCTCAGGCACAAAAGAACTTGGTGGGATACCGATTAGGAACGAGTTCTGCCCAATAGCTGGGAGATATCATTTCAAATACAACATCAATGATGGCACTGAAGACGATATGGAATGCAACACTTTTTCATCCAGTCTCGACAACTGTCCTGATGGTTCAATTTTCCGATTGCAATTTAAAAAATGTTCTTTCCAAATTCACGGAACAACCAATTCAGTAATGGAAAATCGAACAACAGCTCTAGTAGATAGAAGTAAGTGATTTGTTAGACACTTTAACTAACATATTTATAACAAGTTGACAATTTAATTAGTATTTTTAAAAAAATTACACGAAAAATATAAATGCAGTTCAATTACATATCAAATAAATTTTTCATTAATTTATTTTTAAATTATTATTCATCATTTTTTTTGATGTTAATCACCATTAGAGGTTTATCATCACGAATATTGCAGTGTTGATTTTTATTTATCATATTAATTACATGCTTGCAACATTCCTGACTCGTGAAACTCATTACAATTACACACATCGATGTTTAGTAAATCAGATTCAATCGCTGAATATATTGTATCAAACTTTTTAATAAATATATGTATGTCTTTAGATATAACATTCAATTGCTTGGGAAGCTGGCCAGGTAGACCCGATGGAGCGCGGTATATTGCTCTTCTTGATACCAGAGTTGATGGAGAGCGTAGACCTCAATACCGCTGTGGGGTAAGTTTTATGTTGTAGTCAGTTTATCGCAACTATAAACTTTATTCAATTTTAGATAACCTAATCCATTCGTTACTATTAAGATCATCAAGATCAATAATAAAACGAAATGAAATAAATAAAAATTTATTCAAGTAAATTTCTTACAAACTTTATCAATAATTTATCAGTATATTTTCGAGTAACAAATGTTACTACATTTCACTGGGAAAAATAATATAATTTAAATTTATATTTCCAGTTATATCACGTGGATAACAAGGGCAGAATTTACATGGCATTTAGCAGTGATTCAAGTTGCACACAAAATTTAGAGAATTCAACGAGTGGTTATGAAACTTTGATCCTCACTCGAGCTATTAATCAAAGAAGAATGCCTGACTATGTCACGACTCATTTGGCATCGTAAATATTTTTTTTCTAGTATAGTAGTTTGTTAGGTATCTAGGATAATAATTGGGTAGGTTCCGAAGTAACATGGGTTTTTATCTTTTTAGATATCCCAAGTGGGCACAAGGAGAATGGGAAGAATCTCTCATTGTCAACGGTACCATGTCTTTCAACGATCTTAATGGATATCGTAGCTATACTTTCATCACAGTTGATTCCAATGATGAAACTGGCAGATATATAGTTTACTCTAAAGATCACTGGTAAATTGGAACCTAAAAAAATGTATTTCTAATTTAGAAAGAAGTTGCTGAAATTTTTTTTTTTACTTTTCTAGTGAACAAGAAGCATATTTATGTTTAATGATGAGGCAACGCAGTGAAAATGTTTTGGAGTTCAAAATTGGTAAATCTATTTTATTATTCAAATATTTTTTCTTAATAATTTAATCAATTAATATGACTTCAAAATTAACTAACAATAAATTTTTCAGGAACTGTTTCATCCCCTGTATATGCAAGATATTTATGTGATGATTTAAATTTGGATCGGGCTGACTGGATGACTCAAGCACGTAAGTTTCAAACTACAATCTCTCAATTTTAGTAGTAAAGGTTATTTATAAATAATTAATTGTATATATGTATTCATACCACGCAGGTTTAGAAAGACTTGTAGAATCTCCTTGTCCCATCACTGGTCATTACGTCGGTAGGATACCTGATCTTCCAGGCACGTGCGCCGAATTGAGCAGCAACTGCAACACTCGTGAAATAATGTATTACAAAGTCACCGATTGTGAATCTGGTGAATTATATGAAGGTAAAAAATTATTTGTCATTATAAATAATAGTATTAAAAATGTGAATTTTCATAAAAATTCTTCTTAATATTAACAGAGCGAACATACTTGTGTCTTGGACAGTGGGAAGAAAAAGGAGTCATGTACACATATACAAAGAGAAACGATACAGAAACTAATGAGTGCTTTGTTGGATTAATAGTTAATGATGATGAAATTTACATAAAAGAAGCAGGAGATCATTGTCTTCGTAATATAGATCCTCGTAGAGAAGGAATGCGTCTCCATAAAAAAGGTAATTATTTATTGAATATTCACATTAGTTTAATAGAAAATTAAAATAATAAAATGTAATTAAATAATTTTATTTAGGTCAATGTTATGGAAATTCTCCTAGTCCTGCACCTACGCCGATAAAACCCATTCCCCATGATCCAATAATGAGAATAACAACACCGCATTCACGACAACCTAGTAATTCATTAGCTACGACAAAGAAACCACCGAGAACAATATCTTCTTCAGCATCGCAAAAATTTGCTCATGTACATATTTTTGCATACATGTCAGTAATCTATATGATTTATACAAAAATAAGCTTAATTAACTTTGCATAATTGTCCATAAAACTGCCTAATAGTGTCAAGCTCACACTATAAATCAAATAAAAAAAAACATCTATTTTGATATTTTCTGTGAAATTTATTATAGAGTAGCACTTGTAAAAAACTGTTGTATTTTATATTGAGAAACACTGACAGTTTTATTTAATTTATATATCAGATATGTTAATAAGAGTCGAATTTATGACTCCGGAAATGTAAAAAGAAGGGTTTTAAGAAATCCGTGAGTCATCAATATTTATTCTGTCAATTACAGACAATTTAGTAATAAATTTTCGTAAAACTTTTTTACATATTTACTAAATACGAAAAAAAATTATATATATATATATATATAAAATTAATATTTATATAAAAAATATTTTATAAAAAATTTAGACTGTTCATCATGAACTGTGTATGTGAAAAATAGAAAATTTTTAGGTAAATCATGCTTTCTATAAAATAACAAAATGAATACATATCAGCATCAAATATCGTATTCAAATTCAATAATTGTATAGGGTAAAACAACAATAAATTCAACATTTTTTCATTGTAAAAATAATTATATTTACAACATTTGATGAAATTTGTGAAATTTTACAGTTAACGTATTATATATAAGCTTGATTTTATTTAAATTAGTATAGAATTGATAATAAGGACAGTTAATGTAATAAAAAGTTATAAACGAAATGATAAAACAAACTTTTAATAGATATGTTTAATATTAACTGCCTTGTTACCATGTAAGTACGTATGTGAATGTAAATATATGTAAACTTGTTAAAATATTATTTTAGTAGGTAAAAACTATATTGTGATTGCCTCAATGAGTGTGTGAAAGGAGGCTTGTCATTAGGTGCATTTAGTTTACACTCAGTTAATGAGATGCAAATAAGTTGCATCAATTAAAGTATAAGTAAAAACAATCGTGTAAACATATAAAAAAAATATTTATTTCATAATAAAGTAATATAAAAGTATATAAATGTAACAAAAATTTTTTCTCTCAAATTTACATTATTTACACTCTTGATATTATAATCCTACATTCAACTCCAATTTATTTATCTTATAATAAACTCTTTGATTTTTTCAGGCTCAGCCTTGTAATCTAAATTGATATAAATATTTCTATCTCGAGCATCTTTCAACAATTCAAACCACATCGGATCTTTCTGTAAAAGAATTTCTTTTTTAACATTCTAAAGATCTTAATGATATCCACTAGAAGACAAAAATTTTTACCTCAAATGTTTTAAAATTTCCACAAAGAACAAGAGAAAACTTAGCCCTTGTCAAAGCTACGCAAAGTCGTTGACGATCTGATAAAAATCCAATACCATTACTTCGAACACATGACATTATTACAACATCACGTTCTTGTCCTTGAAAGCTGTCCACAGTATTAACTTCAGTTATTATTTTTTTTTTAATTTCCTCAGGTACATTTTCCATTCTAATGAAAAAAATTAAAGTAAATTAAAACCACAAAAATAAATATAAACAACTAATAGTAGTTTTTGTTGAATCTTACCTGTCGATAATCTTTTGATTAATTAATATTCGTTGATCATTATACGGCGTTATGATACCAATTCCAAGATTTTTTATTCTATGAGAATTTATTGCCATGGTGTAAATAAGATTGGCTACAAACGTTGCTTCATCAGTATTAGAAAATTTATTGCTATCATCTTGATGGGATGAAAGATTGAAAACTTTATAAAAATGAAACGGAAGACGTTCTCTAGGTGATACATTTTGTATAGCATTATTATAAAAATACCGATTAGGAAAAAGCATAATGCGATCTGACATACGATATTGTGTGTCTAGCATTATTATAGGATTATGTGGATTTCCATCAAACACTGAATGAATTCTAGCAAAAAGTGATTTATCAAATCCGAGATGTTTAGCTTGTTGTGAGATAATTGTTGCCGGTAATTGATTTGGATCGCCAACAAGGACTAAAGACGTTACTCCCAACATCAAAGGAATTAAAGTTTCTGGTTCTGAGCTTTGCGTAGCTTCATCAACAATACAAACTGATATTTTTCCGTTACTTTTGCCAAAAATTGATTCCATTTGATTAGTATAGCACGAAGATAGTGTACACGCAATGATATTTGCACCAGCTAGAATAGTATTTTCTGCTGCTTGGTGTATTTTTGCACGCAATTTCGAATTTATAGGGGCTGACGGATTGTAATTTGAAAAAAGTTCGTACTTAGCCCGAAAAGAAGCTAACTTTCTTGATAGATGTTGTCTTTGCATTTCAGTCATATCTTCTGCATTACATTCTTCTTTTAATGCATTTATATGAGCTAATAAATATTCTTTTTGTTTTTCAATGCTTTCAGAACTATTTTTAGCTGCATGATAATCCGTTAATGTTTTCTCAACATCACGTTTAGCAAGTTCTGATACATGAAATGATCTGACTGCAGGAGAAACAGCTTCTAATCGACCAATACGAACCATTTTAAATTTATATGCTGGATCTTCAACATTACTTCGAATGACTTTCAATCTTGAAACTATTTCATCAATTGCCGCATTTGATGGAGCACATACTAAAATTTTCATAAATTTTTGATTTTCATTTTTTTTTCTCCCATATAATATTTCCGTAATTAAATTTATAATAACTTTAGATTTTCCAGTGCCTGGAGGTCCTTGAATTAAAAATATTCCTGGTTTTTGGTTATGTACTGCTTCAGCGATTCTAAAAACACTTTCTCGTTGTTTTCTATTCAACATATCTTTTGTTACTAATGTTAATGATTCGTAATGAGATACAAATGGCAGTTTATAAGCTTCTGGAGTTGGATGTAAGATTGCATTGAGCAATGGAGATTGAGGTAGATAATGAAGAGCTTGTACCATTCGCATATATGATCGGAAGTATATTACAGTCTTTAATCTTCCAGGTTTTAGAGTTTGAGGAACAAAAGGTAATGCTTTTGTCATCATTGTATATGTGATCAATGTATGGGGATTTTTTATAAGTTTATTTAATGCTGTATTATACCTCGTACTAGGAATAATAGTAGTGTAATTCAATGTAGTAATATACGCGAATACGTGAGTATAGATCGTTTTTCCATCCTGAATTCCAGCTAATTCTAACATGACCAAATCTCCATAAACTGGGTAATGTTTTTGTCGTAAATCTTTTTCAGTTATTAATGCTTCAATCATGAACGTTGTTATTTTCATGTCTGACGAAGAATCTACTACTATTTGGCTCACTGATTGCTCTACGACAGAAGAATAAAGTACTGGACGCTTTTTAAGTGTTTCATAATCTTTTGACATTATGTACCACGTTTCTAATAGCATTAATGTTGACATAGTTTTGTAATAATGCATGTATGATGAGTAAGTTAATGATACTGAAGATATGTCCGCTCCATCAACAATTGGTGGTGGAATTTGACGATCTCGTTGTTCATTTAACCAAACCGGTCTCCATTGAAAAACTTTAAACAGAAATAATTCTACTTTTGGACAATCAACTTTAGCTTTACTTAAATCGTACTCCAGAAATTTTTTTCCAATTTTCATATCTTTTTGAGTGCATTTCATTTCAATTTTATTACCTTCATCAATAAGATAAACTTGAATTTTTGTTTTATCATTAAACCGAACTTTTTTCTTCACAGTTTTTTTGTTCTGCAAATCTCGTAAAATACCTCGAAGTGGCTGAATAATTTTATTTGTATCACATTGTTCCTTATAACATTTGATATTTGGTAGATTAACACTCACATTACTCGTAATAATAGGCTTAGTTTTATCTACATTATCATTTTCACTACTTATTTGTTTATTTTTTCTTTCTTCCATAGCTGCTTCTTTATCTATATCCATTTTTTCAATCTCATTATTATTTTCTTTTGCATCAATTCTCTGTTTAAATTTATTTTCTGATTTTGGTGATTTATCATCGGAATAGCTTACAGAAGTGCTGGAAATGACATCATAAAGATCTTGAGCAGCTGTATTTTGTTGTAGTTCTTGAATTTTAGGTACAATCAATCTTTCAACAGAACTATTATTACTTGATTCTTTTCCTATATTATCATTACTAATTTCATCAGGAGTAAGAAAAGCACCTCTATTTTTATTTGAAATCTTAACTTTAGGCTTGTTGATCCGCTTGTTAATATCTGTTTTCTGTTCAGACTTTTTCATTTCATCAGATTTGTGCTGAAGCTGCTTTAATCTCTCATTGCGTTCTTCTTTAATTTTTCTTTTCTGTTCATTTGAAAATTTCTGGTTTTTATTTAATGAAGTATAATCACCAAATTTACGCCGCAAACGTTCCAATCGTTTTTCTTTTTTGTTTAAATTATTACTTTCAGTTTGCTTATTTTCCTTTTTTCGAGACGCAATTGCTGTTTTATTAGATGTAAAAATATCATCATCACTGTTTTCACTATGATCTTTTATATTTCCAGAAGTACTAGCAGTAATATTTATACTGACACCACATCGCTCTCCTTTGGGCAAAAACGGTGGATCAACTTGCTCAATTTTTTTTCCTCGTTTATTAAATATAATAGGACAATTTCCTATCTTCGGAATTCCTTTTTTATCTATAGTATTATCAGTTTTTTCAGAAGTACTCGTGACTTTTAAAGCTTCCATAGCTTCTGAATCACCCCTCTCTTCATGAGATAAAAGTGATTGATTTAAGTTAACATCTATTTCTTCACTACTATTTTTTCTACTATCTTTACTTTTTTTATTTATTTTTTTTTCTTCCTTTGAAATTTTTTTGTCATGAAGATTGACTTGTTGAATCCTATCTATATTAGTTTCATTAACTTTCATACATTTATCTTCTGCTTCTTTATGTAATTTAGTGTATTTATGATCTGTAAGTACAGAATATGACTTAGCTTCACTATGACTATCACATATATTCATACTGGTATGTTGATCAGGTTCAACAGTTTTATGAAAACTGTTATCAATATTTGTATCATGGCACTTAGTATCTTTTTCAGAAATTTTATTCGATACATCATCTAAATTTTCTGTCATTTGTTCATTTGATGCTTTATTTGAGGTAGATTTAGATTGTTTAATACTTTTTTGTTTATTTCGTTTCTTTAAACTCTTTTCTTTCTTTTTCTTTGTCAATTCTTTATTTTTGAATTTTTCATCATTAAGTGTACTATAACTTTTCATAAATTTATCTTGAATAGTATCACTCTTATTGGATACGTGTGAGTCTATTATTTTTTTCGGTATTTCTGTAACGTTATTTTCATTGCCAGATATTTCTAGAATGTCGCTACTTATTTGGTTATCCTCATCTTCCGACTTTTGTTCGATCTCTTTAATTTCATCTACTAGTTTCCCTATAGCTTGCATAAAATAACTAACATCAACAACATTTTGTTTGTGAATTTCATTTCCTGTCACATCATTCAGCTGACCATATTTAACTTCTTGCCTTCTTTCTTGTTCTTCTTCACTATCCTCTAATTCCTCAACAATAAATTCCCTTTGTTGTTGTTCTTCTTCTTCTTTCGGTGGTTGAACTGTTATTTGAACTTGGTTTTCCAATTGGCTACCCAATAATTTATGTAGCCATGCTTTCGTGTTTTCATCATGATCATCTTCATTTTCATCATCTGTAAGTTCTATCAGAGGAATATCATCAAGCTCACCATAAGGATCAACAAGTTCTTCAAAATCGGTTGCAGACTCTTGTTTAATACTAGTTATATTATCATTATGAACTTCATCACTTATTATAATTTCATCAAACAATTGAGATCGTGGAAAATTAATTTCTTTTTCTTCTTCATCGTCAGAAAGACAAATAAGCTCTCCTTGAGAATAATTGTCATTATAACAGTCTAAATCTGACGATGTAACTTCTTGCTTAATATTTGACGTGCTTGGTTGAGAAGATAATTCGTCAAACATATCTGGACTTTCTGGTAAAGTGGATTCACATTTTATAAAATGAAAATTAACAGTTGCTTCCAATGGATCAAATTCATTTTCTGCCATGTTTTGATAAGTAGCGACATTTGTTGGAATAAATTCTGGTTTTGGAAACGAAGAACTGACTATTTTTTGTGGTATTTTATTTATTGATATTGTCTGGTTATTTTGCTCATTCGTAGTTGAAACATCATTTTCAATAGGTTCTAAGTCATCCAAATTAATTAATTCAATTTCCATATCAGAATTATTGTTGACAACATTTTTGTCTTCTTTTATAACAGATGGATGAATGACATTACTCTCGTTTGGTGGTATCTTACTAGGTGCATTTTTCATGACAGGAGTATCATCTAATAAGAAATAAACAAATAATAATGGAAATTTAATCATTTGTAGTAATTTCATATCGATTATGATTGAATTTAAAAAAGTTAGATAGTCAAAATAAAAATTAATATAAATATAAAATTTTAATCTAGATTAATTGTTTAATAAAAAATTATTCCTAACTCAAGAAGATAAGATAAAGTATTCTTTACCATCATCTATGATAACAATTTCCGGAGAATCTATTGGCTCGACTTTCGGAATTTTGGAAGGAATCTCTGAACATTCAGTCTTCAATTTTCGTTTATGCGGAGCTTCATTTTCCTAAAAAAAAACTTATTTTAATCGAAGTCAAAATCTTATTTCATATTGATTATTGTAAAAAATCATAACCAAAATAACATACCAGACGTTTCAATTTGTAAACAAACGTATCTGGTAGTATGTTCTGAAGCTCTCCACAGGCAATTCCAATCGTATCATTCACTTTTACGTGAGTTGGAGTATGAGGATGAATTTGATTACCATTCAAAAATACCCCATTGGAACTCTGAAATTAAAAGGACTCGGAAATAAATAATTAACCCATTATATGATACAGATGCAGCAAAATTGATTTATCTTTATTAACAAATAAACTTACTCCTGAATCAATTATTTTAACACTTGATGCTGTCACGATAAACACACAATGTTTGCGTGAAATCAATGGACTAACTCTAACGATTTCGTTATTTTTTTCTCTTCCATAAGTATACTGAAATAAATAAAACCTATGATCCATTTGTGCTTCGGCTTGGGCGAATAATAAAGATGACTAAAGAAACTTCAATGTTCTATGAATGCAAAAGAATGCATTCATTACAAATAAATAATCTCACCGTTTCATCCCGTTTGAGGAGAATTTTTTCATTTGAATTAACACGTTCCAAAATAAAATCACCCATAATACTGTTGTGATATAATTCATAAAGGTAGAAAAATTAATTAAAATATAATAATAAATGCATTAAACAAATCAAAGTAACCCTGACATTGTTACGTCTATTACTCTAATCAGCATCAGAGTATATAATGTTAGTAATTAAACTATACTTTCTTTATCGTATAAAATTGATATCAAAAATAGAAAGAGAAAACAATCTCCATACCGGCTTTTTTGTACCTCTATCTTGTCATAAATGAATTATTTTGCGATAAGAACAGTTCTCCTCTGATAACTGATTTGTTGCCAACGAATGATAATAAATATTCACATTACCATCAGAGACAACTCGTAGTCAAATAAAACACATCAAGCGCTGTTAACCCATCACATTTCATATGCTACCCTCAGTGTAATTAATCAGTGTTGAAGATTAAAGTTCAGTTTCTTTTTAGGTTTTGTAGAAATACTTTATGAGATTGTTACTTAATGAATAAGTATAATATTTTTATGGCTTAAAATGTGTAGCTAAATAAAATAATGACTGAAAAATATTAACAATCAATTTTAATTGATAAAATAATACTTTTTTATTGCCAAAATGGCCATAATGAAAATATTACTACGTCCAGAAATTAGCAAATTTTGTGGCATAAGAGTAAGTTTGTCAATAAATAATAAATTTTACATCCAAAAGTCTAAATTCTCAGTGACTTATTTATTTTGTTATTAATTTTAACTCTAATATACTAATTTTATGGTTTTCTTTGTTTTAATATTTGTAACAAATCTATGAACGCATTGGTATTCTATTAGCTGACTATGTTTTGAGAATTGATTGCTTTAACTTGTAACAATATTATTTATTTTGAATCATTCAATGGCATTGTCTAATCATTTAGTTTGATGTCAAATGCGTTGATTAAGATATATCTATGCTTAAATAAAAAGTAGGTCAAGGCGAATTTAAAAATACTATTACCTTGTTTAAAGTCATAATATTTAAATTTAGATGTAAAAAATACACTCTTTAAATAACAATGAATTGTCTGATAAAATATTATAATATATTTTCCAGTCGAATGTTATAATAAAAAAAATTTATAATTTTTTCAGAATTTTAGCTCAAAACCAAAGCCAAAGTTTGGAATAATTTTTGACATTGATGGAGTCATAGTGAGAGGCAATACCGTATTGTCACCAGTACCAGAAGCTTTCAAACGTTTGAGAGAAAGCAATGGAAAGTTTCGTATTCCTACATTATTTGTAACAAATAGTGGCAGTTCTTTACCTGCTGAAAAGGCTGAAGATTTATCAAAATGGATTGGTTGTGAAATAACAGAAGATCAAGTTGTACTAGCACATTCACCACTACAAATGTTCAAACAATTCCACAATAAGCATGTTCTTATATCAGGACAAGGTCGAATTAAACAAATAGCTTCAGAATTAGGATTTAAAAGCACAATAACAATTAACGAATTAGTTGAAAATTTTCCTAGTTTAGATTATGTAAACAAAGATAAGAGAAATCCACGTTGTGGACCCATAGATCCTAATTTTAAGCCGATTGAAGGCATTGTTCTGTTAAGTGAACCTATTATATGGGAAACACCTTTACAGTTGATGGTAGATTTATTAATTTCGAACGGAATGCCGTCTGGCTTGCCATCAGCACTTCCTTATCCTCATATACCAGTCATAGCATGTAATATGGATTTATTTTGGGTTTCTGAAGCTCCAATTCCTAGATATGGTCATGGAGCTTTTCTAGTCTGCTTAGAATCATTGTATAAAAAAGCCACTGGCAAAGATTTAATTTATTCAGCACTTGTTGGTAAACCGAGTGAAGTTACATATTATCATGCTAATCAAATGATTATGAACTATGCCAAGAAGATTGGAATTGATCATAATATTGATACTATTTATGCTGTTGGGTAAGTTGAATTGTTGAGCTTCATGTTAATTATTAAATTTTTTTATTTTCTTTCATCAAAAGGAATGAATTTGAAAAAAAAAAAATTTATTTTTATTCTATCTTTATTTTTTATATAGAATAATTTGTCATTATACAAAAACTGATATCTTTCTTCTTGTTTTTTTCAGTGACAATATTAATACCGATATCTTTGGTGCAAATTTATATGATAAATATTTAGCAAGATACTCAAAAGGAAAAATGACGAAATCTCGTGGACTAGAATCATTATTAGGTGATAATTTAATTCCTCCAAACATAAAAGCTTGTATCAGTATTTTAGTAGAAACTGGTGTACATAAACGAGACTCAGAATTTAAATCAGATCATTGTCCCAGAGATTTTCTTCCACTTGAAGAAGGTTTGTCTAGGCCGGCTTTTGTAGTTAAAGATGTTGGAGAAGCAATAAATCTTATCTTGGAAGAAGAAAATGTAGAGTAGAAAGTACAAATTTTTGAAATTTTTGAATAGAACAGTGTATTATATTTCAGACAATTTATGAATTTCATTTTGATCAATTACGATTGTAAAAAATTTTTTGTATACATAGACGAGTTATTTTTAAAATTTTTTAGCAAGAATTGATGTAATAACACTTAATGATAAATAGTTATGTCAATAATGCTAATGTATAAATAATTTTATTAATCTTTTGACGATACAAATATTTTATTAGAAATAATTGAATTATTACAATTTTCTAACAAAATTTTTTGCTTAAGCTTTCATAGTATTGTTTTTTTTTGTTTCATATTCGCAAGTGCCAGCGAATTAGTTTATTTTTTTCTAACGTACAACTATACATATATACAAAATATATTTTTTTATAAAACAATATTATCAAAGTTATAAAGTATATTTGAATAATATTTTAGACTGTACATGAGATAGAGTTGGAATACAACTTCCCCTTAAAATGTCGTTTGAATTAGAATATCTCATTATGATGAAAAAAATGAGACTTTAATAAAAAAAAAGGATGTATGAATAAATAATAAAAATAAATGTCTTTTCATGAGGTTCATTATTAATAATTTTTTATTACTTTACTGCTTTGTAAAAATAACTTTCTTCTCTCGTCTAGACTAAATTATTTAAAGAAAAAAAAAATCAATTGTAGTAAATGTGTAATTGATAATTATGCTGAGTGTTATATAGTCTAGATCTCATGACCTGTGGGTCGTGCTTTCAATTACTCATTTAAAATAATTGTGTAATAATCGATTCGTAAAACAGTCTGCAATTTCAATGGTGTCAAAGAGACCACGTGAGGTTTATGACCCTGAACCTTAGTTTGAATTCATTCTAAATGTAATGAATTCTTTATTTCTTCATTATCTTCAACAGTTATAAATCTGATACTACGTTGTCATTTACAATCTTTTTTATCACCATTCACATTATTTTCATAATACTCAATAGCTGCACGAACTTTCTCTTCAAGTTCATTCAACGTTTCTTCACTTATATAACCATTGCCATCAGCTGATCTACCAAAAGATCTTTTAGAGATAATTGCAGAGAGCATGAGAGTTAAAGCAGGTATTGAAAGACCAAGAAGAAACATTGGATTCATTATATTCTTCATTCCGTGTTTTTTAAAGCTACGATAGAGTTCATTCCACATACTAGGCTCTTCACGAGAACCAAGTTTTCCATAAAGCCAAGGTTTAATTTTTCCTGTTTTTGCAATATAGTTATAATAATAAGGATCGTAAGATTGAGCATATAATTGGGAATACAGAAGATTACCGTCTACCGGAGGACTTGTTATTGGTGGTGGATGCGCTGAATAAACAACAGGACTATTAGCAGAATATGGACCATAGCGTCGATTAGCCCGTTTGTTATAAGAATTATAACCAACATGAAGAGATTCTTGTGGTCCATAGTCACTCATCAGTCGCGATTGCAAGTATTTCTTATTAGCAGGTCGGCCTTGATTATAAATATAAGAATTTCTCATTCCAGGTCGATAATAATATGGTTTATTTTTAATGCCTTGATACCATGGAGATTGAATAGATCTCAATGATTGAGCTTGGTAAAGTTTTTGAGTCTCCGGTAATTCTGGAATTGATTGAAAATTAGGTAAATCATCAATCTGATCAGGAATTGCTTGATTAGTATTTACTCGTTGGTTTGGTAAAAACTGTAGTGTTTTTACATTAGCCGTATTATAATTTTCGACATTCAACGATGGATCGTACTGGACTGGAGACTGATTAACTTGTTCTTGAGTTTGAAGATATTTTTCCAGGGCATACTGCGATTCTTCGGGCGTTTGTGAATTTAAAAAACTATTGAGCGCTTCGTTTGACACTGATGAAGCAATTTGTCTCGGTGAGGCACGAATTTTCTCTGAACTATCGCGTTGATTCGTTGAGTATTCTTCTCTTGATTGCATTTGCATATGGGATGTTGAATCAAGTACTTTGATTGACGGATTTGCTGGAGATGCTTGATGTACCGTAGCACTTGGCATGAGTTTCACATTATTATTATTTTTATTTTCATTATTATAACTCACATCTTTTAATTGGACATTTATTGGTTTAACATCGATTGATGTCTTTAGTAATTTTTCTCTAATCTGATTATCTAAAAGACTTCTTGATTCTGCAGTTAATGAGTCAGGAGAGTTTTTATTTAAGCCATTTGATTCTGATGCTCTTTGTCCATTTGTTCTCTCATAATTCTGTGACTCTTCTGCTGTGTAATCTGTATTGTCTGTTAATGAATTCCCATTAAAATTCAGCTGAGCATCAGCTACGACAATACAAAAGATCAGCAAATAAATTTTTGGCATTTTCTGAAATCAAAATTAATTATAAATTAAGAGATATGAATAGATTTGTTAATGTAAATGAACTAATTATTTGCTATAACAGAAATTAATGGAAAATAAAATATAGTTCAAATTACAATATTTCGCGGTCATCAAGTCTATTTATTTAGCAATATTCAACCCATTTTTCTACACCAAAACGGATTTATACGTGATTTTGTTGCGTGAAAATTTTTTTTTCAGCGGAACGGCATTAGCACTTGACTAGAAACAACTTCCTATTCCTACCTTACTAGTTTTATAGGCATTGAGAGTACATTACGGTAAATCATTAAAGTTCTTTAAAATTCAACTGAATTTTTTTTTAACTGGCATATTTTATAAAGTAAATAATGAATAAAGAAGAGCCATAAATGAAGATAAGATCCCGTTAAAATGGTACATCAGACATACAATAATGCTGTTTATTTGGCGTGAATCCAAGTGACCAACTATTTTTTAGGTCTAGGAGTATTAAATCAATGACCCAGAGAGCGAACTTGAACGACCCATTCGAGACATCGCCCCAAGACTTTCTAAAACCGTTATGCATTTCATAATTAAATTGATGAATTCAGCACATGGATAAGCTTGGTACGTATTCATTAATTCATTGATAACTTTAGATATTTAGATAAGCTTCTTTAGGTGATTTGTGATTAATGACAAAAGATTTATGGGTATAGCTTTGCAGGGCCAACACTGAATGTCAATATCAAAGCATGTGCGAAGATAAAATTAATGGAAGCTCGTAAATCAGAAATTTAGCAAGCGTAGATGAAATGTTGGATCATAATTCGTTATATCGGTTCATCACGGCTCGACGATTGCAACACTTACCAATCACACACTTAGTACGAATTTATGTAAACGTTAACTGGAAGTCTTCTAATATTAATCACAAATATTCAACAACACTGAATCTGTTGAACTTGGAACGTTGATAAAGCAATTAATTACACTCCAAAAATCCACCTGACACCAGTTGATATTGCTATAAACTTTGGCGAGCACGTCCATCGGAGAGACTAGAGTCAGAAACACTAAGAGATGTTTCAGAATGAGAAAGGCGTCCGCTCTCTGTTGTAAATCCCTACTTTTGATATGATTACCACGCGGTAAAATGCCTTGTTCTCCTTGATCACCTCACCGTCTTCTTTTACTACCGGTAAACATCGCGTGCATGCCTTCAGCTTACCTACATCTCCAACCTGTCTGGCCACTTTCAACCTACGAAAATATAAAAAAGAAAGTCTTTCGTTTAAAGTTCATGAATTAGGTTTATTTTTGTCTTAAATCTTTTTTTTTTTAATCTCAGTGTCCCCGATTATGCTGAGTTATTAACTGTTATTAATAACATATTCAGAGCATTAAGCTATTATTATTTACTAAATAATCACTATTAAATGCGCAATTACGAATGATAGATCAATTGTCTGAATGTGTAGTTTTATAAGAGAAAAAGTTTTAATTTTTTTTATACACTCGACGCGTGCCAGTCGTTATTTGTACCGTTAATTCACAGCTATTATACTTAGGTTATCCTGTTTGATTCTAGTGCAACAAAAGATTATTCAGTTGTTTTGAGATAATTATTGCATGGCTATGATTATGGTTAAATTGCCATAAAAATGAAAATAAAAAGAAAAAGTTTAAATGTCGTTTATTTTTAAAATTTCATTATTTGTATTAGGATGCAATATTATCAATAAATTAAGAACAAAAAAAAGATGTTAAGTTATGAAAATTAATTGACGCCTACATATTTTTCACGGTCAATATCTTCACACAAGTTCGCAATGATGATCAAACCGTCAATTATATTATATAATTATAGCAGATTACTTTTAATGAATTATATGAGCATAAGGGTTTCGAAACGTCTACTACTCAGTCTACATTCAGATAGCAAGTCTTCAGAATCATGGAGACAAAAGGCTCGATAAGAAACACGTGGAAGAAATGTAAAGACTCAAGTTTCTGTAACAGTTTTCACTTTGAACAAATATTTTACCGGTGAGTATTGCCCACATTCCTTTTAATTGTCTGAAAAAAAAATGAATAAATAACATATATTTTACAGTATAGGATTAAGTATAGGAAACAAACCTTGGCTATGGTTAATAGCTTCTTTATGCATAAGTGGTGCCTGTGGTCCTGGACTATTTTTTTGGAAAGAAGGAGTTGATGATGTTGAGCTGTACATTCCGGAAAATTCTGTAGTGCGCTCTGATGCAATGTGGGTTAAAGAAAATTTTAAAAATGACCTAAAATATGAGAGTATTATTATAACTGCACCAAATGTTCTAGAGCCTGAAGTACTTTATGCGGTAATATTAGCTATATTTGATAAAAAATGAAAATTATTGTTCAAATTTAATTATAATTTGTACAAACTAAAATTTGTTTCTAACTTTTAATTAACAGATAGATGAAATTGAAAATAGTATTGAAAATATCATTGTAAATAATCAAACATGGCATGATGTTTGTGCTGGGTGAGAAACTGATCAAAATACATAATTAATATAAAATATTAAAAAAAAACAAACATTAATAAGTTCAATTATTCAATATATAGATATCTTACATGGTTTCAAAATGATAATTCTATTGATAAAGAAGATTTTCCTAATGAAGGACTTGTAGCTTTAAAAAGTATAATGCCTGAAAAAAGTTGTATTTATCAATCAATATTAAAACTTTGGAAGGTAAATGGAGTTGACATTAGTAGTTTGACAAAAGAAAGAATACTGGATGATATAACGACAGCACTGAAAGCCAGGTATTTTATTAAAGATTATAAAAATTCAACTGACTAAATACAATTATTTTTATAAATGAAAAAGAATAAAAAAAATAGAAAATCAACTAAAAATGATTATTTCAGAGATAAAGGAAATTTATTAACAGACATTGCACCGTTACTCTCACGGATAGAGAGCGATAAAAATACCGGAAAAGTAATTGGTGCTAAAGCAATATTATTAAACTGGATGTTGAAAAAATCGAATCAGCATTCTCCAGATTGGGAACTAGAATTTATCAAAAGAGCACTATTTTCGAATTATTCCTTACCAGAAGGCGTAAAAATTTATGCCATCACCTCACGAAGTTTCAAAGACGTCTTATTTCAAGTTTTACACAATAATTTTGCTATTTTATTTTGTGGTTTGGCACTGATCATTGTTTACGTTATGATAATGATAGGAAAATGCAATCAAGTTCAACAAAGAATTTACCTCTCTTTGATGGGAGTATCTGTTGTTGGTCAAGCAATTTTATCGTCTTACGGTGTTTGTTTTTACATGGGTTATTCTTATGGTCCCATTCATCCTGTTCTTCCATTTTTACTTCTTGGCATTGGAGTTGATGACATGTTTGTAATCATCCAAAGCTTAGAGAGTCTTACACAAACTAAAAAAAAATTAAAAGTTCCTGAACGTATTGCACAAACACTTCAACAGTCAGGAATGTCGATAGCAATTACATCTTTGACAAATATAGTAGCATTTGCTATTGGAATCACCACTGTTATGCCTTTTCTAGAATCATTTTGCGCATTTGCAACCATGGGAATATTTTTTTTATTTATTTTTGAGATAATGTTCTTCATAAGTTGTCTGGTATTAGATGAAAGAAGATTGGAATTAGCAAAAGATGGATGTTGTTGTCAATCAAAACCTAATTGGAAGCCTAATACATGTAGCCAACGTAATTTACAACATGATGTTTTTATAAAAATTATTGGTCCAATCGCTATGAAACCAAAGATAAAAATTTTCATCATATTGTTGACGATCTTTCTGTTTGGTATTAATATTTGGGGAGTATATAATTTGGAAAGCAATTATGATCCATTAATGTACTTAAATAAAGAGTCTTATCCTCTGCAATTTAGTGAGAAACTAATTGAATATTTTCCAAGATACGGAAAATTAGCTAATATTTATTTAGCTGGTGTAGATTACTACGAAGATAGAGAAGCACTTTCACAATTATTTCAAGAACTCAGTCAAAATCCTTATATTAATAACAAAACTTTGAATCCTTGGTTTATTGCTTATGACAAATGGCTAATTAACACTACAAAAGGTAAATACTAATTGAAACTATTTTAAACAATTAAACGCAAAATAATTAATATTTTTTTAGATATTGATAGAGATGAATACTTTGGATCTCTATCAGAATTTTTATTAACTAGAAAAGGACAATCTTATGTTAAAGATATAAAATTTAATCGATTACCAATAGTTGATTACAATATTACGGTAAGATTTTTACAAAAAAAAAAAAAAAATGAAAATAAAATTTATAATTAATTGTTTTCATTAATTTTAGACTTCAAAAATTCAAATACAGCATGTCCATATGAACACAACGACTGATCAAGTTAAAGCAATGAGAATGATTCGAGAGATTATGAAATCAATTAATTTTACCCAAGGCATTGAACATTTTGCTATTTTTTCACAAGATTATATATCATGGACAGCAAATCAGGTAAATTTTTTATTAATATAATTCAAAATCTTATTTTAAAAGTATTACAGTTGTATAATGAATTTTTTTAGATTATTGGAGGAGAGTTGATACGAAATTTATGCCTAGAAATTTTTGCTATTGGTTTGGTGTCTATTTTGGTACTACGTGATTTGAAAGTATCTATATGGGTGATATGCTGTGTTCTACTTACATTAGTGGATTTATTAGGGTCTATGCATTATTTAGGATTGACTATTGAAATTTCTACCAGTATTATTATTCTTTTGTGCGCTGGATTATCTGTTGATTATGCAGCTCATGTAGGACTTGAATTTACTCTGCTCAAAGGAACGAAAAATGGTAATTGAATGTATTTACTTATTGATTTTTTTAGAGGATTAAATAATAATTTAGAAATATTTTTATATAAATATCATTCGTATCCATGTACATTTTATTTATCTCATTTTTTTAATAATAGAAAGATCCATCACTACGCTAGGAATCATAGGTCCTGCTGTGTTTAATGGTGGTTTCAGTACTTTTTTAGCATTTGTTCTACTTGCTACAAGTAAAGCATACTTATTTAGTACTTTTTTTAAAGTAAGTTTATTTTTGAATTATTATTACGTAGATATATGTTATCTGTTTCAACTAAAAAACATCAATGAAATTTTTTTGACACTTTATTTACAGCTTTTTACATTAGTTGTGATGTATGGTCTATTCCATGGTTTATTATTTTTGCCAGTCGTGTTGAGCATATTTGGACCAAACAATAAAAATGAACTTGAAGTTAAAATTGATAGTATGTCTTGGGATCCTAAAGACTCAAACAAACTTTCTACAATTCCACTCTAAATGAAAAAAAAAAAATAAAAATCGGACGCCAAATAAGCTAAATTAATTATAATTATAATTACTGCTCTGAACTTTTCACTATGTTATTTTGAAAACATATTTTTAAGGTATAAAAATATTAGTAAATATTATTTACATTCAAAATAAAATTTTTTCTACTTATTTTTTATTTTTTTTTTCTTGGCTTTACTTCAAGCCATTCATCTTCAACAGCAGTTTCTTTTACATGTTCTGACATTTCGTCTTCTTCTCCACCATTACTAACTTCACTAGTCGATGGTCCATCACTAATTTGTTTTCTTATCATATCTCTTGATAAAATCCACGATTTTAATGCCGGTAATTTTTCCATTTCTGCCATTGCTGTTTTCTCATCACTATTTAGACAATATTGATAAAATCTCAATAATTGTTGAGCAACTTCAATTGCACTGTTATCTTGTAGCTCTGTATTGAATTCAGTATCCATGTATTCTTCTAACTCTCCTGCAACTTCATCACTCGAAAGGTTTTCTACAATACAAGAACAATATTGTCAACATTAAAATATTATATTCACTGGTTCATTAAGAGTTTAATTATTTTTTACCATTCATATAAATAACTTCAGTAATGTATGGGCAGAATTCAATCGCTTTATCTTTAGATCCCATACCATGTTCAACAGCCATCTACAACGTGTTTACAGTTTTTAAATCATTTAAGAAAAAGAAACCTTTATATATGAGTATAAAATTTAAAAATATGTATTATTTACCCTCAATGCAGTCCAATTACTAAAAATACGTTGTGTGATTTGTAGAAAAAAGTCACGAGTATTTTCCATGATTGGTTTAATTGAAAAATTTTTTAGAGTACCTATTGCATTTATATTTGTTTTCTAACCTCATAACCTTTAAATATGATAAGTTTTGAGTATAAAAACATCAAAAAAGATTATATAAAAAAGAATATATGCATTTATTATTAAAATTTTTTAAACTCTAGTATATTTAAAAAAAAATTGTCCAAGTGAAAAAACAATTCATATGTATAACAATAGAAATTTTTGGAGCCGGTATATGCCACATGATAAATAATTTTCACTAATTCGGAATTTTACCAAGGTTTTTTTTTATTAACAGACAATATAGATACATCAATAAATTCTTTGTTATAGTTTTGTTCAATATGTCGGTAAATTTGAAAACTTCTGATGTAATTTTACCAATATGGTGAGGAAAAAGCTTTCACGACAGACCGCAGTGGCGCTAATTTGGCGCGGAAAAGATTAGAAAGATCAAAATAAAGATGGTGTCATTTTCAGTATGAGTTACTGCGTCTTATTCGCGAGTAAAATGAGTAATGTGATAATTTTTGACTAAAGAGTTTTATCAATATCAAAAGTTAAATGTTTATAATATTAAAATAACAATAATGTGGTGCTTAAAATTAAAATAAAAACAACCATTCAAACTCACTGTAAGTATATTTTGATAAATTTATTTTTATTGAAAATAAGCATAAATTTCATGTAAACTATAATCAATTAACTTAAATACATTTTGGTTGATAATTTATCATATTCATTCAATTTTTTAGCATACAAGTAGGATATGTAAAAAAATTATAAAAACAATTGTAGTTACTGTTAATTCTTACATCAAACACATGCTAAAAATAGTATGACTATTTTATGTACATTTAATAAATATAAATCATTAGTAACATAATTGAAAAGATAAAGCAATCGTTAATAATTGGGTAAACGTTGTACATCCAATTTATTAGATTTTTAAGACTACAGAGTACGATCATTCGATTGGAATAGGGAAAATACATTACTATAATAATAAATTCATTATAGATTCTATGTAGACATATGGCACTCTTATTGGATTTATTTTGAAGAATATAAAAAAGACCTACATCATTTTCCTAATTATTAAACAATATTTTCATAAAACATATGAGTGCATTTTTATTGTTGAAATGCGTCTAGGCTTGACTTTTATAAGTAAAATTAATATCACTATATTGACATTTATTTTGAATGTTTCATACCAGAGCTTAAATTATTACTGTTTACATAATTTAATCCTAAATTTCAACAGTCATTGTCATTAATTATTTGATTAATCACACGCGATATATTTACGCTTCTAAATATTATAACATTATTTTTTACTCATTTAATTTTTTTTTTTTTTTTTTGTAAAAACCAACGAGCGCGGCATTCACCATTCAACATCCATAAATTTATTTCAAATATTTTAATACTGAAACACGCGTATATTAGATTTATTTCTACATTAATACGCCACTTAACATAGGCAGACATTCTCTGCACACAACATACACTTAGGCGCAGTTTATTTTTAATTTATTTATCACTTAAGAACAAACTTAATTTTTTCGTAACGATTTTTGAATCTTTCATATTTCGATTCGTTGTCATCACGAATATAAGTATTATTATTTATACATAAAATTTTTATATTCTCTTAATAATAAAAATTTTTAAAGACTTATTAATGTGCAAACATAGACAATTACTTAATTATCTAATCGTTATTGTATACAGTAAATATAAAATTAAAAGATTTCGATGTCGAATAATAAAATTATCGCTGTACACATACTAGCACTTTTTTATGGTGTGTATCAATCACATGATAAAACAATCCATTTATTACAATCAACATTTGACAATCTGCTCTCGAAAATGAGTAAAAAATAAATATAAAAAAATTAATACTTAGATATATAAGTATGTATATATATTTTTATATATTAATATATAAACAAATGATTTTTAGGCCGAGAATAAATTGTAGAAGTATCATTTCTTTCTTCTTGCTAATTATCGAGGAACTCTGTAGGCAATTGATTGATTGATTAGGTTTCTCCCTTGAACGGAATTAATTGAGATGGTGTGCGGTATCAAACGTATAGTCTAAAAAACAATTAACGGATGCGAACGCTGTGAAGCCGTTCTAATCAGTACAGTCTTTTATGTTTGTGTAATGAAAATAAATTATTATCCTGGCTGCTGTACTGAGTAATCAGTATGCAAGCCATACATTGAATGCTAGACCCAATATTGATTTCTTCTGAGCAAAGGATTAGTTCTTCGAACTGTGGTAGCAGGTTGACAAGGTATTTCTGACGTATCAAAACTACTCCAATCATCAGCATCAGGAACTCCATAAGGATATCTCGCAGAAACGTCTGCGTCTGAACTGGCAGCACTGTCTAATGGATTTAAAGGTGTGACTTTACATTGAGGGAGTGTAGTGATTGTTGGAAGAGGTGTGGAAGAAGTTATGTCAAGGTGATCATTGCCAAAACGTTTAAGGTGAGGCGTGCTTGGCATCAAATGATCTGGAGGTCTTGGAAGAGGAATAACACCAATAGTTGGTGTTGTATCTGTTGTTTTTGTCTCTTGAGTGCTTTTATATCGTTTATGTCTACAACGAATCGTAATAATTACAAGTACTCCTAGTACAAAGACACCTAGTAACATTCCTAAAATAAGAATATAATCATAATTAACGCTAGGAGCAATTGCCATTTCTCCTTCATGTCCTACTGGATCCATAGGTCCACCTAGTGTGCTATTATTTACTTCTGGATCGGATTTTATTCTTATTTCAAATACTCCATCAGCAGGTTGATATGCTGGCACTGTAAGTGTGAATTGAAAACTGTCTGGAAGACCTTCAGCATTTGTCGCAGGCAGTCTACGACAAACGACATAAATTACTCCAAGAATAATATCTCGATGGCTAAATCTTGATATTTCTCGTTCTCGACTGCTTTTTTTGTCTCCAGAATTTCTTATAATCCGTTTCAATTTGCAATACCGAGATTTACCTGTTACACGATAAATTGGATTATCATTAGAAGCTTCAGCTAAAGGCGTTGCATCCAAAAAGTCTAATGTTATTTGATTTTTATCACCAGCATGTGCTGGCATTTGTTTAATTATCACCAGAGGAATGACTTTGATATCTATTTTAATCCCACGCACTTCGTAATCACTTAGTCGTGCTGAAATAATAAAACTGTCATTAGAAGCACTCATGTCCGTCTGAATATAGACGACACTTTTAGACAAGAGGTCTGGATGTTTAAACGTCACAGCTACTTCATCTTTTACATAAAGCATCCCATACTTTGGTGATACTATAATATTATAAGTGACACGTTCTTGTCTAGCATTAGTGTCCAATTTGACATTCTTCTCTGTTACTATACCCATATTTGAACCCTGTTGGAGAGTGATTGGGCTTGTTGTCACATTTAATTTAATTGGTTGTACGTGAATATTAAATACTTTGTATACTGGACTGAACCCACCGTCGGAAACTCGAAAGTAGAATGAAGCAGATGGCGATGATCCACTGTGTTCGTAGACTAATCGATTTGAATTCACGTCTTGTTGAGTAAATTCATTTACTTGTTTTACTTCAGAAGAATTTTGTTCAAAAGAAAAAAGTAGTAATCTGCCAGCTGATGGTCCACTTATCACACCGTACACAAGCTCTTCTGGTTTAGTGTCCGGATCTGTTGTCAATAAATTCTCTCGCGTTATTGTTTGAGTTTGATTCTGAACTACTGTAATAAGCGGACTTTCTGTTTCCAGTTTGAATGGTTGATCATTCACTGGTAAAATAATAACTGGAATTGTAGCATTGCACAGCATCACGTAACCGGGCGTGAGGTAAAGAGAAAACTGAATTTGATCTTCCAAGCTATCGGAGTGATCGTGGTAGTATGCGACTTTTGATCCTTCGATTTGGGATTGAGTAAAAGTTGTAATGTTCAAATCAGGAAGGAGCATAACGTGCCCGTGAGTTGGTTGATTTGTTAGTTTTGATATAACTTGAGGATTTTCTATTCCTGTTTTTGTTCGTAGATATTCGATTATTTCACTGATATTCATGGATATTCGAGCTGACTCTCCCTCTTTCACTTGGACAGGCTTTACAGTAATATATCTGCCTAGGCCACCACTTGATACAGAAACATCTATTTGGAAGATCTGCAATGAAAATATTTATTCATTTATTCATAACCTGAGTAAATTTATTTATAAACTATGAAAGTTCGGAGGATAACTTTATTGAAGAATACAGTGAGAATAAAGTTTGGTGACAGGTAATAAATGTAGATTGAGAAAAGGATTTTATGGCATCTAACAAAGTTTGTCAATAATTAATGGATGATAGCAAATAGTGAATATAAATTATTCTTTATGAATTACTCGGTGATATTCAACTATTTATTTTTAAATATAAAATTTAATTAATTTAGAAAAGATTTTCATCATTCATGTATAGATAATTTTCTTTTAATATTAAATTTTAATGTGAAACATACGAAGAGTATTCTAGTAACATCGAGAATCTCCGTGTAATACCCAAATACAATTTGTGTGCAGTCTACTGAATCTGGACACTTGTCTATTGTTCATCATTATAGTGTAATATATATGCTTTACTATAATTATTTAAGGAATAGAAGCTTCACAATGGACTGAATATTATTCTAAGGTTTGAAATTTTATATTTATTAATTAATTTTTGAATTAAGTAATATTACCTGATTTTTGATCACTTTTGCAAAAGATGTTTCCACATCAAATACAAAGGAATCATTAGTTGATAAATCCATGAATTGCTTTGTATGTTCATACGTCACTTTACTTTCATTGAGGTCTTTTTGCGTAAATCTGTCAACTTCTAACCAAGTTCCCTCGCTCGTTTCCATAATTATCTTTCCGAGCTTGGAAGATTGACGTACGATATACTTAATTTCCCGTTCAGGATCAGAGCACAATGTCAGTAGCAGATTTTCAGTAATAGGTTTCCTCGTCAATGGAAAAATATTCAAACCATCATTTCTTTTAATCAATAGTTCAACTGGAACAGTTTCTATTGTAACATTGTATGGATGAGTTATATGAACACCGTCAAATAATACAAACGTAAAGCCAGCTTGCGAATCATTGGTGTGTGTTAGTAAAACCATTGATTGATTTATTTGTTCTTGTGTAAAATTGTAAATATCAATAGTAGGAAATGTTCGGAGAGAAAAGTATACATTTTTTATGCTGGTAATGTTGTAAATAATTTCTGATGATATAGTATCATTGTCTACAGCTAAAAGATTGGTAGAAGTTAAAATTACACTTCCACCTTGCCATAATTTTATTGTTGATTGATTTACAAGTATAGGAATTTGATCATTGACCGGTTGAACGTTTATCCATACATCCACTGGCTGACTAGATTTATCTCCGGCAATAATAACTATTCGAAAGTAATCAGAAGTGAATTCATCTCCGTTGTGTTTATAAAAAATAATTCCAGCATCTAACTGTTTTTGTGAAAACTTTTTCGTTTGATTATTCTTAATTGAATCCATTATCATACCATGTTTGGGTTTATTTGTAATCTGATAGTTGGTTAATTTACCAATAAAATAAGTTGTAATAACATGGAAGTTGGATGACTCAAGGGGTACACTTTTACCCTCTACAACGGTTATATTATCAACTTTTACGTAAAGCTTGTCAGGGACTATTAGGAAATCAATTACAAGTCCTCGCATCCACGTTATTCCATTTGTGACATCAACAACGAAACTGTCTTCTGTTTGATTAGCAACTGACTGCACGTAGTAAACACGACCCTCGTTAATTACACTCTGATCAAAGTGCCTGACAAGATTCGCCTCATAGTCCTCCTTCGCTTCTTCGCTGTGCCCATCACTAGTTGTTTGTATCTCAAGGTAACCATTTCGTGGCCACTCACGTATCAAGTAAGTTATCTCTGCGGGAGGTATTTTTGGATGACCAATCTCCAAGTTCCTTTTACTTACTGGCACACTAGTACCCTCTTCTACCAAGATAACTCGATTATTTTCTACAATCAATGGTTCCCAGTAGCTCTTTGCGTATACTTTTATAATTACCCGAGTTTCAGCTGATACTTCACCCACTGTTACTCTTACTCGGAATTCATCTTTAGTCATTGATCCACCTAGATGCCGATAAGACACTAAATTATGTAAAAGTTCATCTCGATCAAAGGTATTTATTTCTCGAGAATTTTTCAATATAACTCCATGTTTTGATCTATTGATAATAAAAAACTTTATCTCTTTGTCGTTGATGTCAACATTAGTAGTTATATCTAAGTCTTTTGTACTAAAAGTAACTGTGCCATTGAATTGAACGATCGTTGCATTAGTCTCTAAAAAACGTACATAAGGATGACTTGCTCGAATCTTTAGACTTCCAGGAATTCGTGAATTACCGTCACTGATGTCGAAATCAAAACTTCCAAGTTCCGATCCGTGATGTTTGAATAAAATACGACGATCATTAATGCTCTGCTGGGTAAATTCTTCAAGACGAACAGCTGGCTCTTCTACTGAGTATATTTCTCCATTTGAGATATTTCTTACAGTGTACCTAAGATCACTAGCACGAGTTCCGGTATCTTTATCGATGTAATTAAGATCTCGGCTCATTATCAAACGTTTTCCATTAATAACCACGTTGAAAATTCCACTGGTAGATCGTTCAGGAGGATTATCATTAATTAAGCTTATTTGAAATCGAAATTCACCAGCATACATGAAGTCTGTATTGTCAGTTGATACAGCAACGTATCGAAACGAGTCATGAGTCGTTTCAGAGTCATCGTGAACATAGTAAACCGATTGACTTAGAAGTTCTTCTGAAGTAAATGAAGTTACGTTGGATCTTGCTGTCTGGTTTGAAAGACACTGAACAGACAACCATCCGTGACGTGGTGCTTCAGTAATATTATATTCGAGTCCGCTCACTTTGTACTCCTTTGGATTCATTCGAGTAATACTTAAAGCTACTTGTGATCCTTCCATTAAATTTAAAGTCTCCAACGTTTCTAGTACCTTTAAACTTGCGTCAATGGAATACTTAATTGAGAGGCTTGAACTCAAGGGTTGACATTGTGGTGCGCTCACTTGGAATAAAATTTCATCTTGAATCGACGAATATGCTTTCTTGAATAATCGATATTTCAATTTACCCATATCAATGTCTTCTTGGGTAAATTTATCACCTTTTAGTAATTCACGTACTCCTAGAATTACATTACCATACTTAGTAGATGTTAAAATTGTGAATTCAATTTTTGATGATGGCGTAATTAATGGATTCGTTTGATACTTTAAATTGACATTCGTTAAATTGATTTCATTAGTATTAGTAAAATGTATAGGAGTTTTCATAACTTCCTTTAACTCCATGTCAATAAAAGAAATTTTGAAATCAAAAGTTTGCTGTGTCTTGAGTTCTTTCACGCTTGCTTGAAATTTAAAGACATCTTGGCTTGGACTTCCTGTAGTGTGGAGATATCTGATAAAACCCAATTCAATTTCCTTGTTTGTGAAATTATTCGCATTACTCCAGTAACTAGTTGGCTCTTTAAGCCTTTGGATAACACCATACTGAGGCGGTACTATGATGCTGTATAGTATTTCAATACTCGTATCATCAGAGTTAGTAGCAAAAGATAAATTTGCCGAAGTTAAATACGAAAACGATTGATGTACTACTACTAAACCAGTGTTATGCTTCAACTTTATCTGTAACGGGTAAGCTGATATTCTCAGTGAGGATGGCTTACTCGTTGCTATCCCGTCACTCACTTGAATTCCCAACATTGCATTCGATTTAGCTATAAAAAAAATCATCATTTTTTTTCCATCAATCACAAGTCACATACGATATAACAAGCTTACATGCATGAAATACTCACTATTTCCATGATGAACGTAGGAAATGAGACCCTGTGCCAATTCAGCTTGGGTGAAAGTCTCTACGGGACTAGATGATTGATTAACTTTTTCAACGTGACCAGCATCAATGTCAGTGCGTAAAATAGTATATACAAGCATATCTGCGGGTGTATCAGGATCCACTGCCCACACCAGCTCTTTGTTTAAAGTTTTCCGTGTTCCCTGTTAACAATATTAATCCACATTGTCATATTGATTAATCTCAGGTATGTCTACATGCCTGTCCTGTGGTCTAAATAATTTAGTTAATCTGTCAAACACTAATGGTTAGAACCAAATGTGCGAGCTTGGTTTAAGCGGTTAAATCTTCTTTGTTTACCTACTCCAATTATACCACAATATTTACGGATTATGATTTGTTGATAATCAATTTCAAAATTATTAAGATATAAAGATGATGGCAGGAAGATAATAATCTCCAGTAGCTATAAAATATAGCCAGCCATATGAGCAGCCTGATCATATTTTCCTACAGTATACCGTTGTGTTAATAAATTCAAAATATTTAATAACGATTCAAGACTACCCTATCCTACTACTTTTAACTATCATAATGCAAGTTATTTAGGGAAAACTTACTTGGGCTAGCCTTAGGACCTTGGTGGTAGGTATTTCTAGATGTGGTGGGTCATTCACTGGTGTAATATTGACATGGAGGGGAAATCTCAGACGGCTCTGTAGATAACCAGGAAGCGTGAAGCCAATTCCAGCCGTCAGTTTTAACTCCAATATCATGGAATCCTCTGGGTTTTCACTGCCATCATGAACATAGTGTACCTGTAATTTTATTCATGATCCTTTTCAGCATGTTATTACTCATTTGTAGGTATTTATAGTATAATAAATAAACAAAAGATATTTAAATGATAAGAAAAAAAAACAATATTTAAGTTTCATTCAGTTTTACAATCATGTGCCACTTAAACAAAGTCATGGCTCATTAAAAATACGACAATTAGCATACCGCGAGGGTTGTCTGACTCAATTATTCTAAAAAGTAGTTCGCAAGGGAAAATAAAGCTGTGGGAAATTAATTCAAAAGTCGACGCTACAAAGTTGCCAGCAAAGATAAGTCCCAAGTGTAGAACATACGGCGCTCACCAGAATTAATTTTAAAGAAAAAAAATATCTTTATAACACCAGAAAATATATAGTTAAATTAAGGTACAAAGAACATTTTTAGATGAAAATTTTTAAACGCTTTATTAAGTTATTCTTATAAAAGGATATCAATTCTGATGAGAAAATGGCTTTCTTGAAAAGTTAAAAAAAAAAAAAACATTAAAATCAGTAAAATCGAATTAATGTTTAATATTATTATTTATAACAAAAGAATCTTTTATTTTAAATGAAAAAATAATTTTTTTTTTTACTTTTTATTATCAATGATGAGATTAGTAGAAAATATTTCAAGCTGTAAAAATATTTTAATAGAAGTTTTCAATATTTCCTCAACACTCAAAACTTTTTTTCATTACGTTTCATATAACTGAAAAGAGACTATAAGAAAAAGAGAAAAAAATTTAAAGACAGAGGAGATTAAATGTGGATGATTTTTTGTTATTTTAATGTCATATAACGAGTATAGATATATGTATAAATGTTAGTTGGCTGGACAAATCACAAGTTTAAAAGCGACAAACGGGTGTACTTTTATCACTCCACTCTCTCCCTAATGCTTCTAAAGTTAGGTCCTTTCTCGCACGTACTATCTATAGACTATTCTCCAAGACTATTAGAAGACGAATACGTGATTGCTCAGTCGACGCTTACAAACTCATTTCTTCACTTTTTTCACTGATCCACAAGATTAGCCCAAGACTCAGTCAAACTCTCAACGTATTCCACTTCTTCCATAAGTTTTTACTAACTTTTTATACTTTTTCCTTACAATATGTATGACACTTTTACTTTTCTTTTATACAATTTAATACATTTTCATTTATACATGCATATATACAATAGTGTTATAAATTACTTCAACTGTCTATCGACTATCGCAAAAGCCAATCGATTATATGAATTCAAAACTTAGTCTGCAGGACAATCCAAGGGTATCGCTTGTGTTATTTAACTTTACTCCAGGATTTCTAACAATACTCATATGCATTATAGAACACTTTCCGAATTTAAGTTTCATAGAAAGTTTAAAGACCCAACCACGAAACCACTGACCGAGGAAAACTCGAAACTGCATATCTAAAGTAGAAATATGGATGTGTACTTAAGCTAGATAGCGAAGAGCCTTAAATAGAACAAAAAAGTACATGGAAATAAAAAAAAAATCAGAGATGTTTATTAATAACTGTTTGTAGTTGTACTTGTTAAATGTGGTCTGGTTATTTATAACACCTATTCTACTTGCTTTTGAAGATTCTTTTATTATGTTCTGTCTAAATTATAATCATTAAAAAAAGTTTCTATTAGAAAATATGAGAATACCAAAATTGACTTAAACAATAATAATAATATTATTTTCAGCAGTAAACTTTTCACTGAAATGGAAGATTTTAAATTTAATAATGATACACTTCATAACGTTATTATTTATGAATATTATTTTTATTTTAGTTAGTTTTAATGAGAAACGTTAAAAAAAATTCTTGTGCATAACTGACTGTGTTTAATAGTAATATTTAAACTGTTACCAGAGTCTCATGTATTTTATCACATTTTTTATTAGATAAAATTACATCATTAAGCTTCTTCTTCATACTGATATAATTATGATTAATTATTTTTATTTTTATTGCAGTCGATTATTAAATGTATCATTCAACAATAAATAATACCAGTTGGATAACCATTTGAAATTTTTATAAGATATTTCTTCTTTGAGCATTTCAAAATAAATAACTGCCACGTTTATAAAATTGAATTCCAAATATTTATTTTTCTTGAAACTAAAAACTTGAAAACTGTTTGAACATTTATTGAAATATTGAATATTTATCTTCTTTTAATATATTGAAAATGTTATTTAATTTTTATTTTCTATTGAATATCATGAATGTTTATACATTAGTTTTCATATTATATTTTAGTATTTGATATTAACTTATGTAATATAAAACCTTTATATTTGTAGAGGCATAAGCAAACATAGATTTATGCCTATAAAACGGACAGTTATAACTCGAGAATTATGATTCTGTAATTTTTGGAGGATAAAAGGCTAGATTTAGATAATAAAGTACATCAGAATTGAAATTGAAAATAGCTTATAGTAATCTATAATATGCAAAGTGGATAAGTATCAAGTTGTTCTGGAAAATCAATTAAAAAAAATTTAGTATTTCAGTTGGAGTATGATTTAAATTTGATTATCTTCGACTGATAAACTTTAAAGTAAAGATAAATTAATGTACTTGATCAAATTAAAATATATTGATCGATAGTCAACAGATATTTATTGTTCTCTGATGACAAAAATGGATTTTATTTTGTCATCAATGTATCAATAAATTATTCTATAATCTATTAAACAATATGTTTTTTAATACATAATATAGTTAAATAAAACATAAACTAGAAACAATTCCATTCGAATAAAATTGCATATTCAAGTTAGTGATGAGTAGTAAGCTGGCAAAAAATATTTAATATAAAATATTAATATTATGAAAAATATTCGAGTCATAAATAATGTACATTATTTAGAAAGCAATAAAAAAATTTCATTAATATTTAAATTTATCGTGGAATGGTAACAAATATATTGATATTAATAATTCACATATCATAATAAATGATAGTAGCTGTCATTCATCTACTATTCAATAAAATAATAATTTTAAGTGCACGTACTTGATAACTAATTCAATGATATTAAGTTTTAATCTCAATAAGTAATGTGACTTGAAAAAAGTTTTAATAAATGTTTAAAGTTACAATACATTAATGGTCAATATGTGTTAATCTCTCCAACTTGTTTTCAGATACCAACCTTTTTTTTGTAAATGTCGTGTAGCGTAAATGACTGAGTAGAGGTTGAGATTGAATCCAGAGCAAGTCTACCATGTTCTGGTGGAATGGCAAGGCTGAAAATTGTTCCGTCCTTATTTACACCGTACTTGGCAATGTCCAGGACCATTGCTATATTGTTGGTGGTAATGGGTGCATGTTCACCTTCTGCTACCACAATAGACTTCACTGTTACGATTTCCAAATCCAGAGCTAAACTTCCATTTTCCTGTGTTACACAATAATATTACTGTATTATTATGATCATGATAAACAAAAAGTATTGTTATAACAACAATAAATTAATAGTCATACAATTTTTAAATACATTAATTAGAATTGAATTCAATTTCACATTTCTATGATAAATAAAAGGTACACAAGCAGTTGTACAATGATGTTATCCAAATAGTATTACAATTGGAGTAATGGTAGCTGAAGAAAAGAATAAGGAAGCAATATGTTGTTGTGAATTTTCAGTTGATAAAAAAGAAAGAGAAAATAATTTGAAAGAGATCAAGACTGTTAGAGTCACTTGTAGGAAAAGAACTCAATGCGTATTGTAGGTACTCAAGGGAACCTTATAAAATAGCTTGATTTCCTACGAGACGAGCATCGTATATCGAACCCACAAGGAAATGATTCCATCTCCAAAGGGAGTTATTCCAATCAAACGGATAGACGTCTCAATGCTTGATAGCATTTACTAATCGATATAAGTTGATGTTTTCAATCAAGTAAACTGTTTTATATAAAATCATTTTTTTTATCTTTTTCATAACAAATATATTCAATTGATTGCATCTACTTATTTTTATTTCATTATAATTTAAATTGAAAGTAAAAAAAACCTTTTAGTTGAATTAATAAATTTATTCTTTGATCTATATTCTGAAAATATATGAATTTGGTAAAATGTAAAATGACACAGAATATAAATGGAATGGCAATGGAGAAATTTTAAATAACACGAATTTACAAAAAAAGGTTTTTAATTGTGTCTGATGCAATTTAAATAAGTGTTAGTATGACTATTGAAAATTGTTGCCAGCAGTTTATTTAGGGAGATAATAAAAATATTTAAACAAGTCTCAAACTATAAAATTTTGCCAAATATTGTTTGAGAGCTGGATACTTGCCCTGGGACAACTAATTGTTAATGAAGTACTGAATTATTTGAGTTTATTTGTGTTTTTATATTTGAGGAACTAATTTGTCCGATTAAAGCAATTTATTGATTTTTAAATATTATTCATTCAATTAATATTAAATGATTACATATTAAACTGATGAAAATAAATTAATTATTATAGGTAATTAATTAAAAAGATAATATATAAATTATCATCGAGATTAAAAGAATATTCCACAAGTTTTATTAAATGTTAAATGAAATAAAAACTGGAGACTTGAAGAAATATAATGATAATTGGTACTGTGGTAATTTTTCTGTAATAATATAAGAGTGTAAATGGTGATGATTAAAGTATAGAATTACATAAATCAGACAACCGATAGAGTTACAAACTCGTTAACTCTTGAATGGAGGCTTCCGCAAATCAGCACTCTCGTTCAACGACAACCACAAACCGCGCAAGTAAACAGGATGCCCATTGTGAAGCAGCTTCACTCAAACACCATCACATTGGAATTATCCCTAAGCATCATCGCACTACAGCTAATTAGAATAGCTGATCGGCAGGTGGACCTTCTCTCGATATTAAAGTGACATACATACAGAGAAACAAACAATTGAGCATAAATTCTGGATGAAGAAGAGAAGTGAATAACAAGTCTATTAGTATTGTTATAGAATTACCATCAGTCTCTTTGTACTCATTCATTATTACCTATTTCCATCAATTAGTTTCACCCAATATGATGGTTTATGATCGAACTCTATGCATCAGAGTTTCAAAGTTACAGATAATATTAATTGAATAAATGACAATTCACTCACGCTAGAGTTCTCGACGTAATTGGTCGTGACGCAATGGGGTTGCTCACAGGTGCACTCAAACGCGTCGACACCAAGCTGAGAACACGTTGCAGATTCAATACATGGTTGCTTTTCAAGGCATGGATAAAACCATATACATCCAACGACGATTCCTTGGCTGATTTTGACGTCAGGCAAGCCGATCTCTGTTGAATCTAGCATCATGTTTCTCAGACATCCCTTGTAGCTCCTATCGCCGGATTTAATGCCTTTGCCGATTGCTCGTGCACGTTTATTGAGTTCAGTACCTCCGATATACAGAGTTTCAGCCAAGTCCAAGTATCGATTTCCGCCCGCTGTTAAATTCTGATGCTCAACCTGCTTATCGATACTGATACCAATCATACTCGGCCTGAAGTCAATTACGACTTTATGCCATTTCCCATCATTCACACTCGTCGAGTGAATCAACTCTGTCGCGCCATTTCCTTTGTTCATTAGTAGTCTTACTTTGCCCTCTTGCAACTCAATGCCCAAATAATCAGCATGAGACGCCTGTCCTGCGTTGTACAGCAGCAGTCCCATCCCTGAGGTCGTTTTCAACTCCAATTCCCATCTGCAATGCGGTGACACGGTATTCACAATAGCAATCTCTACCATATCACCATTACTTGCTATATTATAACTTGTAATGTTAACTTTGAACAACAATACTAAATCTACTAAACCTATTTCCTATTTTATATATCATTTCTTATAAACTCCTCAACTATTTTATTACTACCTAATGAATAGAAAATCAACATCAAGACCTCCCTTAGTTATACTGCAAAATAAAAGTGTGTCAAAATAACTTATACTAAATAAATATAATATTTAATTGTTGATGAATTTATAAAAAAAGTCGCTTATAATAGATTAGGATTGATAAGTGAAAAAAGTTGTTATAGACAGCTTGAAAAGGAGTGCATACACTCTGAAAAGTGGCAAACAATCATTAAATTGAGATATGGTCAAATAAAACAGGATTTTAATTATACTTTCAAACTAATCTTCTTATTTCATTATTGAATTATAAAGTGAAGAAAAAATTTTAATTTTATCGTTAAATGTATCTATACACATACTCAAGTTGAAAGTAATATACACAATAATACGAATTTAATCAAGCTGATTTACCGCGAGAAGTCAATTTTGATTAAATTTCAAAAGCACCTTTTTGATATGCAAATCACGAAAAAAATTATATTATTCTGAATGTGCATTTATTGAGCAAATAATTTATTTATATATTTTCTTCTCATCCCAAATGCATACTAATGATAAAGCTCAACTTTGAAATTTTTAATATTATTATATTAGTTTTTTTAACGATATCATTTAAATTTCTATTCTTATCTCGAAACAGAACATAATCAAATAAATAATAGTAACAACAAAGTAAATGTTGATAAAGTTAATATTTTTTATTCTTTTTCTATGAATAAAATCGGTATAACTTGAAACAATACTCAAATGGCAATTTCACTTTAAAATTGAATTTACTGTCTGAAAATCCTTAGATATATTTATTTTTTACTGAAGAAAAAGTACCGGTGTCTGGCATTTTTATTATTATTATGATTGAAAATTTTTTTCATCGACAATCAATTCTCACTAATGTCACCTTTAATTTTCACCATTGGAAGAAACTCATTTATTTCTATTTTGTTACAGTTTTATTTCTCGTACTTTCTTATTTCAAATATAAATAAAGGTTTTTAATGAAATATTTACCTTGATCCTGAGCGTGATATTGCCTTTGGAATCGATAAAAAAGCACCTTCTTCGAGGAAACTTATTTCATCTCTTCTCGTTGCATCAAATACTGATGAACATCCCCACGTAACTGCAATAGCTTCTGAGTTGTTTCGCCGTGACTTTGTATATTCTATTACATTTGCTCCGTTATAAATAATGTCTGCCATACAGCCTCTCATATATTCAGTGTGACCTGTGAAGAGATAATACGAATTTTTAGTGAAAGCATAAAAAAGCTTTATCGTTTTAAATATTACATTATAGTATGCATGGTTAAATTTATTTATATAACCATAAAAATGGATTAAAATTGGAATTTTTTTGCTTCTTATACTATAAAATTAGTAATATTTATCGAAACGATGAGACAAGACATTATTCTATAGAAATTTAAATTCTTCATTCATTTACTAATCAGGTCAAATTTATACCGCCTCTCTCCACAGTATGCTTTTCATTTAAAATAAATATGAATTTATAATAACTCACTATTATGATGATAAATTTTTTTACATATAAATGATTTAACATATTAAAAGAAAAATTAATTAAAGTTGAGGTGTATTTTACAAAAACTTAGTACATTCATTATGCAGAATGGTTATTTCACAATTTCGTTATTCATCAGTTCATTAGGATTTTGAAAATAATTTTAAGTATGTATGTGAAGGTTTGAAATAGAATAAATATAAATTAACAAGAAGTAGTTGTTTTTAATTGGCAAGTAGTGTCAGGTTTAATTGGTAAATTGAAAAGAAAAACATACTGAATATGGATCCAAGCAGTTTACGTTCTATCTATCAAAGGGTGAATTACACATCGCGCAGTATCTCTTGACTCTAGGAGAGTATACATCTCGAGAAAGATAACATGTTTCATCCTAGCTTTCTTAAATATTTATTTATGTAAATTAGAAAGAGCATGCAAGTAGAGAAGAGAGTTAAACCATAAAAGTAGTTCAGATAAAACATCCAACACTGGTGTTTCATTAATTTGAACAAAAAAAAATACAAAAATGAAAAAAAAAAAGTAAATCACTGTATGCACTTTTATTAATGACTTTTTTATCATCCTGGTCATTAATCTCTATAATCCGGGAGCAAAAAATGAAAAAGAAAATAAAAATGGCAACTTTTAATCAGCATAACATTTGGTATCAACTACCAGAGACAGTCTTGTCCGTTTGTTATATATATTTTTGTCTTGGAAGTAAAACTGGAGAATTATCGGACTTTTCTTCAGAAATTTCGGCTATACAACAGCGAACAAATGAATTGTCATGAATATGTAAATTGAATTTTGCCGGTTAGCCTCGGGAATATTGTGCCAGGAAAGTCGCTGTTTGCGCTGATCGTATTCAATTTGGTGACCTGGGTAGGAGAAAGAAAATTAAATGAAGAAAACGAAGAAAGATCTCCTTTGTGTTTCTTAGGGAGATTACTTTTACTACTGTTCATAGTAAAGCCAACATATACATCATCTGTTCAAGTCGACTATTCAATAACGATAACCACTTTAAATCCATGCTCTAGAATATTTTTACTTTTTATCCTCCATTCCAAGTTGAATGCAATTAAGTATTTTGATAACTTTTTCAAACAAATAAATGTTGTTATTAATTTAACGCGGTTAAGATTTCATCTTCATTCATTTAGATAAAAAAAAAAGTATTATAGTAATTTTAGCAATTTGTTATCTGTTAAATAATATATAAAAGAGGTCTGCAATTTAGCTTTATTGAGCGAGTATCATAAATAAATGTGAGATCAGGAAATATTATCCAGTAAATAGATGATAATACTGCATCATATCGTAAAAAAAAACAACAGTATGATAACGTAAAAATATTATGAAAGTTCAAATTAGTTTACTTTTGTAAGAGGCATAAAAGTTTATTTAATAAGAAGATTAAACAAAATATATTTTATATTGACAAATGTTGTGAAATATATTCAAATAAATAGTTTTCCATAATAAGTCAATTAATAAGTGTCTAAAAGTAAACTAGTTAGTGCTTTTTGTATCAATAAATTTATCACAGGCTTATCCAATGTTGACCATGACTTAAACCCTGTCGTAAACATTTTATCCATCACCTAGCATCAACCCTGATCCCTCATCAGCTCGACTAATGAATCTCTAAGTAGAGCACGCCCTTTCCCTCCAGTCGACCTATTCACGTCTAATTAATAGTTAAATAGTTATAAATTGGAATTATTCAATTGTTCTGCAATGACTAAATAATTTCATTATTCTATTAATAAATATTGCTGATATTTCAATAATTTAATAGTTGCATTATTAAAATATTGGAATTTTTATTTTGTCTAATTTAATAAATAAACAAATGCATAAATTATTTTTCAATTTATCATAGGTTTTTGTAGGATTTTGATTTAAAATGCTATATGAAATGAAGTAATGGAAAAATTCACCCTTTGAATAGTATAGATATTGTGCGACCTGATGGAAATATTACAATTTACCAGATGGCGGCACTCAATTATTGAATTGCTGCATGAAAAATTATTTATTTCCCAATTATTTCGCGTGATATATTTTTTCAGCATTGGTGACAAGCATTTACGTCTATAGTTTGACTATTAAATGGTTTAAACAGAAGAAAAAATTCAAATGAACCAACTTTAAATCCATATTAATTTTTGGCAAGTTTGAGAATACTTTAACGACTTTTATAATCAAAAATCAAGATTAAAGTTTGAGAAATTTATTAATTACAAAAAAATATATGTCAACGAACATTATTACAAGATATTAATGATTAATTATGATATTCATAGTTTTCCAATTTATAATATGTAACAGCAGTTTCAAAGTAATTTTTTTTTTTATTTGATTTTGTGTATTACTAAGTATTATAAAATTTATTTAACTTTTGTAAGTAATTAATTTAAAATTTAGAAAAAAAATTGATCTGTTGACGACCTATATTACCTTAAGATAAAATATTAGACGTGAGTGAAATTGTTAGTTTTAAAACAAGTATTGTTAATGTTGGAAAAAAAAATAAATAATAGTTACGGTGAATAAATTTTCATGTAATTTCAACAATTAATTGTAGAATTTACACAGACAATAAATAATCTTCCTTGAGTGTGTAGTATTTAAGAGAAGATTATAACACGAGACTTGGGTAGATATGTAGCAAAAGTTGGTACACGAATATAATCTGGATGAGTCAAGAGAGTCAAGTAGTGAGTTTGTTACCTAGAAATAGCTTGTTGAAATCGCCTTGTCCTCCTATGTAGACACCGTAAAGTACATTCAAGACGAAAAATCTTCCAGGCAGCAAAGTTCGTGTGGTGTGAATAACATCGATTTGTAAAGTCATATTTGCCTCACGACGTATCAAATGGATTTCATGCCAACTGAGATCATTTAACGTCAGTCCTTTCGGACTTGCAATCTCACTTTCACCAGCACCCAAGTTTATGTGGACCTAAAATTGACAGAAAATGAAATAACGAATGAATTGTGAATTCAATATAACCATGTTCTCGGTATCTTCTTATATTTTTATATATAATATATATATATTATAAAAAAAGTTTTTTTTTCTAGAACGTATTAATAACTCGAAGGTTCATTGAAATATTTCATTGATCGTTTACTGATTAAAACCATTCACTCCATTCTTGAAATATCTTTGAGCAAAGTTTCAGAATAGATTGAATGTATCAAAAAGATAAATGAAGTGTCTTTAATGAACTGATAACGTAATCATTTTGTATCCACTTCACATCCATAAATTTTTATTTATTCTAAATAAGAAACATTTTTGAATATGAGAAACTACGAAAGTACACTTAGAAAAATTTTTTCCATTTAATCAATAAAAAAAATTTGTAATATTCGCAGTTAAATATTTTATCGAATTTAACGACATATATTTTGATATTTGGTTCAAGATGATGATAAGTTTAAATACAAGTGACATGAGATTATTTCTTTCTAAGACACCATAGATCTTAAAAAAAATGATCAATTCAATAAAACATTTTAATAAACCAACACTCAGATACTCTATTCATGGAACTGGGGTTTTAAAAGTTATATGAACGAAAATTTAAAAAAAATGAAAACCACGTGGAATAAAATCTTAGGATCTATCAAAGTATTCATAAGCATCAGAAATGATAAAATAAACTCTCCCTGAATGTCGAGAACCTCACTTATTAATTTTATTTACCCTTTTACTCGCAAAAATCAATTTATTTAACTTTAAGGGCCTTGCTTAAACCATTCTGGATTATTTTGTTATTATTTTAAAAAACCATTCCAACAGAATATTTCATTATAACCATTCAAAATTTTGATTCTCTTAGTTGAAATAAATATGACTTATTTACAGTAAATTATTTTCTCAATCTAAAATCATAGTGAAACGATCTATCTAATAAATGTTTAATTTTTAATTTTCGTATCCATTGCAAGAACTCAGACTGTATACTCAACAACTGTCAGAGAGTTGAAAAAGTTTAGAATAATAGAAATAAAATAATGGTGATGTAGAAGATAAATTTAAGAAAATTGTCTCAGTTATTTTCTAGCATAAATCTGCATATATAATAGAAAACTCTGGGTTGCTACAATATCAAAATGCGTTGTAGAAACGTCTGTAAAGCTGAAAAGTGCAGTGTCTTGAAAAACCTTATTTTCCAAGCTTAAATCTCAACCTCGGAAGCAAGCACGAATAGTTATGCAGATTCAACATAAACGGAGAGACCTACCAGGCCTCTACACTTTACACAAGCGCCAAGTTACGGCTGCCAAATCCTTTTCCCTCAGGACTAAAGATTAATATGACGTTACCTCGGTGTGTGCTAGAATAGTAGTGTATAGTACAACACATAACGAAAGCAATTTCCGCAAAACCTTCCTTCTTCATGTTACACTAAATTATCATAGTTGTAACCTCTTTTATGCCATATCTGTATAACTATTGTGTACAATTCATGTGGATACATTCATTGACTAATTAATTGTGGTTTCACTAATTCATTTATTGTTACTCAGTAACCAAATTCCTCAAGCTAATATTTGCTCATATAAATAATTCACCGACTTAAACTCAAACTCGGAAATATTGAGGGTTTGATCAATTTTCTTGGACTATGTGGACTACTAGTTATCATAGATGGACAGATGTGCTGCTTCATTGAACATATTTTTAAGTGAAAATACATTTTATCACAGCAAGGGAAATCGTTTGGAATCGATTTGATCTGGCATTTCATCGGAATCCAATGGCCTGTCTCCTCGAGTGGAAATTATGGCATTTTCTTGGCTTTATTCAAATTTTTTGTTTATGGAAAAAACTTTATACATTGAAAATATTTTTAAACGAAACTATTTCAGATAAAAAGAAAATCAATATCGGTTGAATGTTTTGAATGACTTAGTAATTAATTAATGAAATTGATGTTATTCTGATTATTCAATTATCCTTGTCGAACTATTTTCTATTTAAGAAATAGAAATACATGAAACGTAGTAAATAGAAGTTACAATTGTTAAGATTTATTGTAAGGATGTTAACTATACATTGTCGAGCATAAGAAAATCCAGAAGGGTCGACGTTATACGAGGGGTAAATGTTCCTTGGAGTTGGCAAAGACTCAGCAGCCGTGTCATTACGCCTGGATCTCGGGTTCGAGAAGCTCGCTTGATTAATTATCCGAGCGGGGAACATCTCCGCCGAGGGATTACGTCAATTTGCAACGTGATATTCGTTTTAGAACCGCGCCGGCTTGACCTCGTGCCAAGTCAGATCGTTAAGAGTTAATTATCACGTACCGAGAAATTTGCCAGCTTCACCCTCATTCGTGAATATCCTTTGATATCAACTTTCCTCCAGTTTATGTATAGAAGATCAATGAGCCTTCAATTTTCCTTCTCATGTAACATACTTGTTCGACACACGTTAAGGAACCCACGTCCTTTTCTTTCTTCCCAGAATTCTTTTATTCGCTTTGACGATCTTGATTAGTTTTATCTCTTTCAAAATTCATCAATCTATTAACGATGATAATTTAACTTCAATAAAATATCCAATCTTTTAATGAATAGAATTAATTAAACACTTTGAAGAATTTTAGTAATGCTTGTCAATAAAAGATATTTTTCAGTAAGAATAAACATTTTGTGCTGGTTAAAGTGAAAAACAAATTTAAAAAAACAACAAGGATATGTTTGAAGCGTAGCAAACATTTTTAGCAATCGTTGATCCAATTGCGTCCCATCAATTACTATCAGAGTGAGTTTGGCCATTTATTTAGCGCCTTTGTTTTCGTTCATTCTTCCCATTTCCTCTTCTACTTGGTTTTAATTCTTTTCGCTTCATTCTAGTTCGATGGACCAAGCTATATGTGCTGTGCAGGCAAGTTTCACGTCCACCAAATATCGATTACCACCAACGAACGGCTAATTCTCGACCTCTTGAATTTATGTTTTAGCTAACTCGCTTATCATTAGACTTTCTCCCAAGCCATATACCAAAATAGTTATAACTGAGATTAATAAATATTTGTTCGGCATTTAGAATCATCGATCGATGAATGATAATTTAATAACGATAATAATAATTATTATTATTATCATGCTAAATGGCGTAAATGTTTCATAATCGTTTTAGTAGAAGCTTTTTTATATACTTTTATACAGCCTTTGATTAAAAAGCTACGATTAAAAGGCTGTATGGTAACGTCACCTCATTTAAAGATCTTTAAAAGATAAAAAAGGGAAGAAAAGTAACGAGTGGTAAGCCTAAAATGGAAACTAGAATCCCTCAGGCACTCGAATGAGTAGACAATAGAACATGAAAGAATGAAAAAGACCACACAAACCTTTAGTCTTCCAGCTTCAAGCTTGATCAAACAGTAGTCAGTTTTTCCAGCTGCCAATAATAGGATTGCATCAGAGAGATGTGTTCGAAAACGAAAACTTATGTCAGTGCTTCCTTTTGCTTCTTGCACCGGAAAATGAATGTAACTCGAGCCATAAAATGATACTGTAATCAAAGAAAAATTAATTCATCAATATTTTTATTTGTTATCATAGGTAATGTGTAATTATTATCAATTAATATTCAATTCAGTCACTAAAAATAACTTGAAAATAAATCTCATCTGGACCAAGTTACTTGAAGACTTATCGATTGATTGTCTAGTATTGAAAATTATTTAAATCGCTCTTAAAACATTCTCCAAGAAAGTTTTATTTAACAGGAATTTCTAAAAAAAAAACCAGCTTAAAGTCTGGCAAATTTTATTGAAATAAAAAATAATTTATGCTATTTTAATACTTCAATCACGTGTAAAATAATTACAATATGTTTCTCATAAACAAAATATAATTAATTACTAAAATATGTTTTTATTACAAAAATGTTGAATACTTATTCAAATACAATTATATTGAGTCTTATCTATTGGAAGCATTTAGTTGAATAATACATGATGAAAGAATCCAAATTTCCTCAATTTATACATTTTATTCATAAAAGTAAAAAGGCTGGATAATACCAATAAATGTTGTAAAGAGATCTTTATTACTGTACTTTTTTCAGTCTTTCAGTTAAAAATTGCTATTTCTCTTCAAAGAGCATTGAAAATTTTATTTCACTGCTCATTTGAAGCGAAAAATAAATAAATTTCCAAATATTGAGTTTTCGTTGTGTTAAAATTTTTTTTTAGTCAACATAAAAGTTGTACAAATTTCTGTCCACAGAATTAAATGGTTTATGATTTTGTAATCTAAAAAAAATAAAACAAATTTGTCTTGTATAGTAATAGCTATTGAAAGTAGATATCGCTACTGAATATGCATGATTTTTGTATTTATGTCGTACTATTATGCAAACAAAAGTTATTATATCTAAAATAGATAGTTTAGATATTTGTGTGCTGATTAAAATAAAAATAAAAGAAAATAATTACTTAAATATACTTAAGAATGAATCAATGATGCTGATGATACTGTTTTTTTAGTACAAAATTATGATTATCATTTGGCATTATCATGAGATTGGCAGTAATACTATCGTAAAATAATGGAGCTGACGTGCAGAACTCACGGATTCAATTACTCAAGAGGAAACAGAAATGTTTATTTTACGAGCTTCCATCACTGACAATAGCTTTACACAGTTCAATATCACTTTTATTTGAGCAAATCTAATAGCAGTTTTTCACAGAGAAAAAAATTTTATATTCGACAAACACGAAATGACACATCTTCAATATTCAACATCGACAAAAAAAAATCTACAATTTAGATTATTTAAAATATAAAACAAAAACGTCCAAGTAATTAATTAAAACTTGATCAACTTTGATAAATGTTCTAGACAAAAAACTTGAGCCAGTAGTGTTGTAGATATATAGCAATACGCCAACAACAAAAACAAACTCATCTGCTATATATCTATCAATAAATAAACTCAATAGAAACTCGAATGAGACAATCTAACAGTTGAAATACCAACGTTGTGTGGTAAAACGAAGAGAGGTACATCAATGAAACTTTTATGCTTTCATCCAATACCAAGTGTTAAATTGAAATTTTCTGTTAGCAAAAGTGCATTCCACAAATATCCGTTTGTTTGTTCACACAGCAAACTACCCCGTTTGAGGCTTAAGCTTCTAAGCTTAGTGATGGTACTCTGCCAGCTTGCTTCTATTATCGTTACCATAAGGTTGTTGTGGTTTACCAATAAGCAACTGTTATCGCGAAAATTTAACTATAGTTTTTAATAAAAAGATTTCTAATCCATCTTGAAAAGTAAATACTTGAGCAAAAAGTCACTAAACAACTAAACCGAATCAATTTATTTTTCATTATAAATTGTCGTTTGTATAATAATATTTATTAACTATTAACAAATTTCTGTAAATATTAACAAATATGGATCAGTATTTATTTGAATCCATTTGGTTGACATAAATATTGCTTTGACATTATTTGATACTTTGGGTTTAGCAATAATTAATAAAGATATCTTGAGCCAGCTGATAATTCATTCAATTAGGAGGCTGGTTATTTATTAAAAAAATATAACTACACTTATTTGCAACAGGAAATTATTTATATGCAACTAAATATTTATTCGCCACATTCAAGCATGAGATTTTTGTAACTATAATCAAATTTTGGTTGATGAAAAAAAAATTTTTTTCTCAGCGTACGATGGAGAGTAAAATTATTCTTCACGTAGAAATATTATTTTTTCAATGTGGAAATGGAAATTTTTCAGTTCAAAAAATGCTTATTTATGATTTAGGTAACAAAGAGAAAAAAAACCAATACTATTGCCGGAAACTACCCTCTCTAACTACCCTCTATAAACACGTATGTAATAAAGATAAAGAGCCGACGTGTGTGTAAAAAATATTAATAAAAAGGAAACTTTAGTGTGGTCTGAGTTGTCACTGTTGTAATTATTTGATTGAATATACTTGAATTTTTATCGTTTTATCTTTTTATAAAAAATAAATTATAGTTATTACTGTAATTTATATTAACATATAAGTTTATTATGCTATTGAAAGACATTTTCTAAATGATTATGTCAAGTGCTTCATTCCAATAAATTTTAATTCATACGAATTCAATATCGAAGTGAAAAGTAATAATCACATTTCATTAATATTACATTAAATAAAATTTTTGCATGACTAGGTATTAATAATAAAATGGCGTATTGAATATCTTCCTTCGAAGATATAATTTAAATTCTCATTTCTATCATTTATCTGCAATTTTTCTGATCAGTAGAGAAACTTTTTCAATAATTATTCAATCATTGAAAAAAAAAAAAGCTAAAGAAGTAATACATCTGAATTGTAGATAAGATGATAACCAATTGAATAAAGAAATGATCTTATAGCATTAAATATAAAGAAGGTAAAAAATTATAAGATTCTTGATTGGACGAAGAACATAAGAAAGGCGATATCAAGATATAAAATGATCATTTAAAATTAAAGAAATTATAAATGCGGTTAATTCCTCTGAATATATTTTTTTTCATATTTTTTATTCTGCAGTAAAATGCATTGAAAATCTTGGAAAAATGATTTACGGTAATGATAAGTAATTTCTACATAATTTTGCTGAGAGAAGAAGATAATATTTCTTTTCAGTACTACTTGAGGATGGAGAGCCATTTTTAGTCCAACGGAGAAATAAATCCAATAATTAAAGATAGTAAAAACAGCCGTAATCGCATCGAGCATAATTTACCAAATATTTTTATTGCATAAAAAATTTTCATTAAAGTTCACCATTTCATTATAAATATTATTTTATTCATTTTGGTGACTTTGGATTTAAAAACTTGGAACGATGTTTATGTGCTTAATAAAGACTTTGCCACGGCCATAAATATTTAATGAAAGATTCAATACTGAAAGCATTACCGGCAAAATTAATAACACAAATATATCACGAGTTAAATCTTGAAAGGAAAAAGCGAAAGGAAATAAGAATGTGAAGAAAAAGAGTAAAAAGTAGAATAAAAAGGCTGATATATGTATTCACGATATTTTATTATTTACAACCCGTCACGTTTCACTGGTCGAGAGAACTAAACTGGCGACCGAATAAGACAGGGCATATCTAACATGGCATCCATTCATCTATCCATACGTTACCTTTTTCATCCGTCTGGCAAAAGCCCAAGAAGATGGCTGCAGCAGCCAGCAACATCAACAGTCCCATGTCGGCAAAGTTTAGGCTTTTCCTTCTTTATTCTTATAACTCTTGCTCTTTATTTTTATTATTTTCCGGTCGTCTCCTCTCGTTTATTCGTTTCTGTGGAGTTTGGTATGCCTTTTGTTATTATTTCTCTGTCTTGAGCCTTTTCTTTTTCTACTTTATATCACTGGGGGTGTTCTGGTGTATTCTTTCCGCTGTTGTTCAGGATAAACGGACTCACCAAAGTGAACGAACCTAAACCAACATCGATCCTCGGCGTTATACGAGCTCAACGCCGTTATTTATGCGAACCCATAAGTTACGTACTTTCGTGGCGTCATGTTTTTCGCGGCTTTTCCTTCTTTCTTTAGCCGCTTTTAGTACCTTTTTCTCTCCCCTTTGGCTTCTTATGCTTTTCTTGTGTTTCTTCTTAATTTTTTTACCCCTATATTATACCCCTTTTTTTCTCCTCCTCCTCCTCCTTCTTCTTCTTCTTCTTCTTCTTCTTCTTCTTCTTTACTGCACTCTCCAGCGAATACCAATAACGCGTTTCGAGTTAGACGCCTGAAACGCGTGAACGCTTCGTTGATTTCTTAGAAAAATCACAGTGAAACTCTTACATCCGTCATTTTTTTTTGTTTATTTATTTTATCACTGACACTCGCGACATTTACACTCATTCAAAGTTTGCAGTGTATGTAATAAGATTATATCGTTTTTCTTATCATTCATCAAATTTTCTTTATGTTTATTTCTTTAAATTAATTAACTGCTCTACGATGTTATTATCAGTGTTTCAATGCAACTTGATTTAATTAAATCTTCATTTATCACTGAATGCATATTCACCCTTCTCTAAACCCCACCAGAATTTCTGCAAAAAAAAAAAAATCGAATAAACGCTCAACTTTATTTAGTTATATTGTTAACTTTTTTTTTCACTCTACTACAACTCCTACAATACAACTACACCCTTCTCATTATTTTCTAAATAATTACTGAGAGCCAGGATTTTTATCACAGTGTGAATTTTATAAAATAATTTTCCATCCTGAGGTTGTGAAAAAATTTTTCCATTTTGTCTGTGTGTGAATATTTCTTCTCTATTAAATTGTAGAAAAAATTTTCAATAGATTCAAATAAAATCATTCAAGCATGATTAATTAAACCTTTTTTTTTATTTTATTCTATGAGCAGTATGCGACCTTTGAGTGGTTCACGAATAGAGAAGCTCGCAAAAACTATTTCACCCGACTCTCTTTCTATTCTTTTAAAGCATCAAAAAGCATTCCAGCAACGACTATAGTGGATCCAATTCAACATTTTACTGGAAGAAAAAATGAAAAAAAAAGTTAAAGATTTTTTTTATGCTATTATACATTTACATTTAAAACTATTTGTTTCCTTTATTACAATCATTTATCGGTTTTATTCATTTACTCTAATAAAGTTTTCATCTTAAATCTCCTCAAGTGGATTCTGTTAAAAAACATTTTACATTTTCTCTTTATCATATAAAATTTTCATATGAAATGAAATTTCCAGCTCTCAATAAACTGCAAGATAAAAATTTTATTTTCAAAAATAAAATTAAAAAATAAGATTGAAGATAGAAAACAAAAAAATTTCGCACGATTCAATGTCATCGGAGCGTGTAGATGGTGATTTGTCAGTTGTCATTTCGTCTTGCTAAAATCAGCATCCAGCTGTGAAACGACCGCACGAGATGAAAATTAGCATTAGGAGGTCACGTACCAAGAAGAGACGATGCACGCGAGGAAAATGCAAAATACGAAAGGATAGCGACGGGAAAAGAGATTCTGAATGTAAAGCTCTCTCTCTCTCTCTCTCTCTCTCTTGATCTCACTTTGACATGTAAACTTGTTTTCACTTTAAACCACAGTATATAACCTTTTGTTCTCTTGGGATTTTATCCTTTTCCTCGATCGAGTCCTTATTTTCTCATATGTACATCCGTAAACCCACGCACATGTCACCAGATTGAATAAAATAAGCTTCAATAAAGCAACTGTCAAGTTTATTTAAAGCTCATCAGCCTAAAAATTATATTATTTTTTCCAAAGAGCATCAGAGAGGTGATGGAAATGGAGAACAAAGTAGGAAACTACATAAAATAATAAAGAACAATTGAGTTGTTCATTAGATGAGACAAACGCCTGACATGATACTGAAATACACACATCACCACGAACAACACTGGTGCACTCAACAGTTTGACACGCACGAACCGCCGTCGACCTGAACTCTGCGATTGTCGCGTTCGAACAAGCGCTTTCAGCCAACGGCTAGAGCTTTGCGCTGGCGCTTAAGCCACAAACACTCTGTCTCTATCACTCTAGTGAGTTCTAGTCTTCTTACTCTTGGTCGTTCCAGTCCTCCGGCTGGTCTCGTTGTGTGTATATGTCGTGTTGGGAGTATGAGAAGGAGGCTGATGCGCGCAAGAGCATGGCCGACCGACCCGGAGTCGAGATGAGAGTGTGATGCCGCCCCCGCTACACATCTCGCGCCGTCGCGCGGCTCCACTGTGGCGGTGAGAGGTTTTTTTACCTCCGTAGTGTGCGATGGTTATACATCCCGAGGTCTCAGCCATGGCTAAAAATGCATCGGACACTGAAAAATTCCCAGAATAAAAATATCAAGACTTTGAAAAAATTAAAAAAAAAAAATACTTTTAGGTAAAATAAAAAAAAATGTATATACCTTAAATGGTATATATTATATAATTTTTTTTTCTATTTTTTTTATTTTCAATGTTTCAGATGAAATGGAGATGAATTATTAGAAGATTGTGGAATGATGGAGAATGAATTTTTAATTAAAAAGAAAAAGTAGAGAGTTTGTAATTGATCTTCTTTAGAGTTTGAATTATGGATATGAGGGATCACTTAAGAGGTGAATATATAAATGTAAAGTAAATGTATGTAAACGCGAGACGATAAACGACGAATAGAAGGCTTTCGTGGTGGAGAATCGATCCCCCACCCTCGGCTAGAATCTGTAAGATTGCCTTAAGCTAAAGCCGTTTTTGCCCCCGCATGCCTATTCTATACCCCCAAGAGCGCGATTAAATGCCGTGGCGGAAGAAAAACGTTTATAAATATTTTCTACAACTGGTGAGCCCTCCGACTATGCTATAGCAGCCTACTCTATAGAACATCCACTCTATACACCAATAGACATTGAGAAAAGATTCTCCTTCATCAGCTACTCTCATTCTTTTTCACCCTAGCTTCTGTCTCGGCTGCTGCAACATAGCAGCCAGCTGTCGTACTTATTTTCTCTTCTTTTAGACTCTTTCGCCTTCTCTTCGACACTTTGGCCCAAGTTAAAACATGTGACTCGGGTCTATCATCATTTAACTTCGCTTTCGGTCAAGCCCATCATGGTGAAGAGAATTTTTAAATAACCGCAACATTATGCTAAAGTGCTGCTGCTTGTCTTATATCCATATCACTTGAAAATGTCTGAGCTCAGACATTATATGATACACGATCGTTATTTATGATGATGTGGAATTTACGTCGAAGGGTTACTGTTATAAAAATCGATGCTGTTGCTAAAAAAACTTCATAAATATGGAAGAATACTCATCTGTGAAAAATATATATAAAAATACACTCTTTATTCGTAAAGATTGTCATTATATATATACATTATATGAATACATATAGAGGAGATTGATTATCAATTTTATTCATTCAAAAATTATATTATTAAAACACTATTTTAAGTGTAAATATTTCCAAATTTTAGCTAAATATTTTATTAAGATATAACCAATTCTTTTCTAGCATTGAACTTAGATGAATATCTGCTCTGCAAGTCGTAGTGTTTTATTTCAATGCACTTAATGTGTTTTAATATAACGTTACCCATCTAATTAACATTGTAGTCACTTTTTGAACACACTCAAGTACATTTGAAGTGGCTACAATGTTAATTAGATGGATAACGTCATATTAAAACACATTAAGTACATGGAAATTAAACACTTTACGATTAGAAATTTACCGTGTACGCGGAGAACATATTTGTGTGAAAATTATTCCAAAATATGATGTCAAATTTACTCTACAGTAGAGTTATCATAGGAAAGGAAATTTTTTTACCCTACCCAAGTGTAAAAATATTGCCACCATTATATAGTAATTTTACACTTGTGGGTGTAAGATTATTACAGAAGGGTAAATTTTATACCATTTTTTCGAATAGTTTTTGCGCAAAAGTTTTTTCCATGTACATCACGAATATCCGGAAAATGCGATACACCGTTTTCCTCTCGATAAATTATTTTCCATTGCTTGATTTAATTTTCATTTATTACCTAGATTGATATTGAATTATTTTATCTTTCGAATATGTTTAATCGACAATATGAACAATTTAATAAGCGGACTTTCTAATTAAGTTGTACATTTCATTAATTAATAATTAACAGATATTAGTTTTGGAATATTTTTCAGGAATACTAGTGATAACATATTGTTTTCAATAAAATTAATGTAAAATAATTTTTAAATATTAATCTATAAATACTTACCAAATAATTACAAATGATTCAATATACATATATTAATACTTTGTGAAAACTAATTTGATTTTGGAGTTATTACAGAAATTGATATTCAGTTATGTTATTTTGAGAGGATGATGAATTAGCGATATTAAAAGTTGAACGTAAAATATTTTGTGTGTAGTATAAATGAATTTTTTCAGTTCTATTTGTTTGAATACGTATTAATAATACGAAATTGATATTCTCCAATCGTAATTGTATTGAATTCGATGGCTCGATGAAAACCTTTAAGTTGGACAAGGAAGAGTATTCTCGAGGTTTCAATAGAATTCTTCGTTTTCTCTTGAAGAAGACGACAACGAATATTGGTTCACGGCGATTGGAAGAAGCGATTGAATTGGAACACACCGCTTTCCACTTCGTTCTTCTCATCTACTCCATTTTATTTCGTATCGCGAAATGTCGACTACCGGTACTTTTCTCTTTCCCTCTAATTCTTTGGCTCTCAGTGTATTCACTTCATGACGGAAATCGAAGTAAAAAGCTTCTCCTTTACTTGCGTTCATGTTATTTTATACATATTTTTAATTGATTTACCAGCAAAATAAAAGAGAGAGGAGCAAAGCCAGTGTTAGCGAAAAATGAAGCAAAAAGATGAGAAAAGAGGAAAAGAAAGTTGAAGTCATTAATGGAATTTCCGAGAGTCCAACTTCCTACTCGCATTATACGGATAAAGAACGAATGTCGAGATTTTTACATTTCTCTATTCTATGAGCTCTCTTTTTACAATAATATTTTAACGTGCTTCCTGACCGAATTGTCCGGGAATCCGGAATATATGCAAATTAAAATCGCTCCACTTTCCACCATTACGTGCCCATCGTGGCGCCCCAGCGACCTTTCTCGCGTTATAACGACCCGCGAATATGTCATATATACTGCCCAAATTTTCTCATAAGCTGCTGATGTAATGTGGATAAAAAAATTCCCGACATTCAGCTTAAGGTTCATCACAGTCGATAGACTATTTCTACTTTTTAATTCTTTCTAAAAAAAATTACATCCTTCTCTTTCTGCTTTTTTATCCTACAGTCCTTTTTCATGAAAAATTAATGATACTATTATAAAAAAAAATTACATAACTATCCCATGAAGCGATTAATAATAATTTTATTGTAATTAAAACAAATAAACTTTGTATTTAAGTCAACTTCTTAATGGCAATTAATCATGAGGTTTATGAAAATTGTAACGACCGTATTTATTTGATGAAAAAAATTTTTAATATCTAAATTGTAGTCGATTTTTATTTAAAAAGGGGAAAAAGTTCAAGAAGCAAATATATAGGGAAGAGAGTGAATAAAGAAATTAAAAAGCGAATAATAATAAAAAAAAAGTAGAAAAAGTAGTTAATGCGGATTTTAGTCAGCCGCAGATGATGAAAATGTTCAGCACTCTTATCTTTTGTAGAAAGCTATTTCGTGGATGAGAGAAAAGGTAAAGAGAATTCTTAGCCGATAAATTATCACCATTGGATATTTTAAGTGAGAAAAAATTCAAAAAGCACAAACATAGCTACAAAAAACAACTATTTCATTTTACAACTCAACAAACATTCGTTAAATACGAAATAATTACAGTTTTACTAAAATATCAATTATTTTTTTAATAAAATAATATATTCGTGAGAATAATTTTTTTTCTACCTTATCTCTCCTGTCAAATACAAAAAGAAAGAAAATGCTAAATGATTGCTTAAGCAATTATATACTCACGTTCATAAATCAAGATGATATCATCTCTTATCTATTTCTATGTCACACAATTCACTAGTAAGACCAACACCTGTGCATAATTGTTGACAATGACGAGTATCGATTACTTACTCTATCAATATACCGATCGCGATATGACTCTTCCGTAGAATGCAATTGTATAGGGAGGTAATGGCAGGGAAACATACTACCAGTATGCCATTCAAACAATTCTAAGCAAGCCATTTGTGATGAAATAATTTAATATCGATGATGTCAGATATTAGATCAACAATCGGCAAGTGTATACAACATCTACACAATGCTATAGTTAAAAGGGTTGATCGTTTTCATGTATCGAAACTGATGGAAAATAATAAAGAGTAATTTGTGATGCTCTTGCTGATAAAATCGATTATTACGATACAAAAATAAAAGTATGATAGTGGTGATATTGCTTAATATTTGGCACTGTTGAGCACACATGAAAGGGGGAAGATAAAGGAAAATTGATGTTGAGATTCTTTGGTAAGCATTATTATAAGACAAAAGATAAGATGGGCAGGGAGGTGATAAGACTCAAAAATGTGTATAATAGTAGTGGAATAGAAGAGAGCGTATAGTGGAGTCGACTCTCAAATATCGAGCGGGCCCCGGCACAGGGTTTGTCTTGTGCTTTAGACCGCATGCGTGCCACACCGACTGTCTCTTTTTCAGTTTGCCAGGCCGTTTTTCTGTCCCGCTCGTGGCGGATTTATACACAGCCGCGCTTGCGTACAGGTGGATGGTCTCACTTCAATAATTGCGACTCCACTGGCCTAGTAAGACAGAGAAGACTGTAGAGGACGTGCGGAGGACGTACGGGAGGGCTAACACTCAGCAGGGGGTGTAAGAGGTAAAGACAGGAACGGGAGCAAGAATGGTAACCGTAACGGGAAAGAGAACGGGAATGGGTTTGTTCCAGTGTGCAGCGGGCGGGCATCGCGGCGGCGACGCCGTTTTGCTGCTCCTGTAGATGGTGTCGTTTGTGCACCAGTCGGTGTGTCGAACGTGACGTTCAGGTTAATAAAAGCTTACACCCTAAATGATGATTATTATTATTAATATTGTCTTAATTATTAACATCAATATCATATCACTATGATATGTTGTGGGTCAGTTTATATAATACTGATGGTTAATAATTGGCGGTTTCAAGGTAATAATATATAGGTTAGATTGTGAATCTGTGTAGAAGATTGGATAGGATTGAAAAGGATATAATAAATCAAGTGCCGCACCTAGTCTCTCTAAAAAGTGAGAAGATAATAATGATGCGATCAAAATTTAATAGAATAACCCAAGGGCCTCCTTGATAACGTTTAGCATCATTTCATCAACTGTGTGATCAATGTGGTTAGTGGAGAATTGGTGATGTAGAAGATGGTGATGGTGCAGTGATACACATTTAGATCTGGTGTGATTAAAAGCAAGTGAGAATAAAAAAGTACGAGAGAATAGAGGAAGAGAAAGAGAGTGTATGTATGTATGACATTCAAGTATGAAGGGAAATTGCGTTATATTTGTGTGGAAGATGATGGCAACGCTCCTGGTGCTGATTGCAGCATCAACGTCGTCCACAAGGGCTCACCGTCCTGTACCTAGTAATCCTGTATTACCACTTCCCAGTTCTGCCTCGCCTGTGTCTACGCTTGCAGGTTCCAATAACTCAACTCATGTAAACACAGACAATCATGATGAATACGATGGCTACAATGCAACACTTCATCATCATCACCACTTTGCCAAGACAGAGTATGGTGATGAGATTGAAAATATAACAGACAAAGCACCACTTTTTCCTAAAGATTTATTTACATTTGAAGAACGACGACGTGGTGCTGTGATTCTTCATGTGCTTGGTGTTGTCTACATGTTTGTCGCACTAGCAATAGTATGTGATGAATTTTTTGTACCGTCACTGGATGTAATTATTGAGAAACTTGAAATAGCTGATGACGTGGCGGGAGCAACATTCATGGCAGCAGGAGGTTCAGCTCCTGAACTATTTACTTCAATCATCGGTGTCTTCGTGTCATTTGATGATGTGGGTATTGGTACTATCGTCGGGTCTGCTGTATTTAATATTCTATTTGTCATTGGCATGTGTGCCATATTTTCTAAGACGGTTCTATCTTTAACGTGGTGGCCGCTATTTCGCGATTGCACTTTCTACAGCGTCAGCTTGCTAACTCTTATCTACTTCTTTCGTGACAACTTTATACACTGGTATGAAGCACTTATTCTCTTTAGCTTCTACCTGGCCTATGTCAGCTTTATGAAATGGAATCAACCAATGGAGAAGCTGGTCAAGAGGATACTCTACAGAAATAAAGTTACCAGAGTCCGGTCGACTGACCAGCTCATGCCATCGGTGAGTCCATCTCGGCAATACTTTCTAATTGTATATCTTAACACCCTAATCAAATTGATTACTGCTCTACTGCTTCCTTATTTCAATTCTGCACTTTAATCAATCATCATCATTATGATCATCATCATGATCAAAAAGAGATCCTATCTATTAATATCGTCAACTTTTCTGGGGCAAAAAAATAGTTTCCAATTATTATTAAAAATTAATTTAGGACTAAAAGAGAAAAATGTTGATAACAGTGGCTGAATATTGTGACTGTTGACTGAACCAAAAGGCGGACAGTGTAGCTGATATCAGCATTTGTTCTACCCACTTCTTTCCTACTAATTCTATACATCTGACAATGTCACGTCCAGTTTGTTTTCTAAAATCGACAACCGACATAATTCATTGTTTAATTACAGAATTCTGTTGTGATTGGTATTGTTATGTTGTTTATTTTTTATTTCTATTTTATTCTCTTCATCATGTCTAACATAAATATTGTTCCATAATAAATGTTGATTATTTTGTGACTGTGGTTATTATTGTAACAGTGATGATTATGAATGGCTTAAAATTAGTGTAAATATGGAAAATTTGCATTCCGTTCACAAGCAAAATGACAAAACAAGCATTGCCTGATACTATTGGTGAGCTTTCAAGCGTTAAAAAAAATACATGACAACACACAAGGTATCTGGCTTTAGTAAAGAATAAAAAAAATGAATGCGTTTTTTATTCCACGAGAAATTTCAACCCAGAAGAGATGACATAATTTAAATTTCTATACGTTATCATTAAATTCACAAATAAAATATATATAGATACACATGGATATATTTTCAAATAATAATCAGAAAAATACATTGACACAATGTGAAAAGTTGATGCAAATAAATCAGATAATTGAATCTAGACTTGAAAATTAAATACACTAGAATTTTATTAAACATTATTTTCAATATTAAATTTATTATTTGCGCACTGTTAGTACAATACTTGAGCTTTTGCTGATCAATACCTTCAACTTTCAGTTAAAAGCACCATACATGCTGACGTACGTAGTTATACACGTACTTTCGTTGATTGCAGTAACAATCAACTGTCAAGCTTGCGAAAATTTTTTTCCCCTCTCTTTACTTTTTAACCTCAACATGACAGTAAATAAATTAGTAGAGCTATTTTATATATGTTTCATTTGCTTATAAAGTTTTGTTGAAAAAAAAAATTCACGCGTCAATAACATTTTATTATGTCTATTTTATTCTTATCTTTATTTTTCACAAGTTACTTGACAAATATTGAGACTTTATACAGTAACTGGGTGTTTCTTGCTTGCAGCACCAGAGCGCTGCCCAGGCATTGGTGAGTCGCATGTGTATCTTCCATTTTCTCTTATCAGTAAACTTTTATTCTTACTATTTTTCATCCTATCAGAAATCTCAGTATCACAGTGCCCGATCAGGACCATAAAAAATGTTATAAATAATTGGAAATTATTTTTTATTTATAGAAACATGTAGTCTGATCAAACCTATACTATTACTACTTATATTTATTTTCAGTAGTACGAGTAATGTATAAGTATTTAGACACTTAATAATAAAAATAACAAATCATTTTTATTTTTATTCTTTCATTGCTTTACACTAAATGCTTTTTCAGAATATAACTATATTTATATTAATTACCTTCGACCAAAGAAATAAACAATAATAATAAATCAAACAGTCAACTAATTACTAGTCAATCATGTCATCTATTTTGTATGATAAGTAATGAAATGAATAATTTTTCTCATACACAACGTGTTCAAGGTATTTAGTATTTATTTATAAGCACTTTTAAATATGTATTTATCAATAGAAATAGAATGTAATAAATTTTGTTGACTTTAATTGAACTTAATTAATGATATTGAATGTTTTTGAATGAATTTTTTTTCCTTGATAATTTAATTGTAAAGATTCGTAATATTTAAGTCCACATTTGTATGAAATTATGCTCATAAATTATAGACAGTTTTAATATTAACATATAAATGGCTAAATTCATGCTTGTACTACTTGATGATTGTTATTAGTAATAAAAACAGTGGATTCTTATAATGAAGACATTTTTTCTAATTAAGCTTAATCACTTCCTTTCATTCTATCTTTACGACACTCAAAAAACACATTTACTAAATGAATCTTCTTAAACAATAGTTGAAATGCAAGTGTAGGATCACTCTATACTTTAACCAAGAGAATCAATAGAGTATACGAAACGACGAGAGTAACATATATAGAGTAGACGGTGGAGTCTTGAAGGCAGCTGACCGACTTCTAGGCACTCACTGCAATTAACCCTCGCAAAATAACCACCTCGACAAGTTTCTATTGTGTATGACCACACTTAGACTCTCCTCATCGTCTTCTTAGTATATTCAAATTATAAACATATATTTCCTTTTTTGTTGTCACACTAATATTTTTATACTCTCATCACTTTCATCAACTCTACAATCATTCTTTTATTCCAGGTTATTATTATCTTATAGAAAAGCAAATAAGTCTATTACTTTTAGTCAAGTGTAATTTTTGGCATGGTTTGAAATGAGAATTTTTTTGTTTAAATAACGACAATGTATTGTTGCATAAATATGAGAGGGAAATTGAAAAAAAAAATTTTTTTTGCTTAAAATAGAAATTTAATTATAATAGTGTATTTATAGGCTTTTGTTTTTATCATTAAAGCATGATAATTCTGTCATCTTGTAAGAGATTTATAACGAATATTTTTGTATGATCAATAATCTTAAAAGGGTTATTCTTTTTTTGTACTGTGAACTAAAAAAACATGCTTTTCCATTTCACATCATTCCCTAGAGTTTTTTGATAAATATTGATAACATTTATCATCCAAATAGAAAATAGTTATCGATATTTATATTAGTAAAAATAGCTTTAAAAAGTATGTAGAATATTTGAAAAAGATATTGATAATGTATATTGAGATATAAAATAAGTTTGATGATAAGAATGATAAATAAATAGTATTATTTATGATGAATATATGTTTCAGCAGCATCCAAATGCAACAAATAGCAGTGAGACAAGTGTAGGAGGGACTTCAGGTGCTTGTGGAAGCAGTGGAGCAGCAATAAATGCAGATGCCGGATGCAGTAGTCGAGGTGGAAGTAGCAGTGGGCAAGGTGTCTGTGAACAATCATCTCACCCAGGTGGTGGTAGTGGCGGTCATCACTCTTCAAGAGAGAGTCACGCCAAGTTTAGGCACGGCCTACTACAATTGATGATCCACACAATTGATCCGCTCCACGACGGTCAGTCCCGCCCCGGTATAACTTCACAACACTCTCTCACTCTCGCCTGTCTGCTTGCTAGCACGCTGCCAACTAGATCCTGCACACTCAAAGTGTAGGAGTGTAAAATAATGATTATGATTAACCATAAAAGCAAAGTATTTTTGCCGATGCACGAGAGAATGATCAGGTGATGATGTTTCAAGTGGTAGATAGTCCCCCAGAACTTGAGACAATGTAGAAAACCATAATAGTGTGTTCTCTGACGTAGTAGTATATACTGTCAGAGAGACACAAAAGCTCACTACTTACTGGTGCAGTACACATCAACTTGGCAACTTGTGTGAGCCCTTGAGTGAAGGTGAGAATGTCTTTGTTAAAGAGAAAAAAAAACCTAGTAAAAATATAAGTAAGAGATGGTATATCCCATCTACAGTCATTTCTTCATCCTCTTTCCCCACTGCACCTGCACCTTATATCTTGCTAGTATTGAAGGTTAATTCTGCTGCTTTCGATAATGTAGGCCGAAGCTTTTGCTTTTGTAACAGCCACGAATTGCCCGTCCCTCTTCTCCTGTGTAGTGTTTCGAGTGTATACCCAAGTACGTACCTAGTCGTGAGTAGAGCGAGTGTATCGAGACCCTGACCTACAAACCGCTCTATCGATCGTTAGTGACTGTACATTTCGCAAGCTCGAGGTTATACCTTCTTATCTTTTTCCTCAAATTTTTTCCCAATTATCTTTTTTTCCTTTTTTTTTTATTCTTTTATTATATTTCATTATCCGCATCATCGTTATCATTTCCACCCTCTTAACTATTATTCCATCAGTTCTCTATATTTCTCTATACACTCATTCAAGGTGTCTATATAACAGTGACAGATAATATGATACTGGAGATGATTCATATAGAAAAAAAAATATATATATATATACATATATACATTTCAAATGTCACAATTTTGCAAACGGATGCTACAGACACTTATATGATTTGGAAAGCTCTCACGATTTGGACCAAAATGAGCGCAAGAACAGTAAGGATGTCGGGCTTCATTCCAACTAGGCGATGCAGAAGGAATGCGCGGAATATCGGGTCACCTCCTCATGCCACGTTTCACCTCTAGCCATGTGTCGCCTCTGGCTTGCCGCCGCCGTTTGTTCTCGCCGTTTTGGCTGACTCAGAACCCTCTGGATATATCCTGCCATACAGATAGACATTCCACTTTGCAGTCCTATTGATAATTTCAATCAATTGACCTGCTGTTGAAAGAAGAATAAGAAAATGAAAAAAATTCATTTGAAAAATAATAAAAAAAAAGTCTATTCGTTTCTGTGATTGTCATAGTTTGATTTAACTCGATGATAAATTTTCATTTGATCTCATAAAAGTATTTTAGAGTTTTATTTTTTAAAAATAAAGCTCCAGTGTCAATGTTTCCTTTTTTTAAATCACCAGATTGACTTGAATAATATCAACCAACAGATGTTGAAGCTAATTTTGAAAAAGATAACATTATAAACATGTTATCATAATAATTATTCAACCAGTATATGTTCATTTTCAATCCAATCTCATGAACATTTGCATAAACTGGATTAAAGTATGTCAGTTTAACCAAATATCAAATAACACGATGGTCAGTCATTTACATATATTGATGATACAATCTGGATAAAAGAAAAAACTTTAGAATTTTTTTTAAATTGTTAATTGATAACAATAAGCTGTTTAGAATGTAATGTTAATCTTTCTATATATCGCATTAAAGTTGATAATTAATTATCTACCACAGCTCTAATTGAAGTGATCAAGTTCCTGATATCTTTCTCATCAAAAGCAGTTCCAATTTTAATAATTATAAATAAGACTTTGAAATAGTTATATAAAAGATAAGAAAGTAGAGCATAAACTAAGTGTTAGACAACCATTAACGTTGTTGATCAAGCTATTTAGAATAAAACGTTGGGGCTAAGTATAAGAAAGCAAGTTTCATGCCATATTGTATACAACACTATAAACCGTGCTAAACTCTAGAAATCGATACTTAGATCGCGCTACGCTCATTCGCTCAGTGACCTTAGCCTCCTTTGCTCATTTTACCATTTTCCCAGTAGATCCTTTGGGATCCTTTCTATATCTTTCTCTCTTGCTCCTACTCACCCCTCCTTCACATTCAAACCAAAAGATAGATCGTTTTTCGATAGTCGCGGTAAGCTCTATATAAAAGCCCAAATGTCGACTGTCCAGTAAATTTGATATTTGGTACCTCTCTGATAAAAAGCTTTCAATCATGAGATCAGAAATTTTAAATTGCTGAGCATAAATTTGGGTTTTATGGAAGAGAATAAACTTATTCGATGCTTTTTTAGAAGAACATTTTCAAATACATACTTTGTCAATAGTTGCTTTTTTAATGTCTAGTAAAATACAATCAAGCCTGTGCTACATAGAATTTTTATTATCAATGTTGTCTTTATTAATTTACAACATGACAAAAACTATCAAAAAATAGTGTGCATACTTTTTAATTATATAAAATATATTATAAACTTGGGATAGAATGTTAGATAATATTTTTTTATTTAAAAAAAAGCTAGAGAAAACGAGAGAGAGAGAGAGAGAGAGGGTGCATTTTTTTAGTTGGGAAAAGTATGATAATTTTTCTCTTTAACAAAATCATACTGTCGTCTCTGGAACGAGCATTAGCGGTTACGGGTTAAAAAGCAATCACGGTCTGTTTATTACCACTTAAAACATAATTTCAGTAACAAACCCAAACTTCTTCATGAAGATAATTATATGCATGAATCTGTAAAATATTTTTATCATTTTATTTACAATTTTTTATTTGATGACTGATAAATAAACTAATTCATTGATGCCAACAATTAAATTTATTTTTCATGAAAAACAAATTCTTGTTCATATCATAAAATGCGTAAATTAGAACAAGAACGTGACTTGACTGTTAAAAACATTGAAATAAGTCATTTAAATTAGTAAAAAAAAATATAAAGCTTAATTTGAGCAGATTTAATTAAGGAGTAATGACAAAAATAATGTTTAATCATCCATTAATTACCAGAAATTAATAGGCAAGCTGGAGACTAGTAAAATTTAGCATAGTTTAAGTCAGTTAAAGTCGTTCATTTAAGACTCTCACGGTCTATTACACGAGTGAGTACTTTCTTTAATTTCAAGAGCTTGTTTCAAATGTTGCCTTCAAGCATAGTTGATATACATATATATCTATACATGGGGGTGTGTGTGTGAGTGAGTGTTCAAGTATTCTGATGTACTTACAATGTTACAATCAGTGTCTTCAACTGAATGACACGTTTTTATATAGGATTAGTTAGTAAATGCATGTGATAGCAAATAGAATTATTAACAAAATGTTTGATTGTCACGAAATATGTCAATCATAGTTATCTTTACTGACACTTTATTTTTTTTGTATACACACAGGCAAAGTGGACGATAAAGCTACGCAGCTGCACGCTATAGCATCATTAAAAGTGTTACTGGATGCTACGAGGCCTCAAAATGGTGCTGCTGCGTCAACGTCAGCACAATACTCAGGTGCTACTTCCAAAGAAACTGCTCTTCAGCTTCAGCAAGGCTCTCAAGGCACTACAACAACCACCACAACCACTACCACAGCTGGAACCACTGCTGGTATTCAGGAACTTCCTAATGGTGGCATTGCTACTGGTTTTGATGCCGGGCTTGAATCGGTTGGTGCATTTAATCTATTATTCACTCTTTTTCTATCTTTTTACGTAGCACTAAAATTTTTTTTTCTATTTAACTTGATATTTATATTTACATCTACTGATTTAGATAATCACCATTAAAATGATTAACATATAACCAAGTAATTTTAATGATTACACTTCTATATCAGAGATTAAAATAAAAAGTTTAAAAAATAAATGCACTAGAAAAAAATTAGCAGCTTTAATCTTCAATTTATCTCACATTTATACTGCACAGATATTTTTTTCTTTTACTTTACAATGAACGTTATTGATTTTTTATACTATATGAATAAAATATTCAATAAAATAGAAAATCTATAAATATTATTGCAAGTATTTTCAAATAAAATGACACATTTTTGTAAGGCCAATTCTGTGTTCCATTATTTAGTTCTTATTGGGCAATCATACTAATTAGTAATCCTGTTCCGATTAGTGGCTATTGAAAAGCTTAATGGAAATGTTCCTATTAGTCACCCTGTTCCAATTATTGATTATAGGATTGGAATAAAGGTCAATAATAGATGATTTGCAACATCAATCTTATGCCATGTGTATAAAAATGTAAAAATGTTGATAAAAAATACCTACACTACACAAAAATTGTCTAGTGTAAGATTCAACATAACTTGATAAATATTAATTATTAATTACGAAGAAATGACAAGTTAATCAAGTGAATCAAGTCATTTTTATTATATAAGATAAATTGAAATACTTAACCCAAATAAATAAGTCTTTGAATTGCAAACCCGACAAATCACTTGATAGATGTAATTTAATTGTCATCTTATACGTAAGACTATTGTTTCAAAAATAGTATAAACACGTAATGTAATGGCCTTGATGTTTAGATAAATGTTGATGTGCAGATCTATTACAATAACTTGTTACTAGAAAGTTCATAAAAGTCATTTAATAATATAATCACCAAATCATCAAGTATCATACCTATCTCCAACAGAGCAAAAGGTCAGAGCATTGTTTTATTTTTTGTTTGCTATGAATTCTCAATATAACAAGTGAAATAAAATCCATTCCCATGGGAATACGATAGTTCTAGATTTATTGTTATGATTCTCAGGATTTTCATTGTATCTCTTCTTTTTTTCTTTCAAGTACGTAAACGTACAGATATGTATAAATATGTACAATGGATGTTCACAAGTATTGAAAAGTTTTTTATAATTTTGAGCTTGTTTGTCTGTATTTAAAGTAAAAAGAGTTTATTTTTATATGTCATTCAGGGTGAAGAAGATGAGCCACCAGAAGCACTGGATATGGCATGGCCCAATAGTCCTAAAAAGAGACTAACTTACATTCTGGTTGCGCCTATTATATTTCCTCTTTGGCTAACTCTACCTGACACGCGAACCCCAAAAGGTAAGATACAATCTAATAAATCTACAAATTATTGATCAGTAATAAGAATAAAAAATAATGAATGAATTATTTTTAGGTAAAAAATTCTTCGCTGTGACATTCATTGGATCGATATTTTGGATAGCAGCGTATTCGTACCTGATGGTCTGGTGGGCAAATGTTACCGGTGATACAATACAAATACCACCGGAGGTAATGGGTCTTACATTTTTGGCTGCTGGAACCAGTATTCCTGATCTTATAACGAGCGTGATTGTGGCACGAAAGGGTTTTGGTGATATGGCAGTCTCTAGTTCCGTCGGTAGCAATATATTCGACGTGACTGTTGGGTAAATACTCATTTATTACTTTTTTTTCTTAAATTATTTCTTTTCATTTCATTCATTTTTATTCATTTCTTTATTAACGTTGTTTTCAATTTACTTTTTTTAATCAAAAGAAATTGTCAACTGTTACGTACAGAGGAAAAATCCTTTCCAAAAGGAAAACAGTTTTTAACCTTCTAGAAATTTCATTTCAGCGTATTAAATCTGTATTTTCTTTTAATAAAAATTTCTTATCAGACCAAAAGTTCAACACTAAAAATTATATTAATATTATCTTAAATCTTTTAATTGTTTAAAAATAAATGATGTTTTTTCTGTCTGATGATGGTGAAAATAAAGGAAATAATTGATTGATTGGTATCCTATACAGGCTTCCGGTGCCATGGCTTCTATATGGTTTGATTTACGGCAAACCAGTAGAAGTTAACTCAGTCGGGATGGTCTGCAGCATCGCTATACTCTTCTGCATGCTGCTCTTTGTTATCCTAAGCATTGCTTGCTTTAAGTGGCGAATGAACAGAGGCCTCGGATTTACTATGTTCCTTCTATATTTTGTTTTTGTTGCCGTGTCACTCATGTTTGAGTACCAAATACTCGTGTGTCCCGTTTAGGAAATATTTAAACCGAGCAACGTACAACCACTCAAGTGTTCGCTGACTCACCGATTTTATTTCACATATTACTATGTTATTATTCTTATTATTATTATTTATCTTTATTATTGTTATTATTATTATTATAATATTTATTGCAATTATCGATACTATTTGCAAATATTATTACAAATAAATAGTTCTCAAGTCGGTCTGTTATTTAGTAAGCTCTGTAAATATGTATAAACCTTGAAGTTATTATCATGCAATTTTTTTATTGTATGAATTTGTAAACGGTTTTATAAAGACGTCTGCATTTATTTATTTATTTACTTAAAAGAAATGATATTAGTTTAATTTTGACACAATAAACTCTCAATTGTTTGAACAATACAAAACACTTATCAAGAAGTTAGAGTAGTTGATAAGAATAAATTTTCGCAATTTTGTATTTAATAAATAAATATACTAATATAAATCGACTGCGAGTGAATTAGATATTTGGAGGATATTAGTATAGATTATGATTCAGTAAATGAGGTTTTTACGTTCTTACAATTGAGTGTCACGATATTCTAAAAAAAAAAAAAATTTGAGACTTTAAATATTTTATTGAAACATTACATTTCATGTAAATAATAAAAATAATGATGGAGTATTATTGAATGATCGAATATGTGTAGAGAATGCTTATGAATAAATTGAACAAGTACAGTAGCTAAGAAATAAAAAGTAAAAATAAAGCTTGATATACATAAATGAAAGAATTTTTGCATAATCTATTAAATCATGAAATATAAAAAAATAAAAAGAGTTTTTTGACTGCTTCATTGCAGCCTTATAGCTTAATTAAAATCGCCATTTAACCGTGATTAAAAAATTTGTTGTACATTGTAACACCATAAAGTCATTAATGAAATTTATAATAAAACAAAAAGACTTGAATGATTAACAAAAAAAAAGTAAAATACATAATTCATACAATAATGAATATAGTTTATGTAAAATATTGCATTTCAAAAAAATGAACTGTATAAATGTTAACACATTCATTATATAATGGTATTATTGAAAACAGTGGTTCAAAGCGTAGAAATATTCATATTAAAAAGTTGATTCTTACACATAAAATTTAGTTCGATACTTATATATACGTGCATATTAATCTCCATCTAATGAAATAAGTAAAATCATAAATTGATTTAATATATATATATATATATATATATATATATATATATATATTTTGTTTTTGATACAATAATTAATGTAATAAGTATAAACAAAAGAAGAATAGATAAGTAAAAAATTATTAAATGCCACACAGACGTTTTTATAAAAACCATTGTAGCTAACCCAATTATGTAGTTAGGTTTTTTTTACAACATCATAACATTCGTATGCAAAATTCATAAACTACTGTATTGACTACATATTATTATTGAACAAAAAAATTGTAATAAAGCGTCTAATGTATTACGGCATCGGTATAAAAAATAGCCGTCGGTGAGTCGTTGAAATAGATTTTGTACTATAATCAGTAACAATCAATCTCGCGTTATTGAATTTTTTTTCTTTTATTTAAAAATTTTTTTTTTTGAATAACACATTTAACGTAAAATCGATTGTTGCTGATATGTACGATTATACATAGTGGAAGTAGCGTTACTCGGTACAATAGTTAAATAGGTGTAAAATAAAAAGAAAATAAATGTGTATATATAAATATACAAAAATTAAATAGGTGATTAATACCTAAATATATAAATATATAAATATACATATAAATTATTATTAAACATAATAAAATTAGCGAATTATGCACAATACGATCTTCCCGAAGTATATCAATCCGCGAATAATAAATGACAACGCCCTATTACATTGCGAAATTAGAATTTAGTATTTAGATAAAATTTTAAACAAAATGAACCGTAAAAAATATTCTGGTTGATCATTTATACTCGATAAATCTATATATGTATATATATATATATATTATTAATTTATATATATATATATATACATATATATATATATACGGCGGTCTGATTACAGTTTACTCTTCGTGTCTATCGTTGCGTGACCTTTTGGTTGTTTCCTATACTATCACATTAATGAATAACGCCATTTTTTGATTTTACTCCCACTTACTTTTAATAACAATAATAATAATAATTTCTATAAAAAGATTTCTTTTACATCCAAATTAAAATTATGTTAAATAATTCTAAAATTATTTTTTGTGTCAATTATTAATCATTCTTATAAAAGTTATTTACGATAGATTTTAAAATTTGACAGAAATATTTGAAAAAATGTCCATTTACTTCTTTGATATAAAAAAAAGTATAATTTCGTAATCACGAAAGCTCATAAATAGTAAGGGTCAATCGTATCTTTTATATTGATGTAGATTTATGGATAAAGAACTCGAAATAAAAATTGAGAACATTCAAGATTGATGAATAATATCAGCTTCATTAGTGTTAATTTTCCTAAACAAATTTCATGTCCTGATTGAATCAAATGAATTTATTTATTTTTAATAATAACAGTATTAATGCATGAACTTGATAAAATACCATGCTGTAATAAAGACTTTCAAGTTTAATTTAAATTTACTTATAATTCTATTTTAATATTATTATTATTTAACATACGAAATATTAATAAAACATAATTCAAGTTTAAAATAAACAATTGACACAAGAAATAATTAACCCTAATAATTATGTCAAATTTTTTAGGTCAATTAGAAATATTTTGTATTAAAATATCTTTTTTATATTCTCAGAAATATTCACACTTGTATTAATTATTTTCTTTCTTCTTTATACAATAATACAACATTAAGTTAAATCTACTCAATTAAATAGCTAAACGAAGATACTAAATGTAAATTTCACAAACCGTTGTAATTTGTACTAAGTATTATATGATTAAATTATATAAATTTGAGGGCAGGAGTGGCCGATAAACAATAATAATCGATAATTAAAACTTAAAAACAAGAACATCAGGTAATTTCAACGCAACAGAAAAATTTTTAAACTTTGTGTAAACGAAAACCAAAAAATTATTTTAAATGTTGGCCTGTTAATTCATGAAATTTGACTCTTGGTAAAGAAATGCAACTGTAAAAAATCTCATATGGAACAAATTATAAAAAGTAATAACAAAAATAAAAAACATTATACGTGATTTCATGCATACACAAGAGTCGTATTAAAGCTGATGGCTACACCAAGTTGACAATGAAAAAAATAATAAAAATTGAAAAAACATTATAACTTGGAAAAACAGTTATACTTGTCAGATTATAATAAAAATAATAATAATAACAATAAAATGAGGCATGAACGCACATATCAGAGAAAGAGACGTTTAAATTTAGATATATCATTAGAAACGATATTAGAATAGGAACATTCATTCGTAAGGCAATTTAGATAAACGTTAAAGTTTTTAAGATTACTAAAAAAATGAATAAAAAATAATAATAATGAGGTAATATCTTAAATGATATTGCCTATTATAAATAAAATAAATATAGTAAGGCAAGTTATTAATCAATAGGTAGGATCAATATAATTATAAATTAATTAATTATACGATTTTTCCGTATATCGTATTATTAAAAAAAAATTTATTATCTTACTTATTTATATTATGTTAATACATTGAAATCGCATAGAGTTCCCCCGTCCATTGACGTTGTTAAAGAAAGAAAATGCCGCATTGTCAACATCTTATTAATTATAACTAGTCATAAAGTTAAATGCATTATTCAGTAATACAATCTTAAACATACACTACATTTCCAAACATTTTCATATGCAGTTTGAGATTAATTGCAATCTCATCACGAGTGCAGAACCAACGAACGATTTATTAAAGAGATTTAAAAAACAAAAACCCAAAAAAATGATGTAGTCAAAAAGTACATAAGATTGTTTATTATTTATAAAAAATATTTGGACCATTTATTAATCAATTATTCCACAACATATTTCTTTTTCTACAAACTCAAGTTTAAACTAAATTTTAATAATAATAATAATAATAATGATAAAAATAATAGTAATAATAATAAGAATAACAATAATAATGATTCTAATGTTTATAAATGATATTTCTCAACTATTTTACACATAAGAAATATTTAAAGTAATATTTCCTTATCAACGACCACTCCATACCTTGTGGATATTATAAAGTTGAAGATTGTCTTTGCAATCTTATTATTTATACGACGATGATAGCACATGTTACTAAATTATAATTCATCTAAAATTCATTTTAAAACAGTAGATGATTTAAATAGTTTACGACATAATATCAGTCATTATTAATTTATTAAACATATATATAAAAAAAAAACAAAAATAATTAAAATAATAATGGTGATCGCTTTCGGAGTCAGTATCAGATTAGTGAGGAGAGCAATATTCGCCTTTTGTGCCGATAAGTGATATTATTATTGTGATTAATCACAATAATTTCGACAAAATTAATCAAGACTGGTCTAGTCATTCGGCAAAATTATCACCAATGAAAACAGGCGTAATATGAGATAGCAAAAGAAGTTGATATTCAAATTTTAATTATTTTTAATTTAATATCACATCATTTAAATGGATCAATTTCGATAATAATGATAATGGAAATTGTTATTATTGTTGTTATTATTATTATTATTATATTAATCAGTTAGTTGTTTGGTATTTATTTATGAATTATTAAAGCCAAGAGCTTCACAAATCATTTCTCACTGACTTACTAATTATTTAACTATTTTATAAGCCGTGTTTCTTACCTCTATCATGTTTTAATGTAAAAATTCTATTTTTTGATATTTTTCATAAAAAAAAATAACATTAGAAAATTTATTTTGCAATACTGTATATAAACTTTTAATGAAATTAATTAGTCAACTGATTAGTTAGTTAAATAATTATTCCTTTAAAGTGAAGTTCTAGGCCAAATGAAAATTGATATTGTTAATTGAGACACGTAATTATTAGTAAATGAGAGTAATTAGAAAAATAAAAGTGACTGATATCGTTTCCAATAAATGAATATATTTGTACAAAAATCAGAGAAAAAATGAAAATACCTTACTGTACACAAAATACAAAATTATAGTCATGCATTTCAATATTAGATAATTTTAAATACTTTTTTTAACGCATTTTATTCACAGCCGTAAATTCATCGAAATGATAAACTATTGAGCGCTGTTGAATGTTTTATTAAAAAATAAAAATAATAAAATAAAAAATAATCAACAATATATAGAAGGAAAAATAAATATTGTAGAAATGAATAAATCGACAAATGTGAATTTACAAATCTGTGTTAATGTTTAATTACTTCAGTGAATAGTTTTCACATATATTATTTATGATACTGGCCCCACTGCGATAAATACTGTGTACAATTGCAGTAAGAAAAAATAATAATAATAATAAATAACATTAAAAATTTATTATATCCTTATATACAAAATTTTTACGGTATATACGAATAAAAAAATACGAGATAGAACAGGAAAAAATTTTAAATACATGCGTAGGTTAATCGTTGTTGTCTACCATAGAAAATAATTCAATAAATAATATCTGTATTATCATTATTATTATTATTATTATTGTGTTATTAACATATTATTATTATTATTACTATATAGAATAAATATATTGTTTAATTTTTAAGATGAAAGAGTGAAAGAAGAATGTTGATGAACGAATGTAATGCTCATAAAAGACTAGAAATATTCTCATATATTAAAAGGAAAAGACACATATGATAAAAGAAAATAATTATTCTTATTCCCATTATTATCATTACGAATTGGTAATCTATTTACCATACATGTTAAATGAGTATATGTACTTCTTATATTCACATATACATATACCATATGTTGTTCTGTACATATCTGTATGTGTATATATGTATATAGTAATAAACCATAAACTGAAAACTGATTGATATTGTTCATGTTATAAAAGAATGATTTAAATACACGTATTGTATATTAAGAATTGTTGAAAGATATGAAAAAAGATGTAGAGAATAATTATTAACTTATCAAATCATATTTTGTAGGAAATTTCTCGATGATACACACGATTTATCATGTTCAATATTATAATTGAATAATATCAGTGTGAGAAAAAATTATTTTCTTTGTTATAATCAATGATTACTGATAATTATTAAAAAAAATTTGTTAATTATGAAAATAACTTTATTTTTTCTCACAATGCATTTTAAAAAAAAAAACATAAATTTAAAATAATAATAATGATAATAATAACTATTAACTATGCAACAATAATTCTATCTATCATTTAACTGTTCATTATTGATTATTATAAAATATCAAAATATAAATAATGAGACAAAAACTAATGAGACTAAATTATTATAATATTAACGAAAAACTTGAATGTTATGTATGACGGCCATCAGTCGTTAATTCTTTTGCATTTGGCTTACTTTTGCTTATCAAAAAAAAATAAACTAATCGGCTGAATACAAGTTTTTGCTCTCAATAAAACACTACAAAAAAGTAGCATTACACTTGTGGTTATTACGGCCAGTAATCTATGTGTGATTATATGGAGAAAAAAAATATAACGAAATCATCAATGTATTCACTAAATCAATTGTTAAATGCAGCTGCGCAGTTCTCACTCATAAAAACACAATTTAAAAGGATAAAAACAAAAAGAAAAATAATTCAGATGCGATAATTACAGTATTTCACCGTACTTGAGATATTTTTTCTGTAAATCAATCGTTCTTTGAAGTTTAAGAAAAAAAATATATGAAAAACTTTATAGATCAATATTGGAATTAGGAAATTTTTTCCTTTTTTAATTATAAAATATTTTACACTTTAATGACTTCAAAAAATATTTTATCATATTTGACACAGTAAAAATTCAAATAAATCATCAAATGTTGAATATAATAAATTTTAAGTATCGTCTTAATAATTGTTCTAATGAAGAAGAAGGTTTAATACATATAACATTCAATTAACTGTTGAGTATTCAAATGAAAAATATATATATGTATTAACCAATTATTTAAGTGCTCAAAACAAAAAGATAAAATTTAATTGCAAGTTAATTAAAAGAAGAATTAATTTATTATTTTTTTCATAAACATCTTAAATTTCAAAGATTTTTATGCAGTACACATTAAAAACTAATTTATTCTGCTTATAGTTATACTCAAAGCAATTTCAATCTTTCCTATTGTTGCTTTTTACTAATTCTTGACACTATTCAATCAATCACAATCACTTATCATGAACTATGCTAAATATAGATTAACGAATGAGTATATTTACATATAAGAAACGGAGTGCTATAATAGATGAACGATTGTTTTAAATATATAAGATGATAGTTGGAATTCCGCAGCGCGGAATTAATTGTTAACGTGTAACTAGAAGTTACTAACGTTATCAATTTAAGAGATTTAATAGAGAAAAATATTTCACTGAAAAAAATAAAATGACACTATTATTAATTGTAGAATACTTTCGCTTCCATTTACTCCTTTCATATTATTAAATATTTACTAACTCAGTGCTATTTATACTTACTTATTGTATACAGTCTTCGCTTGATCAAATTAGTTAACATTAATTATCGTCAATGAATGAATACGTGTGTTCTACGATTATGATATAAACGAACAGTATGCAAGATAAGCTACTAAATTAGTTGGTAAACAAAAGAATTGATTTGAAAAAAAATAATAAATAAATAAATATATCTATTTTTTTCTGTTAGAAAATATGAAACTTTTATCAAGTCGATGATTGATTACGTATTTCAAAACATTTTGATCAACACTAACGATGATTAATTATATTATTGCATCCTACTAAACTTTTAAAACTTTTCATAACTGAAACAATTCCTAATGCCTCTTAAAAACTGGCAATGGATTTTATCAATTATTGTTGCCGAATATATATATATAAATAAATATTCATTATTTCGTACCAAATACAGCTGAAAATATCGAGTGATTTATCATCGTAGAAATTGAATTAATCGATCAAAAAATAAAAACATTAAAAACAGAGTGGAGTAGAAAAAAAGGAGGCCACGTCGGACCATCCAAATGTTTTTCTCCTTCCTCCATCTATACATTATTTTATCTTTATCAGCCTAAGATTAATACTTGAAAAAAAGAAAACTAAAAACTATATTGTAATCTATTGTAGATTGTTGTAGATAAATTATACGGTTTAACCGTACATTGTTACTTTTTGTCGACAATATAAAATACACAGAGATACAAGTAACTATTCAAATTTTATTATTATTTACATTTACTAACCATTAGTTATACATAATCTTAATTTTAAAAAAATTACCTTACATTATTGAATAAGTAATGCACGGGTTATTTAATTAATCAACTACATAATTACGTCGATTATTTCTGATTTCACATCTGGCTCTGTTTTTGGTAATAAAGCTGGTGGAATCGTCAGAGTCTAGAAAAAAAATGTTTAATTTATTATTAAATGTAGTTAGAAATATATAATAAAAGACCGAATAAATAACATTTATGAAAATCAATGACTTACTTTGCCAGGTACAAGTGCTTCATACTGATGACGTAGTGATTGTAATTCATAATCATACGTGGCTAAAGCTCCTTTTAATTCATAATGTAGAACAATGTCACTGCGAAGATCATTAAATTGCTGGCATATTTGTTCTGTTGGAGGTGGATTTAATTCAATTTTTAAATCATTGAGCATCTGCTCGATTCCTTTTGTTTTTTTCTGTCCTAAACTACTTGGCAATTTGATTCTCTGTGAACGAAGACTGACTCCACTATTTTTAAAATCTGGAAATTTAATTCCCGCTGATTCTACGACTTGTAGCTTTTGAGTGTAAGCAGAGTCTGATTTATTTGGTCTATTTCGAGATGATGTAGTTGTTTTCTTTAATGGTTTCCGTTCATTTTTACGTGGATCTGCTTGATGATCAGCAGCAGTAATTAATTTTTGTAAATCTTGTGTCTTACGATCTCTTTCTTTTTTTCGTTGTTCTATTTTTCTCAGTTCAGTTAAAAGTGTTTGCTCTTCCTCAACTAATTCTGGTGTTCTTTCAAATAGTTTTTTCAACTGTTCTTTTCTTCGTTTTTCATGTTCCGCATCAAAGACAAATATTTTATCTGTATGAGACTTAGCTTTAGTTAAAGCTCCACAAACTTGATAATATCTTTCCTTTAATTCTTCCACTGTTCTTGCAGGAAATTTAGAAGTATCCCAACGATCTTGAATAATAATAAACCTCAAGTCAAACCTTCGACAAAGATCAAATAGATGATCAGTTTCTGCTCGAGTCCATCCACCAATAACTAAGTGTTGATTATATTCTACATTAGTGTAAGATGGTATTGGAACTTTTTTATTAAATTTAGCAAATGGATATTCTTTTCCTGCATCAGCAACTCGTCGCCAATGATGAAATATAGCACCATCAGTACGTGCTGGATTAGTAAATGGAGTCCATTTCCAAGGTCTAACTTTTTTCATACCCAACTTGGCTCTTGCTTGCTTATATCCTTTTCCAGTATCAGTAGGATATATAGGAGGTACATCAGTATTATCTTTACATAAAAGTGCAAAAACTTCTCTATGCATTCCTTCAGGCCGTTTTGGAACTTTGTATTCATATTTTCGTTTAGTTTTTTTATCATTGCCAAAAATTGATTCTTTAGTTAATTCCGCAGCAGCTGGACTTTCAATGTCTAAAATATCACGTACATCAGCCATTCTTAATACCAAATATTAATTCTAACACAATTTAAATAATAAACATTAACGTCAACAGGATGTTTTTATTCAGTTACTGTTTATAAATTTGAGGTTAGAAACCAATACTTGGTTTGTAAACAACTCCCTCTATAATTTTACAATCAATGAATGAGAAACATCTTTTCAGAAGGTGCTGCCGTCTAGTGATCACTTGTTTATCATCTATAGATGTGTTAGTTGTAAGGACTTTGCCCTGATCTACTTTAATTTTACTTTTGCGAATTTTTGTGATGTAACTTTCTCGTTCAATCTAATTTTCATTTACCAAAAAATTTATTTAATTACTTTTCTATAAAAAAGTTTATTTTGGTAGAAGCATTTTTAACCAAAAAATATTAATTAAAATGTTTGTAGCTTGTGCAAAAACTTTAAGAACTCATTCAACAAAAGTAAGTTTTTTTCAATTATTTTCTCTATGTAAATTTATTATTTTTATTTTCTTATTGTTCTAAAATAATATGAACTAAAAATTTTCTCATTATTTTATACATAATAAAGGAAACAAACAAAATTTATAAGTGTTTCTTTTATTGTTATTTTTTGGTTCAGAATACACGAATTGGCATATGTTTAATTAATTATTTGATTTTCCATGTTTGAAGACAATTTATGTTAATAATATATTTTTTTAATTTACAGTTTAGTGCATTCATCCGTCTAGAATCAACATTAGTTATTGCTGAACATAATAATGAAATTTTAGCACCAATAACACAAGTAACATTAAGTGCAGCCAAAAAAATAGGTGGTGACATTACTGTACTTGTAGCTGGAACAAAATGTAAACCAGCTGCTGAAGCATTATGCAAAGCCAATGGAATCAACAAAGTTTTAATAGCTGAAAATGATGCTTTTAAGGGTTTTACACCAGAATCTCTAACTCCATTAATTATAGAAACCCACAAACAATTTAATTTCAGTCATATCATAGCTGGAGCTAGTGCTTTTGGCAAAGCTTTATTACCTAGGGTAAATATAATGCATAAAATATTTTTTTTTATCATTAAATGATTTCAATCAAATTTAGGTCGCTGCAAAATTAGATGTTTCTCCAGTGAGTGACATTATCAATATAAAGTCTTCCGATACTTTCGTGCGCACAATTTATGCTGGTAATGCACTGCAAACTATAAAGGTTAAAGATGGTATCAAAGTAATCACGGTTAGGGGTACTGCATTTGAACAATTACCATTAGATGGTGGTAATATTTCAACAGAATTAGCACCAGCTGGAGACTATAAATCAAATTTAGTCGAATTCGTAAAGCAAGAACTTAGTAAATCTGATAGACCAGAATTAACATCTGCCAAAGTAGTTGTTTCTGGAGGACGTGGCTTGAAATCTGGCGAAAATTTCAAACTATTATATGCTTTGGCTGATAAATTAAATGCTGCAGTAGGTGCATCACGTGCTGCTGTTGATGCTGGATTTGTTCCTAATGATCTACAAGTTGGACAAACTGGAAAGATCGTCGCTCCAGTGAGTTATCATTTTTAAGCATAGACAAGAAATTTGATATTAAAATAAAATGAATAATAGTTAACTATTGTATGGTAGAAAAGACTTGATATATTCATCAATGTTAGCATTTAAAAGTCAAATCTTTCAAGACTATACTGATACATTTTGTTACAATGATGGCATTTAGAAAACTAAAATTATTTAAATAAAAGTACTTATATTTCTGAAATAAAATTAAATTACATATTCATATTTTTAGGATCTTTATATTGCTGTGGGTATTTCTGGTGCTATTCAGCATCTGGCTGGAATGAAAGATTCCAAGACAATTGTAGCAATCAACAAGGACCCAGAAGCACCGATTTTCCAAGTTGCTGACTATGGACTAGTTGCAGACTTGTTTAAAGTTGTGCCTGAACTTACAGAGAAGTTATAATGATATTATATGAACTCACTGGAAAGCAGTAATACAATTTATTATATTTTTATATTTTTTGTATAACAAATAATAACAACAATAATGATCAAAACATTTTATAGACTTAATAAAATTACAAATAATGTTAATATTGATAAAGATAATTAGATATTATTTTGAGAATTAATGTGATATTTTTAAATACTATCAAATGTCATTATCTTTGTTAGTTCGTCCTTCAGAGACTGTGAAAAAAGCCGTCAATGCCAACAAGTTTAAATAAGTATTGTGTATAAACGATTGAAACGTGTGTGAGTAATTGTGCCTAAGCAGGTGACTCAGGTTGGTCCAACACAACTTACTGGCCAATAACAAAAAGAAAGGGAAAGCATATACGAACTTCCAGAAGTTTAAGTCAGTCTAGCAACCGCGTTCTGTGAAACAGTAATACTTTGACCATCACATCTATGGTGCATCCAAGTATGTATACCCTTTTAATTGTTAAATGATGCTTAATTTTCATATTGTCACATTAATTTTTTTTATCTATTGTAAGAAATTTTTAGGATTTTTTTTACATAAAATTGAAAATAATTTTAATATCAAAATGACTATAATCTCCAAATATCATTGAAAAGTATCATAATTAAATTTCATTTAATAAATAAATAATTTAACTATTATTTCATAAATGAATATGATGATGAAAAATTATTTTATTAATTAGTACAGTTGTTTGTAAATGGTAAAATTCATATCAAATGATATAGCTGGACAATTTTTTCCTCAATTCTAAAATATCATAACATGTCTTCACATCACTTACATTGCATTAAATAATTTTATTATGTGTATGTCAGTTGTGTAATCGTGAAAATTTCTCTTCTACAATTCTATAATAATATGTTATAACATTATCAATTTTTATCACATAATACATATGTATATTATGCACACAAGTACGTATATATACATGCAAGTACAATTTACGTATATAATTATCATGTTTAAAAAATAAAAAAAAAAAATTCAATCTGTAGCCTCAGTCATACATTCAAGTAATTTCTATCGCTATACTATTGCTTCATTCTCTCTTTCATCAGCTTTGCTACGGTAAGTACAAGGACGACCGCATCTCACATACTTTCAAACTGCTACAACTGTTCCCTGAATAAGAACAATTTTACGCTTCAGTAAATAAATAAATTTTTGTCAAAGATAAAAATTATTAAGTACGTTTTTTAAAATACGAATCATAATAAAGTGATTTTTTTTTATTTTTTAGGATTGGAGATCATTGAGAAATGCAGAAAAAGTTGAAAGAACTTGGGACGTTTGTAAATGTTGTTCGATTGTACAGATGATCAACATATTATCATGTTAATAAAATCATAAATTAGCATTAACTGACCAGCTAAAAAAATTAATTATGCTACATCCGCTTTTCGAATTGACACCAGTCTGGTGGTTAATTATTTATGCAGGATTTTTACTATTATTATCTCCTCTAGTATTAGTAATTGTAATTTTCTTACCAAATTTTCCATTACTTTTATTACGTCGAGTTTGTTATATTCCAGTTGAATCAATATAAATGATAAATTATTCAATTTATTTAACTATTAACTTAAAAACAATCAATGTCTTCTAGCAAATGCCATGAAATGTTAGTCAAGTAGAATATAAAAAAAACTAAATATTAATAATTTATATTTAATTTTCAATCATTATTAAAATCCTTTGTAAAAAAATAACAATTAATGCTAATCCTTTTAACTGAGTTAATAGGTAAAATAGTGAGAAATAAATCAAACATAAACTAGATGACCAAATATTTAAAAAATAATAAGACGTACGTAAATGGAGAGTCTGATGCTATTCATCATAGTTAAAAGAATACTGAAACAGGCGTCTGTGCATTCATGATAGTACAGCATAAGTAACATAATGTCATAGTGAATACTTTCGCCAAGTGAGAATATAAGTGGGAGTTGATGTCTGGAGTGGTCTGGAGACCTTAGCTTCCACCACGTATATACAAGGGACCTGATCAAGAATTCTGCTACTTGTTATTCACTCCTCATCGACTTCTACTTAAAAAGACATGGAGTTATTGTGGATTGTGAGTATATTTATATTTTTTTCGTCTTTTCATATGTTTATTGAATACTTTCCAACCTGTTCATTAATTAATGTGGTTGATAAAGCTTATAGCAAATATTTTCTTCATTTAACTTCATTGTCAAATAAACATTGGTATTTCAAGATATTTTGATTATTATCAAAATCATTAAATATCTGAAAATAAATTATCAAATATAATTAAAAAATTTTCTACTTGGTATAACATTTCTTATAGAAGCATACAAATTCCTTTGCAAATCATTTCGAAAGACCGGATACTGAACAATGTCGAGGGCACACGAGATGCCCTGTTTTGTAATAAATTGACACTAATAATAAGTCAAAAGGTATCATTAATAGCAAGAAAATAATACAGTACCGTGAAATAAATTATCTAATATTTTTTATTATTATTTTACAGACGAGGCTGTTACTTGGATGTTTGATTATAATAAATATCGTAGCTACTCCATCATCAGGTTTACGAAGAGTTCCTAAAGTCTACAATGCTCTGATAACAAGTGACCAAAACTTGGCACCTTCAAAAGCATATCCGGTCATCCAGCCTATAATTCACAGGACTGCAGTTGGCTATCTTAATCCATACTACTATACTCCTGTAGGACCTGAATTTATTGGTCCAGATATTTATCCGATACCAGTGAATCCACAGCCAGTTGATACATCTGATAGCCCAAAAAATACTGATGATAAAACAAAGGACAAAGAAATCGCTGAAGGGGATGAAAAAGATGGAAATAAAGATCGTGTTCCGTTAAGTTTTTATCCAAATTATCAGTCAGTTTATTTTAATCCATACTTATATGGATATAATGTATATCCACATGTTACACCTGGAACTTATTATGTCAACTATCAACCTCCTGGACCATTTCTTCCACCACCACCTCCTTATACTTTTCCACAATCTTATCCTAGCGATCAACCTACTCCAAATGATCAAGAAAAAAATAAAACCAACGAAAAACAAATCATTAAATCAGAAACAACTACAACGACAACAACAGAAAAAGTACCAGAAGTTCCATTATCTTCAGTGCCAAGGAAACAATACTCTTCATAGTTTTATAGCTGATATTACTAAGCCATTTATAAAAGTGTTTAGTATTATTTAGTTTTTCTAGTTGTTTTTAGCACTACCCACCGTGATGATAAAAAAAATTTTTTAATTCTTTAATAAGAAGCTTTTATTTTTTATTCTGTTATTAATCCTTTATATCATTTTTATGCACCATATATTTTAATTACATAAGAAACTCCTTTATTTGTTGAAGATTTTATATTAAGCCTTAAATAATTTCTACCAGGTCCTCCACTCAACCACGTTATTGTACCTTGAGTATTATTGTAAAGGAATGCTTCAACACAGGTTATTACTATTGGACTGTCTAAATTTACTTGAAAATTGGCATTCAACTGTGATGATCCTTTTAATCCTATTCCCAAATTGTGTTGATACAATAGCCTGGTTTTTTGTGAATGTGAACAATTGCCCAAATTTCGATATCCTGGTGGTGTCTATAATAATTTAGTTCTGTAATATAAAATGCGTAATTTTTTGATTATTATATAAGTTAAAAATTAAGAATTACAGTTGGTGTTTGTTCAGTTGTTATTGTTTGTCTTGAAACTGAAGAATTATTTTGGAAAGCATCATTTATTTCACGTTGTCGAGTATAAAATCTATCGATTACAGCTTTTTTTTTAAAATAATAATCATCAATATTTTGTTCATGAGCTGCACGTGTGTCATTAAAATTTCTCTTTGCTCTCAATAATATCCAAGGACTTATTCTATTAAAAATAACTTGCTGATGTTGATTATTAATTAATTCCGTACTTTGAGGGTACCCTTTCACGTCAATAATGAATAAAAGTATTAAGATAAAAATTAACATGACGTTTATTTGTCACTTGAATGTCACTGTAATTTGTTAATGTCAATTAATGTTTGAATATTATTTCAATATTCATTAAAATATTATGCTCTGCTGATCTCTGTGATTCACTTTATATATTTACTTCGTGAAAACTTAATTATAAAATAGTATAGACAAGTTACTCCAACTACTGATTATCTGAAATATACTCCGAGTAACGAACTCTCTAGATGATAGAAAAAAAAGTACTGACACAAAAGACTCTGTTCTGTTATATAGTAAAAAATTAATGACAAACAGTCTTGATATTTATTAATATTGATTTTCAATCACAAACTGGGGGTTGACTTATTGACCTCACTAATCAATTATCAATACAATTGTTAACCAGTGTACTTATTTACATACATTAATCCATTAATTTTATCTAATAAGAAAGAATGACACTAACTGCGTAGAAGTATTATAAATTTGATATTTGAAAAAAAAACATCAATTTTCTTATGGATGGCTTTAAATAGATTCTACCACAACAGTATCATCTTCCTGCAATGGTTCATCGTGTTTTAAATTCATCTCCAAACTAGGATCAAGTTTTTCATCTAGTTTTTCGATTTTATCCTCATCGAATGGCAATGGTTTTTGAGTAGTTGTCGAGGCTGGCTGTTGTGGAATATAATTTGGAATAAATGGTTGCACATTCACGCTTGGATAGACCTATAAAGAAATCAAATAACTATTAGCAATTTGAAAAATATCAACAATTTCCAAGCAATGTTGAAATAGGATTATTTACAGTATATATTAATAATTGTAATAACACTAATAATAACGCATTAAAGACATGTAATTGAAATAAATGCATTAGAAATATTGAACATAAATATATCCACTGAAAAATAAATTTATTACCGGTCTTAATTGAATCTCGTAATCGAAAAGTGGAGCACCATAATAATTGAATGAAGACGTAACATATGAGCTACCTGGACTTCCATAAGGAAAAGTTAGTACTGGTAATTGTTTATCAGAGTCCACCTAGTTGATATGAAAATATAAATAGTTAGAATAATACGAAAAAAAATAAGTATAATAAATATGCAATTGATAAATAGAGTTATGATTATTTTACCTGTAAAAGATTATAAACAAGATACTTGGAATGTGGAACTATTGTCTGAACATAGTTAGAAGATTCAACTTGCAAATCTTTGAATTTTTTTGATTGTATTTCTCTATGTGATGATTCAGCTGGAATACTTGCAGCTTCACCGACCCCCAACAAAAATAACAGAATAAGCATGTCTCAAATTATAAATTGAAAAATTGATAGCAATGATAGCACCAACAATAACAACAACCTATTGTTATCTTTTATCTTATATTCAAAACAACTTGAATGGATAATGAAAACACCAATTTCCTGCTACAATTGGATCTCCTATCCTGACTAACCAGAATTTAATCTTGTTCCACGATTTATATATTCTTCTTGGGCCCAAATCTATCCCCACCCATATGAACATTTTTTTATATCTTTTTTTTTTTGGTCCTCTAACTACCTCGGTTCTCCAAGAGAACGGGTGTGATACCAGATTCAATTTATTATTATAGCCAAAAGATGAAAAAAAAAAAAAAATAAACTTATGAAAACTTGCTCTTACAAATCTGGTGTTCAACCGCCAATTGAATTAATTCGTTATAAAACTTTACCTCCCTTGATATAGATCAACAATACTTAATAACACTTCAATAACACATGCATGTAGTCGTTAATAAATTTTTTATGATTGACAGTCATACCTCAATAAAATATTAAAGGTTATTGAAAAAACATTGATATAAGAGCACTACAAAGTTGGCTGGGTCAAGGCTTTTCACATAAAGTTAAGTATCAGATGTAATTAACGATCAATGTAATTTAGGGGCCATATCACTATCTCTGTTTCAGCTTTTCTCAATATTATGACCATTATTATTATTACTGAGTGATTAATTGAAAAATAAAAAATTTTTATGCATATATATTTTAATTAATAAATGACTTATTTGCATATAATTCTACTCAGAAAAAAGTATTTATTTGCAATGACATATAAGATGTTTGTTTTTCCTAATAATCCTCATTTTTGTTGGGTTTTTTAGTGAATTAAGAAACAATCAAAAATTATAGAAAAGCTAAAGATAATAAAACATCAGTAATGTTGCAGTGTTCAATGCAGCTATTTGAAATTAAGGACAATGCACTCGGAATTTCAATCGCGATAACGCCGTAACAGTACGAAAAAGCTTCGTGCCTGAGAAAACTAAAAGCTTTAGCATGTCAGAAAGAACTCCAGGCACGTATCAGGATAGTTTGATTGTTACAAAAGGGTGCTAAACGTACAATGCCGTGACAAGTCAAGTTTATTCGTTTTCTGAATGTTACATTCTACCTAACACTGCAGTCAAGATTTAATTTCAAAAAGGTGTCTATTGAATCTGATCATAATTCCCCATTTTTAGTATGCTTAGTAATCAGTCGAAAAATATTATCTATTTATTCATATTTATACCTAAATATTAATTCTAATAATAATTGTTATTATAATGATTAGCTATAATACGTAAAATTTGATACTATTTTGTGATTCTAAACCAATAAAATAGCAAATAATGAGGTGAGTCTTTACCAATAAAAAATAATTGATTAATCAGCATAATAGAAAAGAATTTGAATTATTTATTAAGCTATAATGAATCTCTTATGTATTTGAATACATGTATTATAAACAAGTTTTTTTTATTAAAGTTTTTTTCATCCTTCGAGCAAAAAAGATTTTAAACTTTCAAAAATATACCGCCTGTAGGGTTCAATCAATACTTGACTCTCGCCTACATGAGCTAACGAAATACTGATGCGTGTGTTTTGCGTAAAACTTCACACATTGTACTCTACACTTTTTATCATTCATTCACACTAGCTTGTTAAATTTTTAAATTAACTATCTATTTATGATTATTCATAATCAATACTTTGGTGTTTATCAACAAGTGTCCTATCTAAAGTCAATGACTATGAATGTTAGATGAAATATATCTCATCAAAATTCAAATAATATTGAGTGAATAAATTTGAGCACATCTCCAATAAATTGACACGATTGTAGACATGCAAGAATTCCGCAACCTGGAAACAAAAAAGAGTGAATAATAACATAAAATTTGTGAACAACATTAATATTATATTTTAAATTTAATGTAAGTATGCTAATCATCATTTTTTCTATTTTTAAAAAATCATTAAAAAATTTTTTAACTGATAATTATATGAAAAATACGCCTATTTATTTATTATTTTTCACATTAGTTAAATTTTATCAATAGTTAATAATTATAAATTATTTTCATTAAATAATTTATTTAAATTTTGTCATTTAATTGATGGTTTTGTTGGCTTATAATTACCAAGATCACGTAATTCACCTGTTTATCATGATATAAAAACGCCCACATTTTGGCAGAACTAATGATTAGGAAATTTTAAATTGATGATCTATAATGTCATGACTACGTTCAACATCAATTAATATTAATTAACAAAAATTACTATTATTATTATTTATCAAAAATTATCAGTAAAAATCACTATTTAACAAGAATCATTGAGAGATGAGTTATTTTCAATATTTTTATCACAAAGCCATGATAGAAGTAGCTCTAAATGAGCTGATAAATCATCAACAATAACAATAACAACAAAAACAAAGTAATGAGAGAATAATAGTGGAAGATTGTGTGAGGATTTACGGAAAGACAGAAAGCATGTATATTAATAGCAAGTCCGCGTGTGCACTTGGGATTTAAACATAGTTTTGGCTGAAGAAAACGTCAAAGCGACTCGACAAGTCGTTAGAAGTGTTTCGTTATTTCATATTTATCAAAAGTTGTATAAAAAAAGTGTTTAAGTGAAATTTGAATAATTAACATGATAGCATAACTATCAATCATCTTTTCCTGATATTAATGAACCATTTAAATGATTAACTATCGAAATTAATAAATTATTCATTTGAGTTAAATAGTAGTGAGATTGAAAAATTTTTTAATGATTTATTTCCATGCGTTCTTTTAACCCACATAATTCGCAAAGTAGTTCCGTCAATTTATTTTTAAAACATGAGTGAAAACTTGTATACGGAGAAGTGTATTTGTATCCTCAATTTATGAATGTAGTACATTCATCATTAGATCCAGTGGCTGTTTTTCAATATTAAAAAATTCAAAGTTATTGTAAAAAATGATTCATTCATTGTACAGTTAAAATTTAATTATTTTCACAAGTGCCTTTTTTATTGTTATTAAAGTATAAAGATTTAAAGTGCTTTCATTGACCATGAAAAAATCGAAAGATAGTGACAAGGAGAACTGGTGGTCTGAAGCGTACAGTAATCAATTGGAAAGTGTTTTTATCTCCAATAATCAAATGTAATTGGTTTGCAATTTTCAGGCTTTTATGATTGTAAATTTATGGGTTTCTGAGAGTCTCAATGTTTTAAATATCATTTTTATTATAACTAAGTTCAATATTTTTGTTTAAAAAAATTTTATCATTTTATTGTTTATCATCTTCATATTTAAAAACAATAATTTTCATAAAAACATCCTAGACATTGACACTATTATCATTTTCTGAACAAACAAAAGCTTGGCTTCTAAAGAACTTTTGGATATTTTCCAAATTTAAACAATTAATTAACGTATATTTAAAAATAAAGCTTCTCCTTTTAAGTTCTTTTGAATTAAAAATGTTTTAAATACCATAACACCCTTGATTATTTATTGCATGAATACAGCATCCTTCTTATTCGTCTTAGACTTGAATTTTTTTTAGGCCATTTAATAATTGTTTTGAATAAATTTACTAGAATGTCAGCACCTAGAACAGAAAGTCATGATTCAATAAACGATGTATTAGAAAAATTGAAATCCTGTACGTCAAAAATTCAAGACAATGGAGAAACAATACGAAATTTGTTGGCGAAACTTCACACACGCGTCACATCATCAGGTAAGAAAATTATTAGATGACAGGGCGTATTTATGATTTAGTAAATATATTATTAATTTGAGAGACGTAAGACAGGTGTAATCGTTGACAGTGAGATAGTACTATTTTTGAAAAAACATGATTTATTTACTTGTAAAATTTACGTAAATGGTTTACATCAAATTTACGACAGCAATAGTTATAATTTTGGACTAATTCCAATAAATATAGTTATTTTTTTACATGAATAATATCAAGAAATCGTATTATAAATAATACAGAAAAAAATATAAATATATTACAATCCCAAAACTATGAAAATGATCCGTGATGTTCTAAAAGTATTATTAAAAAAAAATCTTTGTTGTCTTTATAGATCGAAATGTTCGTGAACAAACACTGGAATTACTTTGGAATAAAGAGTTCAATACACTGGAGATCTTTATTCAATTATTGGAGGTAAATGTGTGTTACTTGAAAATTTATCAAAACAAAATTGATATTTTTTAAATTTCAGACATGTAAAGATAATACAATTGGTGGAAGTATCACTGAAATATTGCATGAATGTATTTCTCCACGACAATCAAAAATTAAATCAAAAGCAACGAAAGGAAAATATTCAACAAGTAGGTTGACTTTAGTGTGCTTGTTTTACCATAATAACGTAGTATAAAAAATATTTATTCAAATTAATCTTGTTTTTGTTACTTTTCAGAAAATGCTGGTCGCATAATAATAGCACAATTGATAGAATTTGGTGGTACTCAAGTATTTTTAAAACTTTTAATTAATTCACAACGGAGTGACAGTACAATGACAGAAATATTTGTTCATGAAATTCTGTGGATTTTAAGTCAGGTAAATATTTATTAAAATAATTAATTTTGAGTATGCTTACGAAAACTTTGTTTTTTATTAATTATCGTGTTGATTGATGAAAAAATTTACTGCAATAACAATGACAACAGTGTTAATAATGAGTTCAAATGAAATATTTAGTCGAAAAGAATTAAAAATAGAATTTTGAAAAACACTTACCTATAATTAATGATATAAATATTTATTTATTGTAGATTGCTCAAAAAGATCCAAAATTTTCAATGAAAATACGGATTTCAAGTGCTACAAAGATATTTCATTCTTTACTCAAACAACATTATAACGATGCTCGATTGCTATTACCACTTCTTATTATCTTAAAAAATCTTTCTAAAAACAGTAAGTTTTTAAAATGATTATTATATTAAAACAGGTATTACATAAAAAATATTTATACATACTTTGGGTACAGCATTTGCTGTGCAAATTCTCGTTAAAGATGGAATAGCAGCGACCTTGGAGAAAACTTTTGTGTGCATCGGTTACTCACCTCGCTTGAAACTAAAAATTCTGCTGGAATGTTTTAAATATTTTACAATGAGCAGTAAGCAAGCTTAAAATATTCAATACGATCAAAAATCGATGATAAAAATAGTCAAATAAATAGAGGATTATTTTTTTATAGAACTTTTTTGTGCTAAGTTCGTCAAAGTTGGAATGGTTTTCATGATGACGCGTATTTTTGATAGATGGGACAAATGGGATGGTCCAATAAGACAAAAAATAGCCAGCAATGCCCTCTGTACTCTCCATCACCTGTGTTCAATAAGTATGACGCACTATTATTCAAATAAAACCGTCATTTAGAAAGATATGTCGACTTGAAATATTTTTTTCTTTTATTATTTTTAATATTATCTTTGGTCGGTAGTCTTAGATACAGCATCATCGGAGTAGCCGTTGTGTATAGACCTGAGACTACATAACGTTATGAATAATTCATACTTGCCTTTGTTAGATACATCAAAAAGTCTTCATATGTAAAAATATATCATAAAAAAGTAACTGCAAAGCTACACGTAGTTATTCTAACAATGAAATATTTGTATCTTGTCTCTCTAAATTCTATGCCCTTGACTAAATTATTTTTGATGACTAAGCTAGGATATTTTTTTCATCTATTTGTAAGTAAAATTGAGAGCGTTGTTATTGTCATTACTTTCATTTATAACAGAATCCGGTCGGAAAGCTATTAAAGCAAATAATGGTCTACAAGTTCTCTATCGATTTTGCATTAATTGTCCGGAATCTAAAGCATACGACTTTCTTCTTTCACGAGTTTGTGGAATAATAAATCAATGTCTCGAAAAGAAAGAACTACCAGTACCTGAAATGTCACCTGTTCGGTTTGTATTCATTATCGGCTATTTACTTTTCAACTTTGCCCATTCTATTTATTTTCTTCTCATAAAGATAAAGAGTTTTACCTTTTTTTGTGAATTGTTTTAATATAATAATATCAATTAATGTTTTACGTTAAGTTATACAAAATAACTCAATAAACAGCAATAGCTGATTTATATTTAAATTAATAACATCTATTAGTAACATGTTAAATATTTTTTTATTTTATTATTAATAATATTCATCTTACAGATTTAATCTTCCAAACATCAATGGGAAACGAGCCAATAGTGTTGACAGTTGTAGTGATGTTGAAAGTCAGGTTTGTATTTTGTAATCAATTCAAAAATATAAAATAAAAAATACTGCGATTCTGTATAGGCTACCAGCATCAATTCATCCGAAAAGATTTCTAGTGATACGGAGTCAGCAGATGATGATGATAATGATGGCGATGATAATCAAAATGGTGATGGTAATGATGATAGAAAACATCCCATTTTCAAAAATAAATTAAATCACTATAATATAATCAATAATGTTGATGAGGATCAGTTTTTTACTAGTGTTATTACGTCTCAACGATCTATCGATAGTCTTCTTGGGTAAGATGAAATAAAATTTAAATATGATGTAGTCAAATATTAGTTAAATGTTTCTGTTTCTGTTTCAGATACCATATTTTGTTTAGAGAATTTGGGGGTTTAAAGAATCAGCTTGTAAACCAAAATAATATAAATCCAGATCGGACGGTTGATCCTTCATTAGAAAGAGTATTTAAACAATCTGAGCTGCTTAAGCATATAAAATCTGGTAATTCTACTAATTGGGCATCAGAAAATATTCCTAATTTAAACTCAAATATACTTTATCCACGGAAGTTGCAAATTTTAGATAACATCCCATTAAATGTAGAAGATAGGTCAATCTATTGTAGCTGCGCTAATAAAGTAAGGAGTGTAATCCCCTTCGTAAAGGTCGGTTATCCAGATCTAATCGGAGGCAATTGCTCTGAAACACCTGAACCACTTAATGACAAAGATAGAAAAGTCTGTCGAACGAAACTATTAAATAGCGTCGATCGTGGATTACGATCAAATTCTATGAATGCGGAAGTAATATTCGATCTAGATTCATTGACAACCTGTCAGACTGGATCAATTGAACGATCCCAAGTCGATCAGCTTCTTAGCAATGTTGATGAAGGTCAAACAGGTCGGCGAAATATGGAAATGAAGAGTTTACAGTTTGAATCAAGATTTGAGAGTGGAAATTTACGGAAAGTTATTCAGGTATTATATTCGTATGATAAAATATGGATTAAATAGGGTAATAAATAAAAAAGAAATCAATTTCTCATATTAATTATCACAGATAGGCTCAAGAGAATATGATCTCATTCTCACACCAGATGTTAATAGTGGCTCAAGACATCAATGGTTTTATTTTCAAGTATCTAATATGGAGGCAGGCATTCCTTATACATTCAATATAATAAATTGCGAGAAAGCTAATTCGCAATTTAATTTTGGTATGAAACCAATTTTATTCAGCGTTCTTGAATCTCAATTAGGAAGACCGGGTTGGGTCAGAATTGGTTCTGATATTTGCTATTACAGAAATTGTTATCGAAGACCATGCAAGAATAAAAATTATTTAACAACTTCATTCACTGTAACTTTTCCTCACTCTTACGATATTTGCTATCTAGCTTATCACTTTCCGTATACATACTCACAACTGATGAGTCACATCTGGAAGTGGTTAAAAAGGGTAGAAAAACAACAAATTTATTTTGAAGTTGAAACTCTATGTGATACTTTAAATAGCAATGAATGCCCCTTATTGACAATAACTGCACCAGAGTCTAAAATTAATCCCATGTCTGTAAGTTTTTTTTTTACTTCTTCAAATAGTAACTTTTTTTTATTCAAGATTAAAGAATAATATTTCTCTTTATCTTTCAGAAACGGAAGATAATTTTTTTAACATCGAGAATTCATCCAGGAGAGAGTAATTCATCGTGGGTAATGCATGGAACTTTAGAAACACTCTTAGGAAATTCAATTTATGCTCAAAGTTTACGTGATGATTATGTATTCAAGATTATTCCAATGCTAAATATTGAAGGTGTAATAAATGGTTGGTAAGTAAATCAAATAATCATACGACATTACACTTCATTTTTTTCGCACTGGTAATAATACAACATCAATGGCATAAATGTTAAAAAAAATATTATTGATGAAAAAAATGTTACAATTTAATTTTAAATATAATTGAATACGACTGGATGACGTAAATGTTATGATAAAAAATCGTCGTAAATTATCAAAAGAGTTAGTATAAAACATTTCGTCTTGCACTCGTATTCTAATTGGCAAAAAACATCGAACATGACATCAGTGGACATCCCTTGGCCCATCACCATAAAGCTTTAGCTTTTTACGTCCTCTGACGTCATATCTAATTATATTTATCATATAATAATTATCTATAAATTGATAAATTTTTTTCAAATCGATGATATTGCCTTGGTAATTCATCATTCTCTAATTTATATATCAATGACTGGAATTAATTAATTTTGTGGTTTCATGAATACTACAAAGATAAACTTAAGATCTACTTATTTTACTGAAAAAAACTACTTGGACGGAGGGTCTAATACTTTTCCGTTGGAGCGGACTTTAATGTTGTACCTATAAGCTGGTTCAGCATTAGGTAATATAGTACTAGAATCTTCCTCTTGATCCTTTGACGCTTCAGAAGCAATTCCACTTTCCGGTTCATCATTAACATAATCTTGAACACTCTCGTATGGCCCAATAGTTTTTGATTCTTCAACACCATTTTCTGGTATCAATTTAGCTTTTTCATAAATTGAACCTGGTAAATTTGTTCGAGGAATTGAACGGATTTCATGAGTTTCTAGTCCATCAAAGACACTCTCAGTTCTTGGTTTAATGCCAGTGTTACTAGTAAATAAACTCGTAATATCTGGTATATCCTCAGTTCTAATTCTCTTAACTTTTATTGTTTCTTCTTTACTCTTTCCGGTCGTCAAAGAATCAGAGGATAATGTACTCATCAGTCGACCAATCACAAGATCTTCAGGATGAGCAGAAGCCGAATCAAATGATGTATTTGGTGGAATTTCCTCATCGTGTTTTTCATTTTCATTTACATTTTCTTCTTGTTTATCGGTAGTTTCGGTCTGATCATTATTATTTTCTACTTTTTCATCTACACCTGTTGTCTCTGTCTCCAACTTATCCGCCGTCTCATCATCTTTGTTGAATTCCGGCAAGGCTGTTGTCGTCGTTGCATAAGGTTTACGAGTTCTAAAATTTTTTATTGATTAGAAAGCCAAATAAAATTAAAAAAGCTTTTGTTTTTTGAAAACATTGTATTAACAATAGTAAATAAAAAAATGATTTTATATGTACTGTTAAATTTTTTTTTTCAATATGTTATGAAAAAAATTATTTGAATAATCACGCAAATTTTGCAACCAAAAAATTATTTATACAATGTTTCATTTAGGATAGATTAGTTAGTAATAATATAACTTAATTAAATAATAAAAAGCAGAAATAGATTGTTAGTGATGTTAATAAGCTACCAGTGTCAATGAAAAGTGCGCACTCCTGCGATTAATGAACTATTAATAAAATAATCATAAAAGCTTTTTATAGCCAACTGAAATATTTAATATCATCTACTTATATTATCTAAAATTATACTTATAAATAATGATAATAATACTAATAATAATTATTATTACTATTATTTTTGATTATTATTAAAAATATTATTAATAATGTATGAAATAATTGCGAGTAAAAGTGTAAAGTGTAGTTATAACTAATTCAAATACTTAAATACCCCATAAACTTGAGCAGGCGCGCGACTTTTCATGTACTGTGATTAAATGTCTCACCTCTTACCCCTGAGTTGCCGAAACCGGTATGCTTCCGTAGTTATAATAATAACATCGCGTCTGCTCGCAAATGAAATCCTTAATGAGCGTACAATCTTGTGCATCCCATGCTAAAGTTGGTGATACCATTGCTACGCAACCATCAGTACTTCCACTATCTCCACTAAAACATATTGTTTCAATCAATTCATTGAATATTTTTCCAACATTATTTATAAATAAAAAAAATATCATACCTTTCTCGTGCTACCCTTTGTGGTTCAGTACCAGGAGGTACATCAACTGCTCTGTTACCAGAACGTCTTAACATATAATCAAAAGTAGCATTAAAAGGTAGTCCAGTACTCATCCATAAAAACATATCCGTTCCCAATTTATTTCCTGAGGTCCAGAAGTCATATTTAGTATATCCAGCATTTTTCAAATATTGAGTCATCGTATCTGCTTTTTCTTTTGTTTCAAAAGATGCTAATTGTAGACCAAGTGAACGACAATACTGATAAGCTAAGAAATAATTCAATTCAGGACTATAAGGATTCATTCTTGAAACAAAGTACTGAACTCCATCGAGTTGAATTGTTGTTATCCTTTGAGCTGAAATTAAAATTTATTTCATCAACATTTTGAAATAACTTTAATTTTATTAATTAATATTTGTATTATTCAAAAATCACATCAACTGCTATTGAGGTGACCTTGAAGATGTACATATGACTAAAATTCTTTAAAATAGTTTCTTATATTTTAAGACTCGTGAACTATAATTAATATTATCTTCAATTAATTTATTTAACAACTTGTAAATTAAAATAATTTAAAATAAATATTTTGTTATTTATTTTTTTTAAAAAGTCTTTACTGAAGCGTTTAATAGAAGATTGAAGTGATGAATAAAATTTTTAAAACATTTTATAAGTCGAGTCTTATAATTTGGAGACTGAATATAATCTTTTAAAGAATAAATATGAATTATGCATATTTTAAAAGCACGTGGAATGTTTGGCTAGGTGTGCACAAACATTCCAGCATGTATCATTTCGTCCGAGCACGTTTTTTTTGTCGCTTCCGAGTCACTAGACCATACATGTAAATGACAAAGAATGTTTAAGAATAATCCTATGAATAATAATTCATATACGAATATTCAGTTATCCTACCGTTATTACCACTTCTCTTGAAATAATTTTTTTCTGACTCTATACACTTAATAGAAGATCAGAATTTTATGTTTCATCTTGGTGCTCATAAAAAAAAAAGAAAACAATGGTGAGCACAGTCCATTGAACTCAATCATTAAATTGTCATATAAATTGTCTCATAAATCATGACTTGTCTCTTGCACAAAGAAGATGTTAAAAAAGAAGTGATAAAAAATTAAATAAATTATTCAATAAATATCTTGATGGTAATGAATTTTTTGCAATCAAAATTACATCGATAATTATTAGGATCAAAAAGATAATAGATCAATTTCATTGATGAAATAAAAAACATTGTGATGTTGTATAATGAATGATACAGGTGGTAAATGACCTGAAGGCCTTGAGACATTGATTTAGCATTGTATGAATATAATGTAAGATGCAACTGATTGTCTACCACATGCGGAACGCACATGGTGACTCGATTATGAGATAAGTTGATTAATTTACTATTTAATTACAGTAATATTTCACAGATCTTTTTTGAATATAAAGTTTTGTCAAATTAAAAAAAAAAAACAGAACTTTTTTCATTGATAAAATATTTGATAAATATTGATATGATCGGTTTAATTAATTAGAAAATAAATGAATGAATTGATAATGAAAAAACTTACCTGAAACAATAAATGTGGTGACAAGAAGTAACAGAATGATCTTCATATTATCAGAATATTAGTAAGATTTGTAAAGCTTCCGTGAACTATTTTAAAAACCGGATGTCAGTGTTAGGGTCGCGTTCTCGAACTGGTCTCGCGCAGCGTCGAGAGCTCCCTTAAGAGTCTTCTGGCGAGGGACCATGGAGAGGGGGTCGTTGAAGATGATTCACAAACCAACACCTATAGTATAGAGAAGTCAGACGAAACTCAGTTGAACCGTCTAAATAAAAAGTCTAAAACCCTAACTAATCACTCTACTCTCAACACGTTCTTCCTCACAAGACAAAAAAGACGGAAACAAACTTTTGTTCATATACTTACATATTTGAAAAATTATCTCAACGTTTAGGACCCTCAATGATTTAATTACATAATTTTTTTAAAAAAAAGTAAATGATAGAATTTTATTTTTATAAATTTATTTATTAGATAATATTTTTGGAATGATTATTTATTTATGATTTGTTATATTTTTAGATGCTAAATTGACCATAAGATGATAAATATTAATGGAATTCCATTGAAAAGAGCATTAATACAATCCCATAAGACGCATCGACCCCATTCGTGTCGCGATCTCATGGGAATGTAAGTACAAAGATTGGTTCGATAAGCAGAGATCAAAGTATAACTTGGTACAAGTCATGTAGTAAAGGCATAAACGTAGCTTCTCGCTTGAGGCTCCTTTGGTTTTCTCAACTAAACAAGCGATCCTCCTTCACCTTGTATATTTATCCTTCTTCTCTCAATATACTCTTTCTTAAGTCATGATCGTTTCTTCTTGCGCATTTCATTCTTTTCTACTTCGTAGTTACAGGCTCTGTTGGATCATCAACTAGAAGCCACTTCTCAGCAACATTTTCCCTTCACCATTTTTCCCTTTCCTATTTTTTATTCATTTATTTCTAGTCATTTTTTTTTCTCTCCCTTTTTGCTAGAGCTTTGCAAAAACAAAGACGATTCGCACTGTTGTAGAAGACCCGATATAGCGGGGGAGATGCCAACCAACTAAGTAAGAACACTTTGAGACTCGAGAAGAAACTTGAGGGGTAAGAGGAAGAAGCTGCGAGTCGAGGTCTATTTCAGGCCATGCAGGGGGATTACCATGTACGAACCACCACTCTGATGGAGGTCTCGATTCTTCTCTAGTCCGCGAATCGTCACGGACAAGTTGAAGACCGCAAGAAGGGCCTACGCTACTATACCCTGGGACCTTCGACATTCTTGTGCTCTTTTTTTCCATTTATCTTGCACCTAACGCACAGTGATCCTCATCACCAGTACTAATCATCATTATACATTTATTGATTCTCCAGATATTCTTCAATCAATTCAAACCAATCATTAAAACACAATATATTTTTAAACATCAATAAATTCTAGACTATTCTACATTTTTATTATTTTTCAAAACTGTTTCTAGATGATGGGGATCTTCGTTCACATCGTTATTGTTAGTGGCATTCAATAATTCATTACTTTAATTAAAAAATTTATTAAAACCGATCTTATATTTATAAGGAGCATCTTTAAATTCGAAGGTCAGCCAGGTAGTGGACAAGGATTATTGTACCTTTTATTTTCCTTTTTTTGTTCTCACCATAAAAAACTATGGAATCTTATAGGTATCATTGATTATAAAAAGGACTGTCTAAAAGCAATATTTCAATGCTTTGAATCCTTTTTTCACCCAAAGCATCTATAATTTTAAAAAGAAAGAAAGAAAAAATAATTCAAACTATTGATATATAATTAATCAATTAATTATACCTTATCTAAACAGAAATGATAATAATTAAACGGTTGACGAACAAATATGATAATTATATTCACCAACAGACCACTAAACTATGTGGAATACTAATAATAATTTTCCCTTTTAATTATCATTCTTATAAATATTCATGCATTACTCTTGCATAAAAAAGTTCAATGAAAAATTTCATATTGAACATCTTGCTTGTGTGTTAAGATCTCATATAATTTAAAATCCCCACGCAACTGCCGCCCTTCTACATCAATTCTTCTACATCCCCAGGGTGAATTCATATTTTTTTTATTTTTCCCCATTTTTCATCTTATACGTCAGGCAAAGTGAGAAGAAGAAGAAGAGGAAAAAATAAAATGAAACTTCCAATGGTCTTCACGCAAAACTTTAGACGTTAAAAGAAACCAAATGACCCGGGGCTATGTTTCAACTCTAATGAAGCTACATCTCCATCTTACAAACAGAAAATAATATTTCAAGAATTATTATACGTACCTTCATCATCGTCATCACCATCATCCACCTCGATACCTTTTTCTTATCGTAATGAATGCACGCAAGAAGAAATCATTTCAGTATAAGTAACAATTTATCTTTTTATCATTTTTTCAGATAATAAAAAAGTTCTAGCAATGAGGCTCAGACATTGAAGAGCGAAGAATGGTGATGATACTAAAGTATTTTAATAAAAAAAAACTTCTTCATTTAATATATCTTAAAAGCAAGGAAGAATAAAGCAAAAGCCAAATGCTTTGTACTTTGAACATTGAAAAAAGTTAGCGGTCAAGGTTCTTACTTAAAAGTCATTGACATCATCTACACTTGTTAATTTCCTTTTGACGCTTTGAACTGTTATGCCATACTTCTTGATTATTTCCAACGATCATTGATAGCTTTACAGATTTTTTCAAGTATGTCATTGAGATAGAATATGGATGTAACCAATGATTAGAGTAGCAGGGAAGTGGTGTATTATTGTTGGAGATGATTTTTCCGTTTAAGAAATTCTTCCTCAAGAAGATACCCAGCGGCTGCAGAAGAGTAAAAAGCCTTGGATTGAACGAACCAACTAACGAGCGTTGACTCTCGTCATGCTGCAATTTCAGCTCACCAGCAGCTAAATCAATTTTCCACTCGACTCCTCTTCGTTTCATTCGCATTGCAGAGTGACCATTGGCTCGTTTTCCTCTCCATCTCGTCATCCTCATGCGTGTGAGAATTTATGATTAACATCCATAGTAGTCCTATTACGTAGCAGCAATATAATCTTTATACTTCTAGTATTTGTATCAATAAACATCAAATAGACACATTTTATATTTATTATAAATGTAAATTCAATTTATCAACTATTGTTTTCGATTTCCTCGTATTTACATATTTATCGTATATTTAGTAAATTCTCATCAGATATTTAATTCTATAGATATTTTTTCCTTTACGTTATTACTCGCATACTATTACTATGCACGACACAGGAAGATTGTTTCCTCCAAGAATGACTTCCGGCCGCCGGAAACGTCTTTCTAACTGCGATTGAATCCTTAAATGACATCTACTGCTCTTTTCAACATTTTATCAATGGCACCAACTTTATTAATATCTTCATTTTATAATTTATACATATCATTTATTATTTATTATATGTTAGATTTCATAGATTTATTTCATATAATTGTTTTTGTTTAAAAGATTTTTATCAAGTGGTAATTATTATAAAAAAAATATTTATAGCAACCGATATGGCTTGACGAATGAAGATTTAAATCGGCGATGGAATAATCCTAATCCAGTACTCCATCCAGTGGTTTATCATACAAAAGGTCTCATGGAATATTGTGGAAGAGTATTACAACGTCCACCTTATGTGTTTGTTGACTACCACGGTCATTCTCGTCGGAAAAACGTATTTCTCTTTGGTTGCTCAAGGTCAGGTTCTTGGAGTGCAGCAGACCGCGAGAAACCTGATCAGCCAGCTCACTATTTGGTAATTGTAATTTTAAATGCCATCCATCATTTCCATTACATGGCACTATTAATGATCATATCATGTTTCTTGTGATTTTTAAAAATTTTTTTCTTAAAATATCTGTATAGATATATATTTTTAAATGAATCAATGAATAAAATAAATATCCAATGGTTTTGCACTTTCAGGTATTGCCAAGACTCATGCAGAAAACATCGCCTGCTTTTGCTTTGCCTCTGTGTTCGTTCAAGGTCGAAAGGAACAAGGAATCCACGGCCAGGGTCGCCATATGGCGCCAGCTCGGCGTAGCCAGGTGAGAGCTTCAACTATTTATCTCCTATCAGATGGCCAATTTTAAACACTATCATTGGATTTAAACATTTTATTTATATTATCTACAATTATTGATCATTTTTTCATGATTCAAGAAGTTACACAATGGAAAGTAGCTTCTGCGGTTGTGATCAAGGGCCACTAGCTGGCTTCCACTTAGATACTGTACACCTTAAGAACGTAGGTCGGGATTTTTGCCAGGCTTTATCTTTTCTCAAGGACTTTGGTGATAATTGGAACTTTGACAAGTATGTAATTTGAGTATAATTTCAACGAATTTATGGCAAGTAGCATACCTAGTTATTTAAGAATAAATTCCGGTATTTAAAGATAATGAAATTATGGCATATTAAAGACAATTAATGTATTTACTTGAAATTTACACATTATTCAAGTAATATTAGATTTTCGATAAGTATATATCAATACATAGATCAACTGAAGAGTCTTGTTGTCCATACAACTGTATTAAGAAGATGTCAAAAAGTTCTAAGTGTATCCAGGACAGGCATGCTGTTCAACATATTGAAGGAATAACGAGAAATTCTGTAATTGCCAACAATTAAAAATTATTAAGGCGAGAATTTTCTTGCGTGTTTAAGTTGCTCAAATTTAAGTGCAATTCTTCGATTTACAACTTTAATATACTGATATATTTATCTGATCTAGTATTTTTGCATGCTTTCATTTCTACTTATTAATATCGTTTTTTCATATAATTAAATCATCCAATTATGCCCAACAATCATAAAAAATAATACACTTTTCATATACATATTAAAAATATATTATTTTTACTTCATAACTTTATGCTAAAATTAATACAAATGAGTGCATATCTTGATAATATCAAATTACTATTTACTTAGTTCAATTATTGTTTTAACTTGCAGATGTTCGAGTGATATCTTTATAGAACAAGAAGAAAAATTTAGTGAAACAGAAATATCATCAACTTATGATTCAGATGATTCTAGTGATAATGATTAAATGGATCTCACAATAGTAATTATTATAAGCTTACTTGTAGATAATTATTTAATGCAATAAAAAACGAATCTTTCGGAGCTTTTAAAACGACTTATTAGAATACTAGTTATTATTATTATTAATAGTTGCAGTAGTGATAATAAGAATCACTTATTTATGAACAAGATAATTATCGTCATTTATTACATACATAATTAGTCAATGTTACTTTGTATTATTTTAAATGTATTAAATAAATTAATTTTACAGTAAAATTATTCAGCCAATTTACAAACTTTAAATTCCAAACAAATATCATAGCAACATTTTTCATCATTTCCATGACAGTCATTGTCGTCATGACATAGCACTAATATATGGCTCCAGTCGAAACTTTTCGGACATTCAGCTCTCAGGGACGGACACTTTTTCATTTTCTTTATAGGAGGAAAATCTTGCAGGTGTGATAAATATGGAATTAAATGCCAAACTGTAGAGCCAAGTATTTTAAACCAAAAATTCAGTGATGATGTTGACATCCATGAGTTATGTTGCCATTTATCAGGAAATCCAGTTGGGCAACAATAGAATAAATTTTCATCTGTCTTACACCAATATTTACACGGTTTTCCACTGATTGTATTTATCACTAGACTCTGAATAATAATACTGACAATCAAAAAATTATAAAACATTTTGTTTTCTGTTAAATTTGAACTTGCTGAGTAACTTGTTATTAATGGTATCCAGCTTTCTTTAGCTCCTCTTCTTATAAATACGTGTGAAACTTTCTAATTACGGAATGTAACTTAAAAATATTTTTCTAATAATTTCAATTTTAAAACAATGCCATAATGAATTTCTTAATTTATGTTTAAAAATAAATTATCTTTCCTTATTTTAATTTAAATTCGAAGATGAGTGGTAGTCACAATATTTATTTTAATGCGAAAAATATTTCTTGTTCCATAAAATTGTTTATTTATTTTATTTATTAACTATTTAAATTAAGTAGTTAAGGCTATGAATAAAAATAAAGTATATTTTATTTTTTATGATGATTAAAATTTTAACTTATATCATTTTTCTCTTTTAAAAAATTGATCGGTGACATTTTTCAAATAAATTCGTTTGTATTTGAAATTTTAAAATCTCATAACATGGTTAAATAAGTTATGCTTATACTTTACAACTACTTCCAGAAAATTACTATTATAATTTCGGACGGTAGAAGAGTGATGTTCATTTATTATCATGAGCAATAAGTGGAAAGTGAACAATTTAAATACCAAAATATAACAGAAATTAATTTATGTCAACATCTTATCACATTTATCGTAAGTAATTATTGAGTGAAACACTAGTTTTTCTTAATTTTATAACTAACTTAGTATCAATTAAGTTCTTTTATAACCAATACCACAAAAGCTTTATCAAACTACAGCCAAAAATATAACTATATCACTTCTTAATTTTGAAATAGCTGCACAATGGGCATTCATTTATTATTCTGTATCATCTATTTAATCGTCAATTATTATAATATTTTATATTATAATTGATACTTGTATGCGAATAAAATAATTGATTTTATTACAGATGATATTTAAGCTCTGTTTATTTTCATGTTTGTTTTGTTATTTTGGTGCTAACATTAATTTTTTTCATTTAAAATACTTTAAGAAGCCGTCATTGGCGACAAAGTTGTTTCCAACTGCTTTGCTCGTCGACGTTTCATTAATAGAGGATTATTTGTATTATCTAATTGTTTTAGATTAGCAGCGTCGTAATCTACACGCATTGTGGCTAAAGAACGAGTCATTTCCTCTTGTACTTCAGGCCAGAGTTCCTCTCCTTCACGCAATACTCTTCCAGTATATAAAGGAGTCGGCGGAACTTCCGTATATTGCTGGAATTTTTCGAATAATTTTATATCCAATCAAGATTTTTTTTAATTGTTAAAATTTAGAAAAAAATAAAACTTACAGAAATCCACTTGTTTCTCATTACATGATCAATTGAAAGTCTTTCAGCTGGATCAGTTCGAAGCATTTCTGCAATAAGAGTTTTTGCTTCTGGACTGACGTTTGTCCATTCAGGTGCAGGGAAATCATACTGGCCAAGACGAATTCTCTTTTTCATTCCCGGTGAAATTGCTAGTCCTTGGTTACTATAAAACGGTGGAAATCCACATAGCAAAATATACATTATCACCCCGAGAGACCAAATATCACAGCTTTTATCATATTTTTCAGGACCCAAAACTTCTGGAGCTACAACAAACATCAGTGATATCAACATTTATATCTTATTCATATCAACGCGTAATGCATTTTTTTTTAATTATTAAATTACTATATTCTCTTAACTTACCAACATAATAGGGAGTATAACACGGTGTTTGTAATGTATCTTTTAAATTCGTTTCTTTGGCAAAACCAAAATCTGTTAACTTTAAAATTCCATTGTTATCTGAAAGTTTAAATTAAGTATTACAAATAATGGTTGATAAAAATAATTATTCCAAGTGATAAGATAAAAAAGTAATTCCCAAATTGTTGTTGTTTTTTATTACAATCACATTACCTTGTTTAGAATATAAAAGATTCTCCGGTTTAAGATCTCGATGAGCGATATTCATATCATGGATGTGTTTAACAGCTAGACATATTTCGTACATTATTTGTGCAGCTTCTATAAAAAACCAATAGATATTACGATTTTTATTTGAATTAAATTCGATCCATCAATAAAATATTTATAGTTGTTACATTAAAAAATATTTCTGGTGTTAAATTTATTATTATATTTCTTTAAAAATTTAAAATTATCTTTACCACACACCTCTTTCTGTAAATGCTCCATCTTGGCGATTTTGAATCCGTTCAAAAAGTTCTCCTCCCTCCATACTGATAACAACAATATAATTCATTAATTTCATTAATGTCATCATTTATTTAATAAATTAAAGAATAATTAAAGTATGTATTTTACCATTCCATCACAACTAATAAACATTTATTTCCACCATAAGTATTTTCATACACATCTTTGACTTGAACAATATGTTTGCAATTCGAAGCTTTCCAATGTAATTCAACTTCTCTTCTTGCTTTTACACAGTCATGTAACACCTTAAAAAATTATTAAAAAATTGATTACTCGAACATTAACTTATATATATGAACTTATTGTTAATCCTCTACAGAACTTTTCTTGTTAATAAACTTTTTTTTGTTGCTTTTTAATGAATAATTATCAAGCAATTGACCTTAATTTTAAATATGGTTTTACAAAGTGGATATTAAGAAATTAATACTTATACTAAAAAAATCTATAAAAAGGGAATTATTGACAATTATCATTTGTGTAGAAAATTAAATGTAAATTAATATATAAAAATTAATTGAATCATTTTTATAATTAAAACTTGAGCTGAAATTATTTTTTGATACGTTTCATTGAACTGCGAGTTCTTTTTCCGACTATAAACCAAATCATTGAGTAGGAAATTACTCAATGTATAAATAGATGATGACGTGTGGCCCAGGCTTAAATAGTTTTGATCGAGAATACTATACAAATAATATCGATGACGTGTATAATTAATAAAATATCAATTAATATAAAAGTCTGCAAAGTTTTCTATTCACATTTATTATTTTTATTAATTATTATAAATTTTTTACCTTTAACGCATACTTTTGTCTGGTTTGTTTATCATAACATTGCACAACTTTCCCATTGATTCCAAGCCCAAGAACGTGGTTACTGATTTCATAATCGTCGGTAATTGGTGTTTCTTTGGGTACTCGATTATCCAGTCTTGATATTGGAAATTCCATTATGTGCTCGACGAGTTTCGATGTATCGTTGGCTACTGTCTGTTCTCTATCTTCTTTCTTTTCTTCTTCTATCTTGTGACAACAATTGCCTTCTTTATTTTTTAACTGATCCACTTTTTTTGTTCGTTTCTTTTTACCTTTCGACTTTGATGTCACGTCTAATCGTGTCACCTTCCTTGTTGATCTGTAATATAAAAATACAATTTTCATATTTATTTATTTTCCTTGACTTTTATATAAATAACAATCACAAATGCGTATTAATTTACATATTATTTCCCCTTCGAACGAAGGAAGTAAAACCACAATCGGAAACGTTTAAATTTTCAATAAAATATAAAAAACATATTTCTATTCATTTGAAATATAAAATAAAACTGAACTTTTAAGCTGATAGTTGAAGAATTTATTGAAAAAGAGAAAAGGAATATAATTATTTATTTTCAAATGTAAAAACTTTTTAAAGACATACTATATAGTAATGTAGCAATAAATGTCTAATTTAATTAGGAATGATTTAAAGCGTGGATTAGATAAGATTCGTTATTCACAAAGACTATTAATAAAAATTGCAGGTAATAGGTAAAATGATGATTGAAATTTGTTATTGGCCACGTATTACTGCAAGCTAAAAGTAAGAATGACATTCACACACACCTTGTAAAACAAACAAATGATGCGCTTGAAAAGATAGATAGAAGAAATCCTCTCTTATATTTTTTAGAAATGATTGATTGATAAGATAAACATTACTGCAATATGTTATAGCAAAAGCACCATTTCTGGATTATCAGGACAATATTTTTGATGGCTAATAAGACTTTTTAAATAATTAATGACCTCCAAAAGGACCATTTACAATTGATTGATTTAGGCATGATACAATAATCGTTGTACTTAGATTCCTTTTTTTAACTTGACTGAACTTAGAAGTTATATTATTATCTGGAAAACAGTCTGCCACAAATAATCCAGTTCAGATAAATCCAAGACTTTAGAAAATTAAGTTTGGTTATTCAAAAGGAATTAACTTGCGTAGAATATCAACAAAGTGCTGAAAAGAAACCAAAGCAAATAAAATTGTAACATTTCAGATAATTAAAATCTATCAAGTTATTTATTGCATTATATAAAATTCAATATAAAGTGAATAATAAAAATGTGCTTTTACCTTTTCAATAAGCTATAATTTTTTTTTCCTGGAAATTCGTAATTTCCATTTAGAACAATTGTATAATTATTCACAGTTGACGCATACAACTACCGCATAACCAAATATAGAATTTATTTAATAATTAAAAAAATATTTTACTCTAGTTTCTAAACTTATTGATGAGTTAAGGTTATTTATTATTTATAACCTCTACCAAGTATTAAAAAATTGATTCATATATATATTTAAATATAGATACACAAATATCTATATA